CCCTCATCTGCATTGGGGTTAGGTTTTTCCTCACAAGCATGGTTCTTCGATAACCCCTACCCCCCTCCCCCACCCCTCCCGCCGTAGGGTAAGCGTAGAGTCTGTGACAAACTCCGCAGATCTCCGCTCGGAGGGCAAAATCGAACGCTTCTCCGCCTTAAAATTTCTGACTTGAATCTGATACATATTTCCAGAATTTTCGTGGAATATTTCCAATTTGTGGCGTTTCTATCAGCTCAATTAGAATTTTGTGAAAAAATCAGATCCGTGGGAAGTTGAATCGTTGTCTCATTTGAGTATTATCAAATAATGGTCTTAATATACCCAAAAATGAAAACTCCAATTTGGTATTAGTACAACTTCATTGACCAATGGCATGAAGCAACCGGTGGAGTTTTTACCCACCGCACATGCCTTTACCCCTGTGTATCACTATCTCAAAATTGATTAAAGAATACTCAAATACTCTCAAAAAACACATCCACTTCCCGCGGACCCGATGGTCTTAAAATTAGTCATGAATCGTGACGCGTTGGGTGTGTCAAAGAAGAAAAGTATCTGGATCTAACTTGGTTAGGACATCATCCATGAAAATAATATGTTTAGGCGTCTCAAAATTATGATCCTTCGATTGGAAATCGCTGTAATGAATACCTGTATCATTCTGTTCGAATTCTGTCTTTCAGCTGATCAAGCTTGTTTTTTGCCCACTGAGCGCCGCGCGGCCCGGGGAAATAGGGGGGCTCATGAAGGGGGCTTAAGACTATAAATCCATTGCTCAACTTCAAAAGGCACCCTCAGCCGAGCTGGGTGCAGGAACTATATCTTTTTGCGAGATTTTCCTCAAAGTTTCCTTGTAATTTGGATAACTATTTTGAAAAATTTTTACTCGTCTTTTTCCTTTTTTAATATTTTACTTGTCATTTTTTAAAAATTAATTCACGGTTTTCGGGATTTCGATGGTTGCGGCCCGACATTCGGAGGCATCTATCTCTATAACTGGACGTGCTTATGCTAAAAGGAACTAAGCTACACGCTATTCCTTTGTGCGCAATCGTGCACATAGTTCCTTTTGGCATAAATATGTTCAACTTAACTCGGAAGCAAGTCGGTGCATAGGGAAATGGGTAGGTATGGTCGTACAGATAAATTGAGTATAATTATGTACTAAAGCATTCTTTGCGCACCAAAATTTAGGTTCTGTACTAAATCCTGAAAAAAAAAAAAACTCTGCAAAAACCTAATTCCCTTTTAAAAATCAAACAGTAGATTGATGCATGAATTTTTGACATCTTCTCAAATAGACCCTTACTTACTCCCATTTAGATGGATATTCCAAAGGTTTTCAAGTCTTTTTTTAGCACTATTTTAGTAGAATGCTCACTCAGAAGAGAAATCGTCTTAAATCCAGACTGCTAACTCGGTCTAAAGATATACGTGGACAGTTCCTCTTCATATTCTTAGAAAAAAGAGCATCAGCACCTACCTCCTTCTGCACCCTACTTAAGTCCAAGATATGAAAACACTTTCTCAACCTTGTCCAAAGGGAAGAAAGTGGACAATTAACTTTTTTACCACAACATTGTTCTCTTCCAGATGCAAAAATAAATGCACGATGTTCATGATAAGTTGGATTTAAATCTAGGATACTGTTTCTCTCGAAAAAACGAGGATAGGTATTCAGACTCGAGGCTTAATATTTTCTTCTTCTCGTCCTTTCCTTGGTGCAACTTCCTACAGTTGAAATTTAAATATTTTTCCTTTGACGACAATAATGAATCGAAAGAAGCTCTCATCGACAACTTTTCCGATGTCCTCAATCTTGTCTGATTCGATTCAGATTTCTTCAGGAATGATTTTGCTTTTGACGTGTATTAGTACCTACCTTGGTAACCACGTAACAAGCCTACAAACGAACAAAATCATTTAGTATGATTTCAGCAATCCCTGTCATTGAATTTCCGAGAAACTTTTCTTTTTTATTCTTTTATCTATTAAAGAATCTACCGTCCATTAGCAATCTCTGTTGAAGTGTTCCTTGTGAGGGAAACGAAAACGCTGGCTGATGCAACCTGCTGATAGTGTTGTTTGTTATGCCTATCTTATAATGTACAGGATCAGCTCACCAAGATACCGAACAACAACAACACACTCATTTTCTAATTGTCGCTCGAGTTTTTATTCATTTCCCCGCCTTCGAGGATTCGAGAAAAAAAGGTTTGATGACTTGCCAACCTCTTCTTCGAGTGTGGGATGCATTTTTATCCATGGGATAATGGATGACTTAAAAACTATCCAGCCGAGATACTGGTTTCGCACCGGGGTACGTGCTTCCACAAATCCTCACTTTTTCTGAGCCTATCTCTGGACTTTTGTTTGAATTTACTTAGGTAAATTTAATCCTTGAATAGAGATGTCATCACCTATTCTTTTAAATAGGTACGATAAGGTTCATCTGAGTGAATCGTTAGACATCCTTTCTTCTCCCTACTTCTAGGTGTATCCCTACTTTATTTTAAATGCTATCAAAAATTTGTGGGAGACGGTGCAAGCAGGCTTAGTCCAAAACCAGACAATTAATAAATTTGTTCCTGAAAACAATTAACAATCCTAAATTGAATTCAAATGAATCCGACTTTGACAGTTTGGTTCATTTTTGAAATCACATTAAATTCACCAGAATCCCAACAAAATTGACCTACTTTTGCTTTATTTAATCCATTTACTTTTAAAGCAAGTACACTGTCGAGGTGTCGCCTTTCTTCAGGCGACGTTGGGTTAGCTTAAATCAACTTTTTTTTTCAATTCAAAATCCTCCCTGGTAAAAATTGGTGATACCTAGAAGCTGCGTTTCAAAATACCATGGGAGTTCTTTTAGCCGACTGACGAAGGCGATAGAAAATCATATAGCTGGCTGTAGAAAGTGGAAAAAATCATACTGCCGGGCTACACGAAGCGATAAAAAATTATACAGCCTGGCTGTAGTTCCTATCGCCGGGCTTTACACTTTATCGCCTGGCTGTTGCTTTTTCTCCATCGGCCATAAAAGGCTATAAAAAATTGTGTAGAAATTCGTGTGCTTTGTAAATCCTTAAGTTTGTACGGAATCACCTTATTATTTACAAAACGCACATAATATTTTCCTTTACTACATATTTTTTTCATCAATTAAAATGAGAATAATCCATACAGAGTGTGCAAACATTTCACCGCGAGATTAAATATTAGAGCCTAACACAAAGCGGAGCGGCGGCGCACTGGCGCCTACAAACCTAACAGGGATACTTCACGCATTGCGCAATGCGTGAAGTATCCCTGTTAGGTTTGTAGGCGCCAATGCGCGTTTTACGCTGGCTGCCCGCCTGCCGCTCCTCGCCGCAACGTACCACGGCGCTTGTAGCAACTATTTCACACCAGAGGTATTGCACAGTATCATACGAAATTGAGGGTGCTCCAACATATTAGAAATGGCAGGCATCCTTCAAAAGTACGAAACTTTCCTCGCAAAATAAATCAAGAAACTCCGGCCCAAAAAGAGAGCGGTAGTCCAAAAACTCACTAAGTACTAGCATCCGTAATAAGTAACGTTTAGCATACACTTTATCGCCAGGCTGTTGCTTACCTACTCGCCATCGGCTATAAAAGGCTATAAGAAATTGTGTTGCCGGCTATAGAAGCTATTGGAAATCTTACAGCCGGCTGTAGGTCTACGGTATTTTGGAACACAGATTCTACTGCCAATTTTTACCAGGGCTTCCTTTTTCATGAAAATCATATTATGTTTGGGACTCTATGTTTACGCTACGATACCCACAAAGTGGACTGAATCACCGACTAAAGGTAATTCTCCTTTAATGTTTGTAAGTTGAATAATCTGTTTTCACGCACCTTAGCCTCTGTCCTAATCCAATTCCCACCACAATGAAAGCCGAATCCATACTGTAATTAATGAAGCAGGTGCTAAAAACGAGGTACTGGGGAGTAAAACGTTCTGAAAGCTACACTTTTCATGAAAAATAAAATGTTAAATTAGGTATGTCAACTTCCAGAAGGAGTTTTCGAGAAAGTATATCTGAACATAGCTGGCTGTCACTGCCTCCCTGGTAAACGGCCGAGCCGAGTCAGCCCCCCAGCGGTTGCACTTTGATAGTGAATCGACCAAGAACTAATTTTCCTCCCAGTGATGTAGAAAAAGCTTCGTTAACTTGGTTTGGCTGCGGCTTACACTGTGCAAAACCACCTTTAAGCCCGACCTACTACTAGGTAGGTTTGAAGAAGTAGCCAGCTTGACAAAACTGGAAGTCTTTGTCAAACTGGCCGACTGTTCGACTTTCTCCTTCCTACGCAGATGCTTACCGACACTGTTGCCTGTCAAGCAGTGCCAGTGGCGTGGCGTACTTTGCGATATATCGATGTTCTGCCATTTAAACCTATGGTAAAGAATCGTTTAATAAGGTGTTCGCTGCGAACACCCTCATTATCGATCCTTTTCCATAGGTTTAAATGGCATATCAATCGATATATCGCAACGCACGCCACGCCACCGCTGTCGAGTCGCCGATGTCGGCGCTGTGACCAGCTATGTCGGTGTTTTATAATTTTCATGTTATCGAGTTTCGACTGTTTTTAAATTTTTCAGATTGTTTGTATATTGTTGTTACAACGCTAGGGAAAGGTACCATTTTGTTGATCCCGCCTCCGCGAACGAAGTTCTTGCGAGGTTGTGCTGCTAACTACCATCTGGGTTTGCCTGTTGTTAATTGTTTCGACACGAACCAAGAGGCCAATCTCAATGATAGTGGAAAATTCAAATAAATAAATAAAAATTCCAGTCATTAAAAATTGAGGACTTCCCACTCAGCATAGAGCCTTAATACAATCTTTGTGTAATATTGCACATCTTACCTACACATCATCATTGCAGCCATATTATATCCATCTTAATAAGAGAGGTAAGATTGCATCAATGTTGATGTGCTACTACCAGGGACTTGCCTGAACATTGCAACAGCATTGATAGTAAGGTTGAAGTAACATTACAATAATCTTACATAATATTGATATGCCCCCGTCAACATTGTTATCAGGTTGACACTTCTTGACATCTCCTTGATTGCCGGTCTATCAGGCTTACATCAATGTTGATATTGTCAGTCTTATCCGGACAATACCTACTGATTTACCATTCCATCCTTGATTAGTAACATTATATCAACATATGTCAGCAAATAACAACATTGCTTTAAGATATCATGCTGAGTGGGTTCTTTGTCAAAAACAATACAGAGGAGAAGGGGAAGAAAAAAGGGGGTAAATTCTTGAGCCGAGGGAAGTATTTCTCGAGTTGGGGCCGTTTAATGGCTTAGAGTATTTTAAATACTTCCTGGATTCTTCCCTTTTCAGAAAATCTTCCATAAAACTTGATGTGAGTATAGGTAATCTTCGATAGCTACCATACCTCAGAGGTAGATGGACACTTACGACTTGTATCTAGATGCATTTTCTGTGGTAGAACCTCGCAATAGCTCCAATGATTTCTTTCCCCTTTTTTTAGTAAAAATTATTTGGTAATGGTTATTGATTAGTTGTGAGCAAATTTAAATTTTGTTATTTTTCAGGAATCCTTATTTCTTTCATGTTATAAAATGGTCCGTGTTTGTTAAAGCTTCATTTATTGATGGAATTTAATACCTTTATCTTGATAGTTTTGTCTCATTTTCCGTTATATTACTGTTTTTTCCAGAACTTCAGTCTCTAAAATCAATTTTACAAAAGTAATGAGCTTAGCTTTTCTTTAATTCTCAAAGTCTGTACGAATAATGCGGCTCTATTCATTTGACATCATTACCCTTTTACGGCATAGGGGACATGAGCCCCATCTGTGATAGAATAATTATGATGGCTCCACGTAGAACATAAGAATGGGAATTTTCTGTGTATAATTAGTAATAAAGCACAAGAGGTACAGGTGTGCACCAACGTAAGAAATGATCATGTAAAATATCGATGGTGATCATTGCAGAAATGCATTTATCGGTTTGCGGTGTTGCAGACTTCCTGTCATACTGAAATTTTTACATGAAAAACCACTAGACGTCATCTCTTGAGAATTTCGGAGATTTTTCTTCTCTATTTGAAGAATATTCCTTGGAAAGGAAAAATTCTCTATGGAAGGAAATGTCCAACCATGATGTTGGTTTGGTCTCTTCTTAAAAAATTAAATTGGAGCGGAGATTTTGGAACACCGCCGCCGAGATACGCATTCTTGCAGTTTCACCACCGATATGTAACATATAATAACAGTAGATCCTAACCACTCGTAAAAAGGTTGAAGAAAGAACATTTTTGTGGCAGGTATATTCCATCCTCCTAATTTGTATACAGAGGCGTGGCATACGCAAAAAACTTAGCAGGGCATTTTTAACCTCACGTACAGAAACCTGACAGTTTTTTCTGATGCATGTTCAAAAATTGAAGGCTCTCCCCCTTTTACGATGACTAGGCTGAGTCAATTGTGGCGCCTTGATGCAATAATTCGTGTTTCACGAATGCGCGTGTTGCATGTTCAAAATTGAAGGCACTTCCGCTTTTCTCACCCAAATAACGGAGTATACCTATGTAAGGAAATTATTGTCATCTTAATCCTCATACTAAAGAAGAAGAAAAAAACAGTGCCGCTCTCTGATTGGTAAACGAATTTCAGGCTATTGTGGATTTTCTAAAGGTGAAACTTTCTGAGCGAGAAATCTGCACAAACCCTGCCCAAAGAGAAACTCAAAATGACCTACTTCACTGGTTACGAAGAAGGTGCTAGTCGATGACTTGGACTGCATTTTGCAATTTGGAACTAGACATTCTGGCTCTTCTTGGAAAGCACTTACATGCAAAGGGAAACTAATGGCACATACGTCGTTTTTAAACCAGGCTAGAATTTATATAGTTCCAAATGGACCGCGTTAGACAGAAAAGGACCAAGCCACATCAGCTATTGCCAAATTCAATAGGGGAATTTGATTTTTTACGCACAATCACAAAATCCGCACAACCGTTTTCATGTGAAAAATTAAATTGTCCGATTAAATTTGGCAATAGCTTATGTGGCTTGGTTCCTTTCTGTTTAACGCGGTCCAAATTGCAAAATGTAGTCCTTGCAAATAATAAGGTCCTTCGATGCAGCTACGCAACCTAATCCTTTGTGGCTTGATAGAATTTGGCCTAAAATGTTTATTTGGTACCACTGCCGGTATTAAATGTGATCCTGTCGAAATAAGTGTATGTTATTTTTCTTCGTTTTTAATTTAAGTGAGCAGATATGTAAGTGCGTATACACTGTCTGGTCACAAAGGGTTGAATTGCGTGTCAAACTGCCTTTAGAAAAATTTAACACCAACTGTTAAATTAATGTGCGATTCCTTCAGATTTTTGACCTACGTACCTAAGTACTGAAGCAAATTTTTAAACTAACGTAACCAAACATGTATACTACACTTTACACGTAGTTGAACTCTTGCATTCCACTCTTCCTGCGTGCTTTGACTGGCTCCTTTAAAGTGTCATACTGATACTGCGTCAGTCAGATAGGAGGGATGATCTACTAAAGGGTATCTAGGAACTCAGTATTTTATGTTAAAAAAGTGCAATGAATCACCATGTTGATTGTGAACTCTTTTTGATCCTATCACTTTCTATATGTACCATCAAATTAATTGAATATACATGTGGGGCACAACGTTAAGTTCATGATACCGACGTGTTTGTTTTTGATGAGAGACTTACTTATATTGCCGCTCTTGATTTTATGTGCGAATTTATGTATTAGATTTTCCGTCTTTAATTTTCAATTCACGGTATAGTTTTCTTTTTTATTGGCAGTCAAATCTTCATTTTTCCTTTGACATCGGCAAGAAAATCAAGGTACCCGAAAATTTTAAGTAAGATGTTGAAATGAATTTCTTCAATACATTACTTCTACACAGGGGCTGCTCATTAAATAAAACGTAAGCAAGCAACGTAACGCGCCAGGGGAGGAAGCAGGGCCGGATTAAGGGGGTGGCCCATGGCGGCAAAATGTAGGGGGCTGCAAATTTTGCGATCTTTTTGAATGTAGGTGTCAAAAAAAGAGAGAAAAAAATCGGATTCAGAAAATAAATTACAAACGAGAAAATGATACAAAATCTTTCATTTCCTGAGAGTGAAGGTATAGTAATTTGTAATTTTGTCGTCTTTCGGTGATACAAAAGACAATACCTTTAAATACGAGTAGTCCAGTTCAGAGAGAAACCAAACACGCAATTTGACCTGGAACGGAGCGGTGCGGCGGTCGGCATGAAACGCATAGCGCCTACAAGATTGCATGAATACTACACGCATTGCGCTAACACACGCCCCTCCCCCACCGGCATCCCTCTCCTGGATTGTAAAACTGTTCAGGAGGGAGGGGGTTCGGGAGATCCTCGATTTAAAAAAGTATAAAGTATGAAAGAATCTCATGACTGGCAAAATTTGGATACTTTTTTCCTCTCTCTCTTACTCTCTCTCTTCTCTTTAATTTCTTGATAAATTAGTTGCCTATGCTTATTTATCACCTTTTACTAATGACGAACCCCGGGGAGTGAAGTGACAGTAAACTGCGGGATTGGCGCGCTATGCTCTCGGGTAACAATCAGTGGATTCACCCGAAATTCCTTCATTTTTGCGGGTATACAATTTGATCTCCAGGGAGTTAAAAAACTGCTCGAGGTCAATTTAAACAGCCAGTAACGTCCGTAAAAAACTGTATTCGTTCCCATATTTTCCCGGTGAAAATTTTCATTTCCTCCAATACTCATTTTGGTGAAGGATGGAGAGATTTTGCGAATGAAAAGACATTTTAAAACAAAACAAAACCAATCAGTACAAGAGAGTGAAGCATCAATTTAGGAAAATTACCACTTTTACCTCCGCGACTAAACATCCTAAAGACGGCAGAAATTTACTCTTGAATTCTGATGCAATGTACAGTGTGCTTAATATTTTTCTTTTTAAATTAAGGACTAGTCTTTCCACCTGAGTGATAAGTATTCGTTATCTCACCAGGCAGTACCCTAGTCAATTGAAAAAAAAAATTCATTTAGGAATTTTTAACGCGGTGTATAAAATTGATTTTCATCTACCTCACAAATTTTTCAATTACTTACAACTTCATCTTAAATGAAATTCATAGGTAAAAATACTTATTTATTTACGTTTTTGTTTTTGGTGCCGTAGGTCAATGCTCCTTCAGAATATGCCAAACATTCAAAATGTCCCTCCATTGCTGTCCTACGTGCATTTATTTCTTAGATACCTACGCGCCAGGAAACATTCCGAATTATTTACCTATGAAATGTCTTTTCTCATCAAAAGACGCAAACTTTATCTCATCATGATTAGGTACAGTTGTTGATAGTATCTTCAAATAAAATGTACGTAAAAAAAGATCAACCAATCGCTATACCAACTGCACTGAACCCTTCCCAATTTTGAAACACGGAATCGAGTCCTAAATTTTACTCCAACAGCAAACACAACCATTTTAGTTACTGTAAATAAAAATTTAGAACTCCTGTGAGACTGGTTACTTCTTCAGATTGAACATAGTGCTGACGAACTCTACCCTGACAGCTTTAAACCCTGTCAATTCCATGCTCAGCCTGTACGACAGTGAAGCTCTCAGCAACATTTTGAGAAAACTTTTACCAACGAGTATGGCTGTATTCTATACTGAGAAAAAAATAAAGGATGTACCTCCATCAGTGAATAGAAAACACATTAATTTATTTTTATCGTCTGTCTCTGAAAATTCAGAGATGATACTCACGTTTGCAATGTCAGCAGCAGATTTTACTGTTGATTAGGTTGTAGGTATTGTAAGTAAGGTGCATTTGCATTTTTTTGTACATACAATTTCGTTCAATTAATTTAGAATGTTATATTTTTTATAACTCAACTTAGAAACACAATACTTAGTTAAAATTTAAAGCTGAACACAAAACCAATTAGGATTAAAATCTGAATTTGACAGTTGACTGCATGTCCTAGTGAGACCGAACGAAGTGTACATTTTAGGTTTAAGGGTGGTTCCGTCACATTGGCTCGCGGAGGACCCGCGACATGGCAAGTAGCTATAAGCCTTCACAGTCTTTCCCAAATGCTCCCTGGTCTTCGTGCATCCATAAAGGATGAGGAATTCACTAAGGCTGATACTTACAAGGAAGTTTAATTTCTCCCAAGAAAGGCAATACATCAACCAAGTGTTTTATACAGGAAGGAGGAAAATTGTTTGAAATTGCTCAATAAAATTTCTAGGTTTCTTGATGAGTGTTAATTGGAATAGATGTTAGACTTTAAAGTGTAGTAAGAATTTTTGAAAACCTTAAGATTTGGCACTTAAATTAATTGATTGATAACCTATTCAAGGTTTTTTATTGTTTCCTCCTTACAATTTGGCAAAAAAAAAAAAAAAAAAAAAAAAAAAAAAAAAAAAAAACTCATGAGGTCACTTTCAGCTGATCAGCTGCATTTCATGCACACAACAGGAGGTGCTTCGGGCGGCAAACAAACCTGCAACATGGAGCTAACTCAGTATACATACCAATTGGCCCCCTAATCTTGCTTTTTTTGCTGGCTCTAAAGATGCACAACTAAAGCAATAGTCCTAGGTTTTAGGGAGGCAAGTTCACAAATGTTGGGCATTCCATAATGTTGAACAATCCTAGCATTCACCGATTTTGTTAGGACTTGTCAGATATGTCCCCAAACATTCCTCCCATTTCTTCGAACTTCTTTTATTTCCATTATCTCATCAGTTGATTGTTTATCACTAACTTAGCTGTTAGTGGAAATAAATCCCTCTCTATGATCCTGTACTGGATATTGATTGCTAAAGTTGAACAATTTTGTATTGTGATGTTGAAAAACTCGGCTCATCCCCCCTTTTTTTTCTTGTAAAAAAACTAACCAGCAGTTTTTCTCAAACATTTTCTGTAAATTTTCTTGACTTAATAGACAATATTTTCAGAAAATTTGAGGAGATAGGTATTTCGGTAAATTTTTCTAGAAGAAATGAAACAAAATTTAAGATTTTAAAATATCGCAAAACTAATTAAAAAATCTCAGCTTCAAGAGGTGAATTTATTGGAATGAAGCTAAGATATTTCAACTGAAACCCATTCATCAACAGCCATGACTGCTTCTTTTACTCTTTTGCAAAGTTGTTGGTGACCACTTGGTAAAAATTACCAAAGTGGCATTAATTGCAACTTACTTAAAAAGCTAGAAATTCAGATTTCATCAAATGAATCTTCCCGGTATTTAAGACAGGTGAAGTCTCAATGAAGCAATAGGCAATGATGAATACCTCCATGATGATATCACAATGGGTATAAGAAGTGACAAAGGCAAAACCAATGGAATCCAAAATGGTCCTCGAAATTCACATTAGTGTGCCATGTAAATCAACATCAAATTTAATAAATGCTGCATCTGAGCAAACACTGATTGTGTCTGGTATTGTGTGTATCATGTTCGTTTCCCTCCATTCTTGTTTAAGAGATTTATCTTCGTTGAATGGTCCAGTGCTATAGATCATGTATGTAAGACCTCGTTAAGAAAGAAAATTTCAATTGAATGCAATGAATTTTAAATAACTTATTCGGCCCTGAGATGCACTAAAGTGGTGGGATTATGGAGCAGTATGTTCCATGTCGTATATTAATAATCTCGATGGTCTAAGAAATGCACTCTGTGTCACTCTTATAATTTTAACCCTCCTTTTTTTTTCTTAACTTCTTACTTTTCATTTAGAAAACGATAATTACAAATTCAATTTCTGAACAACATGAACTGCTCACATGGCAATGTGAGGCCTCTGATCCAAGAGCCAGAACAGCACAATTTTCTCAACAAGAGTGCAACCTTGAGATTGATTCTCATTACAAGGGGTAAACCTCATTTGTAAACGTGTAAAACATTTTTAAATATTAGATAACTATTGTAATAAAATAGAATAATTATATTCAAGTAAATTGGACATTACCTACATTAAACAGATTTAAATTTGTGAAAAGTTGTTGAAATATTTTATACTTTTATTTGATTGATGATCCATTATGATTTATACTTTTTCATTTTTTAGTTTTGTTTTGATGGTTACTGATAAGATAATGATTAGTTAAAATTCCATATTGTTATATAACTTGTTGTAATTAAATCAAATTTAACAAGACATCATTCATTTTTTCCATTTTTCCTCCTTTTTTTCTTTTTTTTTCCTTCTTTGTTTTTCTCTTCTGTATTCTTCATGTGGAAACAAGATGACATAAGTTTTTCCCCCATTTTCTGACCATAAAAATCATTACAAAAATTTACTGTTTATTCAATTCCATAGTTTCCTTAAGTTCTTTTAAAGTGCAAACTCATCTCAAACACTAACTGTCTTCCTCCATGGATCTAGGTACATTGCATGGCTGCAAAGGAGCATTCGTGCAAACTGTATTAGGTATATATTTTATAGAATTTTCACTCTTCTGCTTAAATACCTATTTAATTAAAAAGCGAACAACCTAATGGTAGAATAAAGATTTGAATAGTCAAAATACGTAATATATACACGCACTTTTATTCAAATAAATTTAGAAAGTGAAACATCACAGTAAAAGTATTTCGTACAAATATAAAAACAAATAAAATAAACAAAAAACGATGAGACAAAGCACAGGTTTCATTTGCTTGTAAAAAACGGGACTTTAAATTTCACAGACAGCAACTTCAAGGGGTAAGTAACCCCAAACCTACTTTACTGCCTGGACAATATAACAAGGGCCAACAGACCAAAAATTCAAAATTATTCATGCGTAATAAAAAATAGATGAATAAATAAATAAATAAAATTTTCGGCTTTTCAAAAACCTTTTCTTTTCACTCCAATTTGTATCCTTGTGGACTGATTTTAGCAAGGAAAGAAGGAGTGGTGTTTACTTTGATAACTCAAAAAACTAACTGTGCCGTACTGAAGAAAAACTACAGACAGAGATGATACACAAGAATATTGATTCTAGCATTTCAGATAAAATTAAAGGCATTCAAAACGATTAAAACCTGAGAGCACAATTTTGCAACGTTTTGATGTTTGGAAGAGGAAGGAAAAATTCTTCCAGTGTGGCACAAGATTGAAGGGTTAACAACAAACAAGATATAATTAAGACGAATCTGTGACAAAATTAAAATCCCAAGAAGTTGCAAATTCGACTGCCTTTCTCAATGAAAACTTGCGTGACTACTTAAGCCCATGTTTCAAGCCACTGGGTCTGAGTACTGGAGATGGAGTGTGGTCTGAATTAAAATTAAAATTTCTGGGAGCCATGATTGAATTTACGGTGACATCACAAGGTAAAATTTTTTAAAAGTTTGCCGCTCCCCCCCCCCTTAAAAAAAAATTGATTCCAGCGGACTATAAATCACAAAACTTACTTCCCAAGGTAAACAATTTCCACTTCGGTGTCACATTATCCTTGCACTCAAAGGGCTTAAGAGATGAAAAGGAAACAAAAATTGACGAAGGCAAAATTAATTTTTAAAAAAAAAAAAACCAACTGTAATAAGAACTGTCAGTACTTTTTTATCGTCCATATGGCATCTACTGGAGGGAGGAATAATCATAGCTCAATGATATAGCACAATTTTTGGTGTTTATGGCTTTATACTCAATCCACTTGATGACTCATTTGATTCCTTCATTTAATTAAAAACAACTGGCATATTTGAAATGTCTGATATAAGAATCACTTCAACGAAAAAGAAATTTTCAGGTCTATGATAAACCAAGATGAGAAAAAGAGCATCATAATGAAATGATAGAGTTCATTTTTGCAACATTTCTTATCAACAACCAGATCAAAGCTCACCACCCCTCCAATCTCCATGCTAATTGCAAGCTTCCTTACTGCTGTAGAACCTATTAACCTTCCAGAAAATTCTTAAATGAGGACTTAAACATTCATTGAGTGCAAGGAATGCCAATAAATATAAATTCTGATTGAAGTTGGTGACAGAACTGTAAAGCTGCCTTTCAAAAATGAAAAATATTAGCCACAGAAAAAATTTAGTGAACTGTAAAATAAACAAAACTGCCAAGAGCGATCAAAAAAATTAGAAATAGTATCCTCTGTCTAACTTTTTCAGCAGGCAGACTCAGGGTTAAGCAAAGATTATTTAAGGTTATAAAAGATTCAATATTTTCATTTACTTATGAGTGAAGCTATTAGTCGTAGCAGTACTTCCACGATCAATGAGAGACAATTGAGGAAGTATAGAAAAATTTCTGTAAAACAAGGAAGGAAAAAGGCCGAGCAGTTTTAAATTGGGTAAAAAAAAAATGATTCAAAATAGTAATTTTAACACTCAATTCATTTGATCAATTCGGCCATTTCTTAAGAGCCTGTCAAAACATTTTGTTCATCTACATATTGTCCAATACACTTAAAAGTATGCAAACAGCCTGGGATGAAAAGTTTAAACACTTCCCAGAGAAGTCAATGCTTGCTATCAAGTACCCATACCCCATTGGGAAATTCCAAAGTAACCTTCCAGGCTTCATTTCTTACAGCAGATTAAAAATTCTATGAAGGGAGCCAACAGTGTCAGAAAGAAAAACTTGTGACAACATTAATATAAGAGTTTGACCAACAATTAAAGAGCCTTGTTTGAATGTCTCCTCCGTAGAATGGCGTCTTCCTTGCAATAAAAAAGAAAAGGAGAAGAAAGGGAATAGAAGAGCATAAGGCATCAATCTTAGTTTTGTGTACTCGAATACCTAAAGCTATAACAATTAGTTGTGTGTTCTTTAAGAGCACAGCCTAGCAAGCTGAAGAGTGTTGCATGAATTAAGTTTTTGATACTGCTTTAGACTTGAGTCTAGGATAAGTTAATGGAACATTTCTTGCTCAAATTGAAAATTGCAGTTCTTACAGCAACAAAGGAAACAATTGTTTAGATGGATTCCACTGCATTACAGGATGATAATGAGCAAACACAACAAATTAATGCTCTCCTTGAAAGCAAGACATAAAAAATAAAAGTTTTAAAGATGCAAAATGAGTTCAGAACTGTACGCACGAATAAATAAGGTGACACTGAGCCCGACCATGACGTGTCAAAGCCTAAAACAAATTGACGTCTGAGGGCGGAGACTAGTGGAGCTTCAGCCAAAAAAATACCTGTGCTTTTGATCAAAACACCTTGAAGCTTTGGCCGCAGTGAAAGTGATTGGAACACCGTGAAAAGTGACGCTGAGCAACAGATACAGCAGCTCTTATCCCTCACGAACCTTCATTTTCTGGGTTTTCTGTAACGCCCTGCTTGTTTTGCTCTGGGTTCCGCAAACTGAAACGTCAAGAGGAAAAATTAACTCACTGCATTTAGAAAACAAAACAAGATGAAGCTCCTTGATATAACTGTTTGGTAGCAAAATTTAATTCGAGCTGCACTTTAAGTAGGAGAAGGCAAACTACCGCACCAATTTCTTTTCTCTAAAATCTTTTATCCTATTTTCTTACGAACTCCTGTTGTTCTTAGATCTTTCTTCATTTTTTTCTTTCATTGGTGAAGGCATATGCATTACAATACAAAAACGCTCTAAAAAATGTGACTAATTAATTGATCAATTATGATTTTAATTTATTTGTTCTCATAAAAGGAGTTCGTAGACTAGTTATTAACTGCTTCTTGAAAATATTTTTGTTAGATAGGTAAATGATGCAGTAAGTCATCTTAAGGAATATCTTGTTGATGGTTTTGTAAAATGAATGCAGCAAGAGCCTAAGCATGAAATTAGAAGGGAAAACAAACTTACTACTGAATGAGAAGCATCGAATCTGAATGCAGCGAATGCGGCGATGTGTCAGTCTTATTTAAATTCAAGGCCTCCATCATGGCTGCCTCCTTGTCGCCCTGCTTTTCTGTCCGTGCTAATGGGAAGGACATCCTACGCCCACAGTCATCTGGCTGAGAGCTTTCGCCCTCTTCTGATGTTTCATCTGCCTCTGCCTCAATGTCCGGCTCCGTTTCCTATAAAGAGGGTTTCATTATCATTAGTATTATCCAATTCCTGATATAAAAAATATTAAGTATGGAAAACTCCTGACTCTGATCTTTTCTGAAAAGCAGAAAGAACTTTACTAATGCTCCTTACTTGATTTAAAAGATATCCCTGATGGTTGACTTCATCCAGTGCCAACCCCCCCCCNGGGGCTCAGAAAATGCAGTGCGGAAATGTTAGAAAGGTGATTATTTTTATTTAATGATTCTTGCTCACTTGAGGAGAGATTGGCTGAATAAAACTATGGTGCCGAAAGTTGGCATTAAGTTGATTTTCAGTGAAGTGCTGACTCTGAAAAATTAAGGAGGTGCCTTTTATTATCTTAACATGGTCGATCAGTGAGTCAACTATGTGGAGGTTAACTGTAGGAAAATAATCATACTGTGATAAATAATATTTTAACTGCAAAATCACAGCAAAAAAGGAAATTCATCTTTGAAGTTTAAAGGCTCTGAATCTTACCGTATCTGGACACAGATCACACGCTCTTTCTAGTGTCTTGCGTGCACTATTTGAACGTTCCAAAAAGTAGCCATTGGCAAAGTCATTTGACTGTGTTGGAGATAATGGTGGATAAATGTATGGTGTACTATTAGCAAATGGTCTCTGAAAATTTAAAGTAAAAGGAACATTATTAAAAATTTACTTAAATTTAAAGTAAAGGGAACATTATTAAAATTTACTTAACAGCTTGCTGGACGATTCTTTGTCAACATAAAAATTACATATAGAATTAGTAGAAACTTAAGTTGTTTTTTTTCTGTTATTAGTATGCATTCCCTGCTTATTCCCTAATTGTATGCAAAAAGCTTAATCATTCTGATAAGGTAAAAGAAGGGATACTTTGATTAAGGCCAAATAAAAAATGCACACTTCCACTACAGCAACTACTGAAAATTAGTTTCATTAGCTTTGATGGAGATTCTATAAGAAAAAAAGAAGTATGCACAATTGAGATATGGAATCAAGGTTTTAGAAGTTAAGTAAATTTAAAAGTAAATTTAAACAGAGTATTTTGAATGACACATTGAAAAAATGTATTTGGATTACTGCTCGCTCATGCAGATACAGCAAAAGTCATATGTACTTATAATTCAGTTTGTCATACCCTCCAAAAACCTAAAATAGAAAGGGAAAAATTTCAATCTTCTCTTAGGATCCTTTAAGAATCAATTTGATGAAAACGGGGTCAGTTTTTAGATGTCTTTTTACGTTTCTTTTGAGCATTGGAGAATGTCTCTTGATCCCTTAGAAAAAAATGCAAGCAAGGAGAGCGAAAAGAAAGTAAAAATCAACACTTGCTACTCACTTTATCTAATTCTTCTTGAAGCCACTCAGTGGCAAGGATCCACTTGCGCTTCAGTTCAGCATTGGTCTGTAGAAAATTATGCGCCAGTGGACATCTTGTGAAAAGCGTGACTAAACATTTAATACACTGATAAGCTCGTTTCTGATAATGACTCTTGCTTCTTTGGATTGTGTCAAAAAGGCCCTCTCGATCATCCGGCACACCTCTCAGGGCATTGTGGATGCGCCTTTCTTGCCACGTGTCTTCCATGAGAAGCATGCCTAAGAGGAGATCAATGTGATGCTTGAGGTCCTGGCAGTATGCAAATGCAATTTGCCACAAGATCTCGCTGAGGACGGTACGTGAAAAATGTGGATTCTCCCAGCAGCAGAATTGGAGCAGCTTAATACTTTCGTCTGTCAGTTGAGAGTCCTCGATAATCTTCTTGACATAGCTGCAAAAAAGTATTAACAATAGTAAGTTATGATGACAAACTATACAGCTGCGACATTTTACTATCTAAGGTCAAAGTGCATAGTATACAAAGAAATTTTGAGGAAATATGTGAAAAAATACTAATTTCTTTATTAGACAATAAATTAAAATATCAGCTCTAAACAGCTCTAAATGCATACATATTTTTTAAACCGAAAAATTTCTTGGTTATTTACAGTAATCTTGAACTTTAAATGATAGGATGAATTTGTCACCATCATATCATGAGCAGAATCTGGAAATTGTGAAAATGATCCGTCTCAGCATCAGAAAACTAGAACTGAGACACATCCAACAAATCTTCAGTAACTTTATTCCCAATATTTCCCCCCTTTTTTATTATTAAACCTTTTTGGATTCACTACTCAATCTAATTAAACAACACACTTCAGGTTCATAAAATGTTTCAAAGAAAACAAACTCAATGATATGACAAGATTTAGATTGGTGAAAGATCACTGCCGCAACTGTGATTCAGGAGAGCATATGTATTTGAAGTTCTTACAGAATCTGAGCTTTTCACTTTTTCCAGAATCAAAACTGAAAAAATTGCAGGAAAAATCTGACTTGGTTAAAATTCTGACTTTCTGACAGTTGACTGATCAAGTTTCCCTGTTAATACTATATTTTATGATCACGTAAATTTTAAATTAGAAAAATAATACATATTTTTATGAGTAATGATAAAATCCTTACCTTGAGCGACCATACAGTATATCTGCTGCCTCTGGTTGGATTGGCATAATATAGTCTATGCACGCTGGGTCTTTATAAGGATTGGGTAAAGGACCATCCTAAAAAAAATAACATGATAAATATTTACCGATGAGGTATATCGAGGTCAAACTTCCTCTTTTTTAACATGAGGGAAATCAGGAGCCTGCGTTTTCCAAGAGGGCTGCAAAGGTTATACATTTAGAGGATGAGGCGACAGCAAAGCACATAGTTCGATTTTTTGTAATTATGAGAAGGGATGTAGTAACATTCTAAAGAATAAATTTGGTTCAGATATATGCTCTGGAGGGTGTAATGGTGCATTTTTATACTCCAGCAGTATTTGCTGCGGATATTTAACTTGTGATTTAAACGTGTTGTGCCCTCTGTCAGTTGGTTTAGACATTAGATGCCTGCTTATTCACCCAGCCTCAATTTTAAGATAAAACAGGAAGATTCCAAAAAAATGTAAAGTTTTTCCGATGAATTTCTAGTTGTTAAGCACTTAATAATTGGGGGCAACTCTGCTAAAAAGTATTAATTATCAGGACAAAAAAAGTACCAAGAAAAAAATCAAGTTATGAGTAACTACTTGCAATGTGGACCCCTGATTAAAAACAAAAACAATACTCCTATTGCAGACTGAGTGCTACAGCAATGGGAAGAGGATAAAAATGAATAGACTTGGAAATAAGAATTGAAGGAATTCATAGCTTCTTTGGCATCTTCATTCTGCTGATAAATATTAAATCTAAAATGAAATGCAGAATTCTTACTGATGAAAGAAGACCAATGTCAGACATTGGAATCTCTGCACTACAATGAATCTTACCTGTCGTAATGGAGAGGAACACTTCGACGATACATCGCAGCACCGTATAAGTTGTGAGACAACCATGTGGAGTTTGGTAAGCTCCGTATTATTGTACTTGACAGCAGGGTTAGGACCCTCATCTAGGGCGACCAGCATGAACATCGCTGGGACATTGAGCTTGAGTAACTGTGTTCGCTCGGGAATACCTAATGAGGCATAGTTGTGGAACAGCGTGAAGTAGTTAGGCAAGTAGCGCCCATACTCCGAGACTTCTTTTTGCAGCAAAGACAGCACAGCCAGGATTAAGTGGTCACTGAGCGATGCTGAGAGAGAAATTTTACATAAGTTAAAAGAATATTATGAAGAGATAGAGAAAAAAATTTTAATTAACTTGAGTGTTTAAGTGAAAGGTAGATTATGTTTTCTTTGAGAAAGAGGCGTGAAGTTATACATCAAAAAGCGTTATTATCTTGGTTAGGAGATACTTTCAGTAATTTTCATTATGCAAATCGTGTTTTGCATGAAATTTTGATGAGATAAAAAGTATCATAATGCCTAAATTCGTACCTTGTCTAGTGGTTCATCATGAACTGAAAATATAAAAGAAATATATACTGATGCATCGAAGGTTGTCAATTTGTTCCAGTTTTTAGGTACTACATTCTGCAATGAGTGATCAATGTGCATGCTAATCTCAATGGTGACATAATAATATGGATTTTTGTCAAACATCTGAAGAATAGCTTCTTAAAAAATTCTACTGGTTTAGCACCTTTACTTCTTATTTCAAGCAAAAGACAGGGTCGAACAGCAGAGACCGAGTCTGATACCACTTGATATTAAAAAAAGTCTCATTTCTTAATCCACCACTTCAGCTAAAATAAGCGTTCTCATAGAAATGGAATTTTTCGTGAAAAACTTGGTAATTTACTAATGCTCGTAATTTGACAAGTATACTTGTCAAAAGCAATCTCAGAAAAACCTGTGTTAAGAAACATGTTCACCATTAGACATGACAACAATTTTTTCATCAATTTAGTAATTTTGTGATGAGATGCATTTATGATCAACACTCATAAAACAAGAATGATTAGTTGGTTGCTAGATTTGTTCATTTGAAGACCAATTTAACACAAACGAGTAAGGTAGCTTTCCTCTTTTGTACCAAAAATGGATTTTGTTGCACACATATAATTCACCTGATTTAATTTATTTTGTAATTTTGGCCAATTTTAAAATTTTACTTATTTGACAGCTATAAATAGGCAGAGTAAAAAATTTCAATGAACTATTTCCGCTTGATATTTTTATGACCGAAGATTCCTTGAATGCTGAGTGTTTCAAATTCAACATCATTGGAAGAGTTTCAGGAGTATTTATAAGTATTCCCCAAGTTACTGATTTCAGCCACATAAAAATTTGAAGTTGGACACAGGAGAAAAGAAAATGTGCGAGAGAATCGGTAAATTTCCATTATTGTGGAGCCGAATTAAAGAGAAAAAAAATGTTTCTACTCACTTTGTGAATTAGGACAAGGGCCATCGTTGAGCGAAAAATGAGCTAAGAACACTATAATTTTCATAAAGGCTGATCGGACTTCTGTATTTGGACATGTTAATAAATACTCTGCAAACCTGGAACAAAATGTAAATAATGTAATGAAAGGGCTTAGGTCAAGTATAATTTTTCCCGATATTTGGAAACCAAAAATGGAGACAGGATGGATATTCAGAGACAAATCCAGAGGAATATTGAATTCATCCGGCCTAGTGCGCCAAATCAGAATTTCTCTCTCACAAACTGACATGAACAGGCAGGAGCAATTGATGTAAGTTGGCAAGTTTGACAGTTTCCCTTAATTTAAACACATTCTAAATGTTGTTTCCAAATGAGGAAGTATGGCTGCCTGCCGATAGAATAAAAAGATGAATAACTATAATTGTATCTAAAATTTTAGAAATTTTAAATTTTATAGCTTAGAAACCTGTTAGTTTCAGAGAGAACCCAATATAGGAATCTGAAATATTCTGAAAAAGGTGAAAAAAATCCCGTGTTGAAACTAGGTTTTCTTACTTTAAGAACTTACAGGGTCCACGGTAGATTCAAAATAGGTTTTTGTTTTTAATTCTTTTACAATCTGATTTTTTGCTGATGATTTGACTGAAAATCTTTTCATAATTATCACAGCATTTTTTTTGAGAAAAATATTTGACCTTAAATTCCATTTCATACTGACAAGGGGAGCTTTCCAAATGTAACCGGAATTTCGAGTTGAAATTTCGCATGAAGATACTAGAGATGATTTTAGGGATGCTGTATTTTTTCGTTTTTTCGAATGGGGTCGGGAAAGCCCTCAAAAAAAGGGCTAAAGATGCGGAAAAAACGCGTGCGCTAGCGGCACAAGGTAAACATAGGTGATAGAGGCTCTCCATCCTTATCAGTTCCGCATGGCCAAACAGTAGCGTGCTCGCCTCGCAGGCGGGAGGTCGTAGGTTCGGATCCTGACTACAGCCCTTAATTTTATTTTACTTTATGCTTGTTTATTTTTCACTTACTTTATTTTGCACCATTCTCTCCGCAAACCGACTTACGAGGTAGAACACGTAGTGACTGAAGATTTTTACTTACCTATGCTGACAAAAACTTGAAGTTTCTCTTGGATTGAAACGTTATATATAATTGAATAAACAAAACACTCTAAAACTCACCAAATTTCGTTGCCAAGCTGAATTTTCGAAGTATCAGTCAAATCTGTATCTGTATCTGACTGATACTCCGGAAATTCAGCTTGGCACCGAAATTTGGTGAGTTTTAGAGTGTTTTGTTTATTCAATTATATATAACGTTTCAATCCAAGAGAAACTTCAAGTTTTTATCAGCATAGGTATGTAAAAATCTTCAGTCTCTACGTGTTCTACCTCGTAAGTCGGTTTGCGGAGAGAATGGTGCAAAATAAAGTAAGTGAAAAATAAACAAGCATAAAGTAAAATAAAATTACGGGCTGTAGTCAGGATCCGAACCTACGACCTCCCGCCTGCGAGGCGAGCACGCTACCGTTTGGCCATGCGGAACTGATAAGGATGGAGAGCCTCTATCACCTATGTTTACCTTGTGCCGCTAGCGCACGCGTTTTTTCCGCATCTTCAGCCCTTTTTTTGAGGGCTTTCCCGACCCCATTCGAAAAAACGAAAAAATACGGCATCCCTAAAATCATCTCTAGTATCCTCATGCGAAATTTCAACTCAAAATTCCGGTTACACTTGGGAAGCTCCCCTTGTGAGTATACGGTGAAAATTTCATGGAACATTGAACGAAGAAAAATAATGATAAATTGGATACATACCTGCGAGTGTGACTAAAGAGAACATTTTGACAGAACCAGTAACGAACAGAACTGTAAGTTTTGAGGTGATAACAAAATGCATCGTGCCAATCGAGAGCTGTACCTCGCAATGATTTCTTAGTATGAAATCCTGTGTAGAAAAGGAATCGCGACGCAATCTGCACTGATAGCAAAGACAGTTCTTCAGCATGTTGCGCTATTCGGTCACCACTCAACTGTAGGTGTCTTTGGATGTGAGGATTTGAAGGGGTATTCGCTGATGTAAGATACCTAGAAAGGAAGATTTTTACATTAAAGATAAATTACAGCTTTTTCATTTCTTCTTCTGATGTAGTTCATCACTCCATCATAATCTTACTCTATAGTATAAAATCATAAGCACACCATGTCACGCTGAGGGTGTCACACTAATTAGTAACGCTCGGTTTCTCCTCCACTCCCCGCTCCCCTCCCGCCACGCACGCTCACATGCCTCCCGCCATCTCCAAACCGGGTTTTCCCTAACTCTTAATGATCTTTTAACGATCTCACAATATCTGCTTAATAGAGGCGCTTCGCGCCTCTGGGGGGTTGGACCGCGGAGCGGTCAGGGGGCGCAGTCCCCTAGTCATTGGGATAAAATTTTTTTTTTACATACAAACCACACAATTTCCACAAACAAGAGTCAGGTTAAAGAGTCTTTTTATTCTGAGGGCATTTTTAAAGGTCCGTCTAAATTTCAGCTTTGGAGGATACCAACTAGATTCTCACAATCTCCTGGATATGATTGCACTATCTTCCATTATGCCCGATAGGACGTATCTTTCATTCTAATGTGAAGATAAAATATGTATTACGAAATTCACCAATTATAAAAAAATCTTACCTGATGAATTGGAAATACTCCAATGAGAACTGATTTCGCGTATGCATGAACTTAACGTTCTGCCGGCGAACTGATTTCTCAATAGCAGAAGGCATTTTAAGAGGTTCAGGAGCAGAGGGTACCAATGAGGAAGATGGTGGGTTTGAGAGTACTAAATTTTTGATGTTGTTGACTAGATTGATTTGGTCCACGTCGGCATCGGTGGTGGCGTCTGCCCTTGTGTAGAAGAGCATGTACGCATTCCACCATCGCTTCTGCCTTCGCAAAGACATACGCTTCAGGATCTGATCAAACACTTCGCCCATGTAGTCCCCTCCATAACAGAGGTTCTTCATCTCCTCATCATCTTCCATTTTGCACTCGCTTACCTGAAAAACCAAGTGAAAAGAAATGCTGAAATCACCTCACAATAAGTTTCTCCTTGACTCATGCAGTATTCCTGAATTAGTTACCTTAATATTACTCAACAAAATCTGTAATATGCGAAATCCCTAGAACTTGGTGCTGAGAAAACTTAAGAAACTATTATCTGATTATATTGTAATTTCAACCATTTTGTAGCATTTTGCCTCCAGACTAGAATTTTCCTTAGCTCCTCCTTTTTCCAGCAAATTTTGCGGTAAAGATTAGGAATTTTTGGACAAGTCTGGGGGGCTAGTATAGAAGTATGTTCCACTACAAAGTGGTAAACTTTATGTACAATGTACAACATCTGAAATATTTGAACAAAATTTACATTATTCTTGTTGACACCTGGCAAAAATGTTGAGCCTACCTCGGATTCAGGCAAAAATATAGTTTTCCAGAAGCGTAATCAGGGACAAGGCTGGCAGGGCTTTGCAGCCAGGATGCAAAGCCGTAAATTCAAAGTGCTGATTATTCAAAAATAAGGATAAATGTATTAAAAAATAGTGACTTACCTCTCCATCATCAAATTTGTACCATTTGGAAGTATTGCCTGTTCGATGGAGGATGTAAGAGAAATAGTGGCCGCCACTTGCTTGGCCGCTGTGAACGACTATACCAGTCAGATGGTATTTGGTGCACACTTCTAATGTTTCATTGTTGTTCCCACTAGGCGACTCACAGTCAATCAATTCACCTTCTACTTTCGCTAGACCAGAAACTGGACACAGAAAATCACATTATGAGGGATTTGTTCCTGAGAGGGATGATTCATGATTTAGATGGTTAAATGGGCTTCTCATGCCAGACAGTACTATGTGAAAATTAATTGAATCGAAAGGAACTATGCGTCATGCAAACCCTATACACATAGGAAGTCTCTTTTGATTTAATTCATTTTCACTCAGTTCCATTGCATATCAATACTTCCAAATAAGGATGTGTGCATTTGTTGACTTAGTCAGAGCTTTCCTAATAACTCATTTCAGTATTATACAGCATTAAGGCACAAGATCGGTGCTTTAAACTATCAAGATGCGGCTACATTACTGGGCCAGTTTATTTTAATTATGATACGAATTGAGAAACTAAATTCCAACTAATACAAGGTTTCAATTGCCAATTATATTCTGAATAAAAAAGAACTCATGATAAAATGTACACAAACATCTCTTAAGATAATTTAAGCGAATTTTCTGTAGAATTTAATATTTCCAGAAGACTTTTAGCCTTCATTTAGAGCACTTTTGTCATCTTCTCAATGATAAAAAAATCAGAGGAATAACTGCCCAAAAAGAAATGTGGTTGGTCTGGTTTGTTGGAATTTCAAATCTTTTTGAAGCTGCCTTTTATATAATTTTTAATCTTGGATACATATATTTGATTGCATATTTTCTGTTATCCTACATTCTTATTATTATAATATCTATAGATAATATTTTACCTGTATAGGGTTCCATGTCAAAGTTCCTGGGAAACTCAAAGTAGTCATTGAATTTGATGGCACAAACCCGGTCGAAGTCATACTCAAAGCGTTTCAGCTGAATGGCTAAGACCGGTGGAAGTTTTTTAACACAGAGTCGCTTAACAGTTACCACCTTCTTATCGCACTTGTCACAGTGATAAGAGTCCGCACCTTCAAGCAGCTCCCCTTTTACATACTGCTCCATGGAATCTAATAGGTTGGAGTGGTTTCGGATGTCAACACTGATTACACTGAATGGCTCCTCTTTGGCATACCTACAGTGGATAAAAAGACATGAGCACGTAAGTCTCCAGAACACATATTAAAAAAGGTATACGTTATACAGGGAAGAAGAGAGAAAATCCTTTAACTTTTCTCCTTAGCGGTGAAACTGCATCATCGTCTAATCTCAAAATTCCCAAAGGAACTTTCGTCTTTAAAGATTTCAGTGTAAATTATTCTAAGTAAAGATTATGGAATTGTGAGAGGCAAATTAAAGAAATAAAGACTGACACTTCAGTGCTTAGCTTCTTGCAGCCTCTTATCATTACATTGTCTATCTCATTAGAATTTGGTTACATACTTAAAACTAATTCAATAGACACCAGGAAGAGGGTAAAAAAGAGTTGGGCAGTATATTCGGCAATTATCTGGAATACAGGATTATCACCCCAATACCAGCCATCTGGCTCCGGCCGGATTCAATTTTTGCAGGTATGCATCTGGCAGGATAATCTCACATTCCGAAATATTCACAATTGTTCGGCCAAACTCTTTTTTTAACACACTTCAGTGGTACGACAGATCGATTTTGGCTTTACTTTGGTAAAAAATGAAAATATTACCTATGAGGACACTCTTTGCATATTTTTTGGTCTGAATAGCTGCCACCAAGAATTTTGCTCATTATTTGTTCTTGGTTCAGTGCTTTTAATGCTTCATCAATACTTTCAACTAATGACATGAAAAATTCAACAGCGTCCTGTTGCTCTCTTAAATTAACTGGTTCTCCTTGTAATCTGTAAAAGTAGATCCAAACATAATTTTAAAAAAACTTCTTGAATATAAAAAATAATAACCTGAAAATTAGACAGGTACAACCTCATACATGATGAACAAAGTAAAATCACAAGAAGGTAAGGCTTCATTTGTTTTGAATAAATTAAACCTTGACTCTGAGCTCAAAAATAAATTAGGATCACCAATGTGTGGCCTCCATCAGAGAAAGGAGCCTTACTCCTTCAAAAGCTCAAAATTCATATCAGAGCATAGACAATATTTCTATGAATATTTTGGGACCAAACCCGCCAAAAAAGGTCACACCAAACTATGGTCATTATTAAATGTATGCAAAAATCTTTTGATCTGCGATGATACAAGTCGCAATCAGTAATGTGCAAAAATGGGAAGACCCAGCAAACGGGTTTTAAAAATGGGGAGGCTGGCAAAATTGCATTAATTCATATGTATAAGACTGCGTTGGAAATCAGCAAGAACTCGGTAATTTTTACTTACACAGCCATAAGAAGGTTATCACTTCGAAATTTTTTAGGATAAAGGGTATTTAAAATGGTAAGAGACATTTGAATAATGGGAAGGCTAAGAAGTTTCTGCATCTCTGTATCATGGTTTGAAGTTTGCAATTGAAAGAACGTAATTTCAGAGAAAAGCTATTTAATACTGTCACCTGTTTTAAAGCTAAGGGCACAAAATTGCAGTATTAAAATGAAACTTTACACTATTTACTGACACAACAATGGACTGAACCACTTGAAACTTATTTCTTGGAACAATAGAGAGTTTTCTGTCAGAAACTAAATCCAGTTTTTTGACTGAACTTGATGAAAATTATTCTATTAAAAATTTTGCCTCTATGGATACAGATCCCTTTCCTGATTCTCAGATGGTAGCAGCAAACCTAGCACCAAGGTTATAAGTGGTTTTTTGTAATAGAGGCCTCTCATTCGTTTCGCAATGCTGTTAAAAAACAAGTTGTGTTTCTAAAGAACCGAGTGTAAATGATGTATAATTTTCAAAAACACTAAAATTTACTTTCAAGAAATGAGATTTTTAAGTTAAAATAAGCAGCATCCAGTTTCAAAATTAGACAGATTCAGTAGAAAAGTCAAGAGATTTCAGAAATCTGTTTTAGTTTTGGCCCAGTACTAAATATTAATATTCGATTTTGATGCAACGAAGAATTTGTTTCAATCAAAATCTAAAAAAAAAAAAAAACTGGGAGGGATTTAAAAATAAGCAAATTCTGTCTCAATCTCTTGTAGACAATTTGAAAGCATGGGTAAAAGAAATTTCAGACAGTGAACAAAGGCAAAACTTACTTGAAATGTCTCCAGAGGCCCCTAGGAACATAATACTGAAGTTTACTACACGCTAGATGCCCAAAGATAGCTTGCACTTGCTTCAAAATCCCTATATTATACTCCTTCCTTGAATCTTCTAAATTGCACTTATCATCAAATTCCTGATTGTCTAAAATTAAATTCTGAAACACGAAAAAACATAATAAGTGAAAGATGACCATCATGGCAACAATAACATTACATGGTTTCCAAACTCATAAAAATCTGTGATGCCAGATAGAACATTGCCTTTGACTAATCTTTGATAACAGCGCATTGATGGTGCTTTGCACCAAGTAATCAGGGAGGGAAGTTTGGCAGCATTTAAAAATAAGAGAATCCATTCCCAGAAATGTTCGATGGCTAAGGGTCACCAGCGGCCATCATCCAAGTATTAGCACTAACATATATTGAATGCTGCCCTCTGTAGAGCACAAGCGCTGGCCCATTTGACCAATTTAAGAATGTTTACAATACTGTTACTCATACTGTTTGTTGTTGCTGATACTTTTAATTATACACAAGTTTTAGTGTTATTGAAATATGTGCTGGTATTAGTGACTGCTCTGATGATCACCAGAAGGCCAAAAAGCTTCAGTCATGTATTACAAGTTTTGATCAATTTTTTATGCAGTACTGCAGTTTCTTGTTTCATCAATTACATATAGCATCATCTGATTTATGCTCCTTGAATATAAATGTTTCATTTACTTCAGAATCATCGCCTGAGAAGTCCTCGTTTGGATCAGTAACAGCGCCTTCGGCTGCAAGGATTCCAGAGCGTATACTAGGCACCATGTATAGTTGTTGTATCACAGAATTCATGTAGCACGTTGCTCCGGCATTTTTAAGACCCACAAATCCTCGTGGAGGTCGCGGTCCTACTGGTGGCAGGTAATCCCATTCAGTCAGAGGTTCATCGTGTTCTAAAAAGAAAAAAAAACAGTCATCGATTGTTAAGTTCAAAAAAGAGAAAAATAATGAAGCTGAAAATCAATTTGATCTCGGAATTCCAATTCATTAAAAACTTAAACCACATGAAAATCGCACTGATTAGTGTAAAGACAAAACGTTTTGTGTCCTATTCACTAATTACCTCTCAACGAAAGATTTGACTTAGAGAGACTGAGAATGTTTAAGATGTGATACCTTCATGTGAAAGAAAGAGGAAAAAAAGTCAAGTGATTGACTCATTACAGATTAAAAGAAAGTGAAAGCTACCTACCACTGTAAAAATATTCAGTGAGCATGGCAACAAGTAAGCGCATATTTTGAACACAACCGGTACAAAGGGCAACCAAGAGATCAAAGCCGCTACTTAATGTGGCTGGAGTTGAGCAAACCGCTACTGGCTGCTCCTCAGGAAGCTCCCCTGATTTCCGCATTGTAACAAACATTCGCGATGCAGGAAAAATAAAATCTTCAACAAGTTCCTAAAACATAAGAGTTCTCATTAGTTGAAACCAAATGCTTTAAACCAGCAAATTCTGAGTAATTTATCAAATAAGTTCCAATAATTAGAGGGAAGAAAGAAAATATCAATATTTCTTCTAGAAAAAAATAATTTTATCACTTCAATGAGCACATAAAGTTATGCATGCAAAAGATATCCGTACAGTTTCATAAAGTTTGACATTTTAATTTAAGATCTAGCGCGGTTTTTAAAAAAGTTTAAGCCAAAAATGATTTCGAAAGTGAGAAAAAACTACTTGTGATAACTCTGCGTAAATGATTAAGATTTGAATCAAAGTTCTTTTTTAGTTACAAATTTGAAGTATCAGGAGATTCGTGATGGCAGAGAAAATAGGGAAACAAAGATGGATATTTGACCCACCTTAATTAGGTTAATACCCTCACTCTCATCAGAGCCGAGTTGAAACTTGCGTTCGGGCGGCATGAAGCTGACCAGCTCCTTGGTAATGCCCAAATGACCCTCAATGAGCGCTTCCTCTACATGTCCTTCCCCAACTTCCCGCAATCGCTCCTTCATCTTTTTCAGCCATAGGACCTCATCGACTAGAGTTGCATCTAAGTTCATGATAGGGCAGTTCCAACTGAACGCCAAGTTAAGTAGACGACACAGCAGCTGCAACACAATAACAAAACTTGAGCAAAATGGAAAACTAAGGTGAAATTAATTTGAAAGAGACCTATTTTTGGTGACGCGTTGCTGGGTGTGAATGAAGCCTTTTGTAGTCTGCTATAGCCCACCACACACTGAAATCCACATCAGAGCTTATTTCAAGCTATAATTTTTGGGTCACATATAAAACAACAATTGACCTAAACCCATTACTTTCAATATAACAAATTTTGGGGAAAATGGAATGATGAGGATTAAGGGCATATGATGGGGAAAAAAACTATCAAGTATATACACAGACACATTTCTTGAATTCTTTGAATTTCTTGTTTTTTGTCTTACTTTTCACTTCTCCCCATTGTCCACTGTCTACATTACAATGTATTCAAAAAGATAACAAGGTTCTTACTTCAAAATATTCATGAGAATTATGAGCATGTTCAACAACTAGGGTATTGAGAACACTAAATAAAGATGTAATACAGTGCTGCAATGGCTGCTGGCTACAGCAAAATGTCAACATGAGGATCAACTGCTCCGCTGCTGCCATTCGAATTAATCTAAAAAAGAAACAAAGGTTGGGTATGTTATTGACCATTGAACAGATAGCTTTAGCAAATAGAAAACATAATGATTTGTTTTCTTCCATTGCATTATTTTATCAAAATCATTGTCTTTATTATCACATCTTTATTTGTCTTGTCTTGAATTTACAATGTGATGATTAAAATTTTAAAAAACTCAATAAAATTTAGTACATACATAGAGCCATAATACCCATACGATACATAACCATGTGATTTGACTGTCAAAGTAAGAGACCAATTGACTGTATTAAAAATTTCTTTGCCAACATTTTCTTTGGTGTGAATGTTCCTTCCGGGCTGGTGAATCATGGTAGAAATTTTTGAAACTCGAATGTCTCAAACCCACTTTTCGCCAATAGCCGCAATGGAAGCACTTCTATTTGGTCATATGCGTCATTAATACTCTATGATTACTTCTGTAGAGGATGAGGAAAGAGGTGTAGAGAGCACCTCTATCACACATCAGCAAAATGAAAACAAGCCCTTCCAAATATTCATAACCACAACCGGTTTGACCTGAAAAGAATTCAGCAAGATAACGTTTCCTATTATCTGGTTTCTTTTGGTCTAAAATAATGTCAGAGTAAAGCTATGAAAAGGACCGACCAATGAGCCAACAAAACAGTACAAATAAGCAATTATTCAGGAATTGTGATGGACTGAAAAATGACAATTGAGATACTCACCTATTATTACATATTAGAACAATATCTACAATAAAGGTATGCCACATTTTTTCTTTGGTAAGAGATTCCATTAAACTCGGATTTAAAATTAGAGCAATTGTTAAAAGTTCTAGAGCTTCTTTTGCAACTGAAAAAAAGAGAAAATACATGTTCATTATTAAATACGTCAACATTAGAGACAACAAGAGCTGAAATGAAATGAAAACTTGGCAAAAATACTTAATTTCAGCCTACTAAGCGCTTAAATATTATATTTTATGATATTCATTGTCATTGCATTTTAATCATTTTAACTTCTTGGACTCTAATAATTAAGAGCTCCTTAATCATTTGCCCCAGATATGATCCAAAAATAGCCTTAAAGTGTAAAAGAGAGAAGGGCAGAGGTTGCTAAATAATGGTGAAAATACTGTGAGAAGAGTAAAATTTCGCTAAACGCAGATGTTAGGTTCAAAGTAATGAAACGTTAAATGGTTACATCCCAAAAAATGAATTGAGATTAAAATCTGGGTCGTACAGCAACGTTCCTAATATCTTCTACCTGAAATAATCCTACTGCCAAAAAAAACAGCATCTCACTGCCCTTTTTAGAATGACCAAAAATTTTTGAGCCAAAAAATCACCAAATTTACCCAAATGAGAGGAAAAAAATTCTCTCATCCGACCACGAACGTTAATAAGCATACTTGTTATAAAACAGGGATGACTTGAAATCTATTTGCTATATCAGTTGCTAAATGAAATTCACAACATTTGTGTTGTTCACAACAGTATGGAAAGAATGAAACGACGCTCTTACTATGAATAAAAAATCACTTTGAAATTACTTTTCTCTTTAAAATTGCAAGAGTCTTGGAATGGAAACCCACCTAACACATGTTCCTGCGATGACTGTTTATTCCTGATGAGCTGCTGATGGAGCTGCGTGTAGGAGACAATGTGAGATATGCTACCACCAGAAGCTGATGCCCATGCCATTTGGATGATGGCTGCGATGATGTCTTTGTTCGGCAGACTCCATTCAAGCGCTTGAACGATCAGGGGGTGCACTGGTTGCTCACCGTTACTTACACTACAAATCTGCACAAATTAGATGATACCAAAATTAGCTTAAGAGATGTATTCTATACAATTTTTTCTGCTCTACAATAAAATGAAACTGGCTGCTTTGTTCACAATTAGTACCTAAAAGGGCATAAGGAAAGTTATTCCAATTATTATTCATTCACCCTAAATGTGTTTTTGCTCATCAATATTCTGTTCTATTGTCTACCAATTAAATCAGAAACAGCAGATCTTCGTCCTAGATGCTGATCAAGGAGTGTCAAAGATGAGTTTTAAATATCATAAAAATGTTCATACTGTCCTACACAGAACGGTATTAAAAGTTATTCACAGTACACACACACAAATTGCACATGATCTAACCTGCAGAAGTCACCAGGAACCTCATCACTTCCTAATTGAGAAATCTTGGAGGATAAGAGGAAAAATAAAGAGAAGGGATCCAAATTACACACCTGGTCTTTGTAACAATGTGCTAGTTTCCTAGCAATATTGTATTCTATGCTATGAGACTGAAAGTTGACAATGGCCTGCTTGAGCATGAAAAGGGGCGTTCGCCGATGGAGGCCATCGCTGCACTGAGCGGGGAGAGGACTAGAATTAGCAGGACAAGGGCTGGCAGGATCGGGTGCTAAGGGCTCTTCAGGCATTGCGTTCGCAGCCGATACCAGTCCTGGCACTGGTTGGGACTCATCCATTGCCAAATGCATAATATGCCCTATGATTGTCAGCAAGAGCTTGCAAATTTTAAGCACCATCAGGTAAGCTGACCTATAGAGAGATAAACAGAATCAGACTTAATCAAACATGCAATGACGAATAAAAGGGAAAATGAATAAAAAAGTGGTCAGTTTAGAGGATGAAAAATAGTAAAGAAAACCCTTGTGCCCTAACATTAAAAATTATTCAAGTTAAAAGTCAACTCCAAGTATCTTTTTTGATTGAACATTGAGGTCCATTCCGGGTTGAAGACATAAAAAATAATAGTTTGAAAATCTATGATTTAATCAAGCTATAATTTGCAATTATAGTGGAACTTTTCAGTACATGTTTCATCCATTTAACACTGAGACAAAGACAGATTAAGTTTCTTGGGAAAGCCTTAAGAATTCCCAGAGAGGATTAGAACTGGTGATTTTTTAAAAATTCTATTACTTAGATTTTTAGCTATAATGATTTCGAATAAATCTATTGAAACTGTTTAGCTGAACGAGTTCATTACAGCTTTGTTGGCTGGATGATACTTTCACTAAAATTCTACATAAACAGTTATCAGTTTGCTCTTTTTGTTTCCTTATTACTACAGTCTATACACGAATATTCATTCTTGATCAATTTTATTTCTGTAAGTCTAGTTTGGGTGAATAGGACTATGCACAGAATACTAAAGAATGTGGGGCTAGTTAAATTTAGAGATTTTTGGTTGATATGTTTCTTACAACCTCCTGAGTGAGGTGAATTTTTGAAATCAAACTATGTACTTGCCAACCTAGAGAAAATGGAGTCTGATAAGCGCATTTTTCGCGGTTAACCACATGTTATTACATGTAAAAGTAGCACTAACTCTGAGTCAAAGATGTAGAGCTTTTTGTCTTGAACTGAGATGACATGCCGTCTTACCTCCCCTGCTAGCATGAGATAAGGGAAGAGGAGATTTTTACTCAATCACCTACGCTTGTTCATTTGAAAATGCATCTGAAACTGCCGAAAGATGCACTTTTCAAGTCCGATTTTCTCAAGATTGGTATGTAGAGGGTTCTTCTTTAAAAAGTTACCTTACTCAAGAGATCATAAAGAACATTGGAACAAGAAATCTCAGAATTTAGCCGGCGAATATTCTGTGCATGGTCTTTTGAAAATTTCTCATTTCATCTGTAGAGAAATTTAAAACCAACATACCTCATAGTAGATGAATCAGAGTTTGGAAGGATGTTGGTCGCTAGCATGTCTAAAAACCGTGCTGAGTCTTTGCTTCGTAGAAAATTAAACTGAAATTCGAAAGCACGGTCCGAAATTGGGTCCACAGCGGGCATTATTAAGGAATACAAAACCTGCCAACAAAAATCAGAAGAGATATCAGGATAAGAAATATCAAAGAAACTATAAAGTGAAGTAAAGATGCCTTTTACTCTTTACAATGTCCATCAGGATGTGATCCCTGATACTTTCGCCAGCACATATAAAAAGTAGTTGAAGTGTAACTATTAAATACTGCATAAAATGCTCATTAGATTACAGTAACATTAACACTACAGTCTATGACTTGAAAATTCCACAACTAAAAAGTAGAAATTGCAATTAATGGTAAGAATAGAATAATATGATTGTTTGATTTGTGAGTTCTAATTTTTGTAGACATAGAGCATGTGGGTGTAGTGGAGAATTTTTATATGATTTGGCCGGAGGAGAGAATTTTAGAGTTCTGCAGCAAAATTCCCCAACCTTCATATTTTTAATAACTTTTCAAGAACTTGTCACCCCGTATTAGGAACTATGCGCCAATTCATACCTCTAAGTTGTACAATACTTCCGACGGTGAGTCACAGTAAAACATGTTTTCTATTGTGGGGGGAGGTAGAGAATTGTTGGTGGTGACTGCTGGTAACTGACCATCTGCAAGGTTGGAAGCACTGCTAAATAAGGCCTGAAATCACAAGAACATTTTCATGAAAAATATGTGAATGAACGGAGAAAGCACATGCTCTCACACATGCTTTCCACTTAGTAAGGTACTGTAATTCATCGCAGAGAGAAAAAAAAAATACTGTGACTGAATCTTTGCAACAAAATGGAATAATAAGATAAGAATCAGCACACTACTTTGGCACATCAGAGTGAAAACAAATTGGAGGGTTGAAGACCAGTTTTGGGTATATATGCTATGGTTTCATGGATTGGATGAGTTTAGCTAGAATTAGCCTATCATCTCGCACTGCCTAATTTCCAACCATGTTCAATTTTATTCACAAGAAAACTCAACAACACGAAGTCTTGAAACTTCCAGAAAATTTCCCATAAAGTGTAAAAATTGTACTTACAGAAGAACAAGGCAGAATCGTGCTTTGTCTTCTTGTAATAAAAATTAGATATAAAAGGTAATTAGGCAATGTCAAGTGTAGTTAGACTGATTCTAATTAATGTCATCCAATTCATGTACTTTTCAACTATTTCTATGGTTGAAGTTAGATATTTAAAAAAAACCTTAACAGGTAATGCCTGCTTAAATGCACAATAAAGTAGAGGGCATAGAGTACCCATGGGGGCCATGGGATGGTTCGTAAGAGGATCATTCTCTTCACTAAAATTTAAAAATTCTTCTTCTCGAGAGGTTAATTATAAATAGTTATATTTTTCCCAAAATAGGGACTGTTCAGCACTGACCTGAAGTCTTTCTACAGTTGTGGTGTCCGGCGGGATTATCTTGAGCACAGCCCTGGCTGATTCTCGGAGGTGGAAGTCATTGAGCTCAGAGCCTTTGTCTGCTATGTGAAAGAAGAACTCAGCATTTTTGTGGTTCTGAGCCATCATCACACCAGGAAGATTGCTCTCAGCGTCCACATTTGGCCCATTATAGGGGTGTTGGGGTGAGCTGGTAGAACTATCAGATGAAGACTCTGGTGAACTCTGTACGTTTGGACTAATCTGCATCAACTTCACGGTTATGAACTGTAAATGGAAGAAATGTTGAAATGATCAAATGGGTTGGAAAAAATTTCAACATACTATATAAATAAACAATGACTATTTTAATCCGTTTACAATGCAATGCACACACTTTTGAGTAATGGGTCAGTTTTGCCCGGGAGAAGTTGGCCTGCAATGTTAACTCACAGTTTTTGGCACAAGAAAAACGATGAGCACATTGTTAATCTCATAAAAACAAGCCCCCACTGAGAAATTCAACTCCTTTTGTTAGGAAATGTTGAAAATGCTCTTGAAGGAAACTGCCACATTAGTTATACAAAAGCGATATAGCTGTAATAACTACTGACTTACTACCAAAATACCACATTTTCAATTGTTGACATTACGTTGTAGGTTATGTTAGCACATGACTTTTGAGATATTCTGAATTAAACATTTCATGTTGATTAATGCCGCATATTCTGGCACTATAAAATCCTCAAAAAAATACTGAAAAGGATATGATTGGGCAAAGATTAGGAGAGTTCAATTTTCCTTGAATTTCTGGCAGAGCACATTTGATGCATTGTTCAATTAATTTTTCTCCCAGTTGCTGTCATATAAAACAAAGTTGATGAATTACTGTAAGCTCAATTTTTACATAAGTAATGCAATTTGTTTAAAAAAAAGGGCTTGACCAAGATTATGTTTACAAGAAGTTAAAATATTTTCTGTCGGCAAAAGTGACTTGAACCTATGAAAACTGTTTTTGAACAAGATTCACTTCTAGAGAATTTCAACTAATCTTGTCTCCTTCCTGTTGTAAATTTCTAAGGCCACTGATAATACTGTTGAAATTTCCCTCATGCCTGGAAAAAAGAAGAAGTCTGCGCTTCTTGGACAACTTACCGTTTTATCCCGCACAGCCATCTGCCCCAGCACCTTCTTGTCCATCATGAGATCCCCATTGATGAAGAGCTCAAGCTTAATGTTAGATGTTAACTTGATTTTGCGGATGATCTGCCTTTTGATGGAGCCGATGGTTTCATTTGTGTGGGTTAGCATCTCCATATCATCGCCTTGCCGCACCGGATGAATAAACCGGATGACTAGAGTGATTGGTTTTCCTCTATGAGCTCTAAAGCATAAGTCAAAATAAAAAATTGACAATTTGGCTGGGCAATGATTAGTTTAAAAATGAACTACCTTTAAGTGATGATTGTACTTCCCATGTCATATGATTTAATATTAAAAATTTAAGCCCTGATGATAAAATTCTCCTTACAAACGTCAAGAATGTTCTGCTAAAATCCTGGTCGACTCACAGGAAGGAACACTAGAATTCCTTCCACCAGCATGAATTCATAGTTTGAATACATGGTTGTTCCAGCTGTCTATGTAGAGAATGAGACATTAAATTACACTCCATTTACATTTACTCTGTAATTACAAAATCAATATCTAATGAAGGCTACTTTGAGGAGATACACAATAATCAATCTCTCTTTTTTCAGACCTATAAAACTGAAAATTTTGTTAGTAGGAGATACTTATGAAACAATGAGTGCCCAGCGTGTCTTCTTAGAGAGGTCTCTAGATAACTTCTAGCCAGGCTGAAAACAAGTGATTGAACAATCTTTTTCAAGGGAAAACTCTTTGACAAAATTAAAGAAAAACCCACAAAGAACCCCAACAAATATTTACTGCAATTTTGAATCGTAGGATAGTCTGGAGTGCCAAATCTCACCTGAACAATGGAACAATTTTCCGTTCATCATGGAACTCGCTGTCACACTCGCATATATACTCCTGAAGCACCTTCATGACTCGACTCATCTTGAGAGTCTCTCCTTGGACAAGGGCGGCGGACGCAGCATCCGTTGGCACAACCTGTTGTGTGAGAACAGCCACAGTGTCGTAGTGCGTACGCAATCGGTCCACACACTCCATAATGAAAGAATCATGAAACTCTGTTACCGAGGAGGCAAGCTTTGGGCCCAAATTCGTACAAGTTTCTTTGAGAAGCTCAATGGCTCGATTTGCAATTCCATCAGAGGACGTTGTTATTACCTTAGCAGAAACAAGCATCAAAATCATGAGATCAATATTGGTAAACAGAGAGATGACGATGTTCAAAGACTCTAAAAGTAATTTAGGAAAACTACAAGAACTAACAATATGACTAGCATTTTTGAGAACTGTCCGTTAAAATCACTCAAAAAATGAGGTATTTAGAGTAAACATACATGGTGCTTTTGCATGAAACCACACCATGCTGACGTTATGCCCAAGAGCGAACTAAAATTTTTACGTCATTGCTTTGGCCGAATAAAAGGGTCCTAAACTAGAAGTAAGGTTAATCATACAGTGAAAAAGTAAAGTGTCTCACTATTGCAGATAATTATGGGTCAATGATGTGATGTGGGAAAATATCAGTGAAAACAGTAAAAAAAACCAAACTAATGGATTCTTTGTAATTTGTACTGATAAGACAATGATCGAAAAAGTTCACTTACGCGCCACAAATAATCAGTCCCAATGAGATCCAAGTCATCCATAAGCACAGCGCGGCGTTTGATTTTGAGCTTGCCTTCCTTGATGTTCACAGCACGAAAAAATCGCTCAAAGCATTTCATACCCGATTCAGTTAACAGAACCGGATCAAGCTGGAGAATATTGCGCTCAAAGAAGTCCCGATTTACAGCAGGGTCTAGATCTGGTTCCTCGCCCATGAGCTTAGAAAACCACTTGAAACATGCTTCCCGGTCGCAAACAAAAACAGCCTCTTCAGCAAGTGAGTGCCAAATTTCCCGCGCCTGATCAGCGCACAACCACAGTTGACCATCCTGGAATAGTAAGGTAAAGAATGTAGTTCGGAGAAATCCTGGAGTCCTTAAGAATTTAAAACTTCATGCTGCCCGGAAGCTAGACATAGTCACTTAAAAGGCTCAGGTGCATAAAACAGTGAAACCACTATCTCTTGGTTGGATATTAACTAAAAATTAACTTTCAACTTTCAATTAATATTTTCTCTAAATCAGTTTACACACTAGTTTATTGCAAATATTGACTGTTGGCATAACAAAAAGTGAGAAACAAATAAGACTCATATTCTTTATCATTTGGACGTATTTCTATCAAACAGACCTAAGCGCCATAGGGTGAGGAAGGTAATGGGGGGCTTGGATTGGCAGCGGAATCGGGCGTTCGGCTTATTCCGTCCTATACTCGCAATGCTTTTTCATGGCGCTTAGGTCCATTTGACAGAACGCGCCATCCGGAATTCTAAATTCCTCAAAAGGAACTCAAATTGGCGCTTAGTTCCGTTTGATAGAAATACGTCCATTTGTTGCAGTGAGTAATACAAAAATAATACTAAGCTTTGATAAGATCTGCTTGAACTTCCACTTTGCCTTGAGAACAAACTTTTATCAATTAAAGGTTGCTTTTTAACAAGGTGGAGAAATGGTGCTGGGTCCAGTCCACACCATTTTGCAGGGAAATTAAAGCCAAGAAGTTCCAAAAATTATGATTAGAGTCAAAATTAAATTTGTTTTAACTCTAATGAGTACCAGTACAAACAGCTTGTTACATACAGTATTCGGGCTACTTCTTAGTGTTTTTTTTCTCATTGGTAGCTTTTTATAGATATAATAGAGATTTTTATAGAGTCATTTATTACTGGAAAAAAATAAATTAATTGGGGTGGTTTAGTTTTAGCAAAACTTTCATTAACAGACTAACCTTTAGCAAAAATCTTAGAAAATTCAGTCTTTCTTGAACCTGTGCAACATGGTTGTACCGCTTATCAGGGTAAAAAGTTTCCGGATCAGTGTCTGGATGCTGTTGAACATACTTTCGCACTTTATCCATATAAGAGGTCAGACTATTTGTTACTACTATTACTAATGTATGTTCTTGCTGCAGCTTGTCTATAACTTCTTGCCTGTAAAAAATATCATGCAGAAATAGTAAATGGCCAGTGAATAAGTTGTAAGCATTGTTTAAAACTGCACGTTAAAAGTGCATTGAAGCAAAAGGTACACTCTACTACAGGTATGGACAAATGGAATTTTAGAAAGTTGTCGAAACGTGTAGATTTGACAGCGTCCAATGGTACGACTACGACGCCATATTGAAAACTTATTTACTTTCTGTTCTGAGAGTGGGTCTTGTCAATTCGTGTTATTTTTTCGTGTTCTTAATTAAGTTTTTCGTTATTTTGAGTTTTATCGATTTTATAAATTCATCTGATAGCTTATTGAAGCTACCAGATCTGCCGGAACCTCATTTTGAACTGCGCGGCAAAGACAGTAGAGCTTGCAACGTCACTCCATGGCCAATATTCTCAGCGCTGCCACTTAGGCACCCTACTTGTCCATACCTGTAGTAGAGTGTACTTTGGCATTCAAGGGTAGGTGAATAAAAAGGAATCAAGAATAATGTCAAGACCAGAGATAAGATTGATGAGTAGTAGTAAACATGAAGGGTGGATGGTTACGATCTAATAAAAAGACTTAAAACTCACCTATGAAAAACATTCCTTTGAGAGTGATTGATATTTGTAGTAGGCTCGTACAGACTACAAATTTCTCTAATTTGTTTCAGCGCTGGTAGAACCCAGTTGTCATTAGCTTTCAGCTCTTCAACACACTTATTTAACCAAATAGTTTTTTGAGCATCTCTCTCCTGAAAACAAAATACATAATTACAACAAAAAAGAATTGTAATATGAACATAATAATAAATTTGATTATTAACCCTTTCAATGCAACAAACGAGTTAATTTGTCTCACTCCTGCGCTGCCGCGCAACTGGATCACTGCCTTATGGCTCCTCAATAATAATGGAGTGAAACTTTTAATATATGCTATCTATTGGTGGGCATGTCACACAGCGTCAAAAGAGAGGCCGAAAATGGCTTTTGGCAAAAATGCTTCAAAGTCCCCTAAAAGATCACTGAAACTACGAGAATAAGACTATAAATATTTCAGAAACTAACCTGTGAGCAATTGTAATCCAATATTTTAACATGCGCACTCAATGCTTGATCCATAATTTCAGTTGTTAGAACATCTTCTGAATGTGCGAGATTCCAGAACAACGTGAGCACTTTCTGGGCCATAACACCCTCTTTATCGTCTTCTGCTAATCGTCTAATTAGTTCTAATAACTTTTCTCGCTGCTTCCTATTCGCAGTTGTCCAACTTGACTGCAGAGAAAAAAAAAACATTAGGCTTTATATAGAGCTACTGGAAAAAGTCTGCCATAATGAAGGATATTCCTTGATTTTCAGAATTAAACAGTGCCAAGCTGGAAAGAAGCATTGTTCTGAAGTACACAAAACTGCACCTACAATTGAGGACATTGCACCAAGAACAACCTATAACTGGAAACCGCGTTTTGAGAAAAACGCATTTAAAGTTTTGTTTTTGATGTACTGCGCAGACTTTTCTATGCAGGTACCCTGTTTTGGTGTTTTTGGGTGACCTAACCCTTCTACTGAAGGATGCCGGGTAGATTTTGCGATACATTTTGGGTTTACACTCTAATATAGTTAATTTAAAAAAGCGGTTTATAGGTCGTTATTACGTCCAACAGTCATTTTGGTGGCAATATGCAGTATAAATCATTTTAATCACGCATGATTAACGCAAAATAAAAGAATATCGATGGTGATTATAGAGAGGGGTAACTAGCACATTATAGGCCCTTAAATTTATAGGCCCGTATTACGCCCAACAGTCATTTTGGTGGAAAAATGCGAAGTATACATTTTTGGAGGAAAGGGTAGTTTGAGAGGAGAATAAATTATTTCAATAGCTCGTTTTTCTGAAATAAAAACAAATCTTTATAAAATGAGATCAAAAAATCGAGCCATCACTATCGCCGCGCCGCGCCGATGCCCGCTAACCGAGAATGATAAGGCCGCGCGTATAGGTCGTTCTTGCACCCATCGATCCAGAGGCCTGACTTGCCTCGGAAAAAAAAGGTTTTTCGACCTCGAGACGTTACCTATCTATATTCTATCGCTGCCACAGCATAGTCCAGGGTACGTAGAATCCGAAAAGCAGATTGGCGTAATAACGACCTATACGCCTATAGGTTGTTCTTGGTGCGGTGTCCTCAATTACGGCACATTTAAGGAGTGGACAAATATAAAAAAAATTTCAAATCAAAAAGTTTGCACATTTTCTCCGATATTCATTTTAAACTCAAGCTTACTCAATTTAGGTTTTAAAACTTTTAAAAGGCTTTTAAAAGATACAGTGAAACCTCGCTAAGTCGGTTTCCGGATAAGCCGGTAACCCGCTTTAGTCGGTAGAATCGCCCGGTCCCGTTTATTACCCATATAACACAATGCTAAATAAGTCTCGGTATCTCGGTTTGGTCGGATTCTGAACCCGCTTAACTCGGTGAAATTTGGTTCCATCTCGACCTGTTTTTCTTCGATCGTCACCCGTGATCAAGCGTAGGTAGTGTTTCCGTGCGCGGTGCGGGTCGGGTCAAGTTACGCCACGAAGGGTGAGCGAATCTCCGAGAAAGCGCAGCGCAGTGCGAGAAACGACATCGGAAATAGAGAGATAAGGAATCAAAAACACTCGATAACGACACGAAAGATGAGAACAGTAGAGAATAGGATATCTGATACCGCGTGTTATCTTATCGCGCGTGTGAAAACACGCATGCATAATTAAGCAATTTCACGCATCGATGAGTTGACAGGTCAAGTCGGCACCGGCCCCTCTCCCCCTACCATCTTGCATTGCCCTTCCCCGCTCCCCCCAGGAATCTTCCGCAGAGTTTTTCGGAGATTTTAGCGAGTATTGATACGTTGCATTTTCAGTTCAACGACCCGCCATAGCGGGTGGCCGCGGCGCATCACCGCGCGGCATGTCGCGTGGGGTGCGCGGGGGGTGATACGCAATGGGGTGCCGCGGCACCCCAACATACGATTAACCCGATGACTTCATGATGCCCTGACACTTACAACACGCAATTTCAAGTGCATCTCATGAAATTTTACTCTTTAGTACCATTTTCTTCGATCAAATGACTCTCCTAAACACTCCTAAACACTCCTACAAGTCACTCTACACGCACGTTTGCGTTTGTCCAATTTAGGGCGCGAAATTTGAAAAAGCGCGGCAGGAAAAGTGGCAGTCCGCGTAAGTCGGTAACCCGCTTAACTCGGTAAATTTCCTCGGTCCCGATGAAAACCGACTTAGCGAGGTTTCACTGTACTACACTTTTAGAAATCTTTAGCTATAAAGTTTCATCTTTTGGTGGATCAAAAACCATCCAATGAAAGATGACTGTCAGAGATGGAAGATCAAAAATAATAATGGGACAATTTTCCCCCTCAAGAAAAAATGGGGAAACCCCCTTCCAGATTTTGACAGGGGAGATTACACAATTTTTTAATTTTATAATACATTCCTCTGGAAATAATAGCTTTTGCTGTAGCATTTGGACAACACTCCAAAACACGAACATCAAAAATGCCATTTGCTCCTTCCTTCAACACTCTCAGGAACCCTTGAAAATTTTTAAAGGCTAGTGGTTGTAACTTGTGTTCAGGACTTCCTTTCGCTGATTGATTTCAAACTAGAGCACATTACATTTTGCCAATTCCTTCTTATAATTGTAAATATTGCTAATCTTGACTTATTCCATTTTACTAGAAATGATAAAAAAAGAGGAAATAATGAAACTCATGTTTCCATAGGGCCTCACCTGAAATCTTTCGAATAAATGATCCAATTGCTCTGAAGAAAAATCCCAGGCTAGTTTAGCAAATAGATCATGGACATTTTTGACGATTGCTTCATGTTTCCCTACTTGTGCTGCCCAAATTGCATCGAGGTCTTGAATTGTCAGCGCTTTTTCTTTGATTATAAACCTTAGGATTTTTTCTAATTTCTCAACGTACTGCGGCTGATGCATTGAGTCAGCCAGAACTATTTCCAACACATTGTTCTCTTTGATCCATTTCTGTAACAAAAAGAAGTTCAATTGTTGATTCAGTTTGTGGAAGTTATTGCCAATGCATACTGATGGCGAAAAAACCTACGTTTTCCTTTACTTAAATTTTTATCGTGGAAGTACATAAAATGAACATTTAAACACTCTCATAATTAACAGGTTTCCTCCATTCTTCCATTTGAAACATCTAAGCAATTGAAAATATATGACACAAGCTTAGACAAAACACTGAAAAAGTCAATCATACAACTTCAAGAAAAAATTGTAAAATCGAATAAATATGGAAGAACAATAAGTGAACGGTTAAAATATCACACTGTATTCCGATTTATCGATCATATTCTTGAGACCTCCGGTAAAAGGAGCTGAGGATTTTTGTTTTAAGTTTTGACTATACAAACATTTTTTACACCGAAAAAGGGAAATTTTTCATCTTGTTGGACAATTCTTTCTTAAACTTTCCTTGATTGACTGTTATTGGTTTTTTGATCCAATTGATTTCTAGAAGTAAAGGAGGATTTTGAAAGACTTTAATGAAACCTTTTTTTACATATGTAGTACAATCCTCGTGAATACTAAAAAATGCTTTTGCAAAAAATGTACAGAAAATACTTTACAGGCAAAATTTTGGACTTTAGTGCTTAAAAAAATTAATAAAAAATAAACTTTCATGAAAGAAAAACTGAAAATAACTTACAGCCATTCTTTCCGGAGTAAGCCACTCTTCTCCTTGGTCTAGGGCATGTCTATGCGAGTAATATGAAACACTAGAAATCACTTTGTTTACTTCATTTAAAGCGTTCATTTTCCCATTAAACGAAGAGATTTGTAACAATCTGAAAAATTATTTGCAAAGTAAAGTATTAGCATGAAATTAGGTCAAGAGGCACACACAGTCACACAATTATTCGCAATTCATGGTATTATGAGGTGAATGTGATACTGGTATTATGAAGCCCATAATGATCATATAAATTGTCCAATGAAAGAAATCTCTTTTCAAGGACTACAGGTGACAAAAAATCTGGAAAAAACAACGGGTGTCGATTGCTTTCAAGAGGGTTTTTTTTTTTTTTCAGAGCAGTTTAAGGGGAAGACATACTTGTTTTCTCCAGATTCTACGGAATGGATTTTAATTTCGGTGAGTTGTCTCCCTCTTTCATGTGACATCTAGAAATTTCAAGATTATATCAAATATTTACACCACAACATATCAGTTATTCTGAAGGAAAATAAGAGAAAAAATATGGGTATTAGTACCTTAAAATCATTTTCAGACGGAAAATTTCCAACTGTTTTCCAGTTTCACCTTGACCAGGCACTCTAGAGACGAGTAATTTACACGCTTTGATGATTGACGAAATGGCATCGTTCTTTGATTCGTTTTTTGCTTCCTTTTTCAGTTCTTCATCAGTTAGGTTGTTTAGGAGTTCCGGTATCATTTCCTGAGCAAATGACCAGGTGAAGTAAGACACAACAGCAGATATGAGCAATAAAAGCTTACAAGCAAAATCACACCAAATGTTCGAAAATTTATCAGTGTGCTATAAAAATTGTTCACCAATATCCAAACTTAGCTCTACATACCCTCACTGTTAAGCATCAGCATTTCTTGTTGAAAATGGCAGCAGATAGAGAAGAGATCCAAATGTCCTGATTTGAACAAAACTATACTGCTGTCATTGAACAGCTTCTAAAATTTTGGGATACCATTAACCCTTTGCCCCATGAGCTAGGAATTAGCCGACCGCACTCACACCCTAGGTTAGGAATTTGTTTACATAATTTCAACGTGAACAAACTGGTAATAGTGATAAGCGACGGGGGCGCAGCCTGTCAGAAACCATCTCAACTGGTAGTTCATTTTATTACCAACAGATAGCACTACCCATGTGCCTTTCTACGATCATTGACGCAAAGCACCTGACAGAGCGGCAAATATGATATAGGTTACAAGACGGATTACTCGTCCGTAGGGGCTCAGTGCTGCTTTTCAATGACGAGTATTCTCATCCCTAGGAGGCAAAGGGTTAAACATTAATTAACTTTAGCCTGTAACACATGCTGTTAAAACATACTGCAAAAAATTAAAATTAAGTTAACTGACAAGAGATACTTACAACAATTGGCATTAGGTATTTTTCGATGGTCTGAACAGTCAAAAGCTCATAGCAGAGGCCAAATGGTCTAATTAGAGCGTATATCACAGGTACGGTTAGATTCTTTCGCGATTGAAACCTATCTAAAAGTATTTGAAAACCATTTAAACTTCCAAACCTGAAAAGAAAGAGGAATATTTGGTTAAATTAGAGTCTTCAAAAAGAGTTAGTAAGTATTCAAGTTCCAACACTTTATTAGAACTAAACCTAACAATGGGAGGTCCAATCAAAGGTAATTGAAGGCGAGCAAAGGTAAGAATCAGAAAAGCCAAGAAAATATGAAACACAGATTGGTGATTGAGGAGATCTCTCTGTTCTTTGCCAGCCAAGGGAGAAAAGATAGATTTATGTCCATATATTCCTGTGTTTATCAGCCCAAAAGAAACAAAATTCTTCTGAATAATGACAGCATGTGGCACAAATTTGCGTCATCTGAAATTCAACACGGCATTACTAACGTATCTTCACAGAAAAGCCCTCTAAAAACTAAAAATTCACTTTTTGGCTCTGATTTTCTCAAAACTGAGACGCAGAAAAGTTGATTTATAAAACAATATTCCGCCGAAACCAATTCCTTTGGTTATATGAGCAGGGTCCTATGCAGATTTCACTAGATTCTTGAACTAGGGAATTAGACAATAAAGGAGGATGCGTTAGACCTAGACAGAGATTACAAGAATGAGGAAAATTTGTGAAATTTAGAATGCAGCTGTCATCAAGTAGAAAATGCATTTCAATTTCTGCTATTATTAGAATATCTTCTAATACTTTGAGCGACTTATTTTTCTAGATCCAGTTGTTTGTGTTGTGAGGCTTTAATTTCTTTGATGATAGAAACTTACTTGTTTATAAGATCTATTAACCAGCCACGAGCATTCCGAAAATCTGGACCAGGCTTCGCAAAAATTTCTTCGTCTGGACTATCAAGAGGAACTTTTTCCGAAGACCTTGATGCATTGAAAGAGTGAAATCTAGAAGAAAAAAAGCAAAATTTAAGCAAAACAATACCGAAACTGTTTCAATTGATTGATTTTATTAGTTCACTAGCTATTCGAGGCGCGCTTGAGAAAAGTTACCTAGAAAAATCCAGTAAACTAAGAGATCCACTGAATCAAGCGTATACTGTAGTGCTCGAGAACATCCACTAGGGTGAAAACTGAAAGCAGAGTGAATTTGAACTATGATTCTTTGGATTCATTCCACAGGAGCGAAATGTGTTCATGACAAACTAAAGTGCTTTGTCAACAAATAGTATAGCTCAAATTTAGAATATTTTCCGAAGGAAATACAATAGTTCACAGTTGAAACTGTGGAGTAATTTTTTTGTCTTTTAATTATACCACGGATGATTCTGAGGAGACCCAGGTATCTTAGCAAAGAAAAATTACGGACTTGTTAAAAAAGATATAAAAGTTGTAAAATTATACTGCCTCTAACAGGCACATCAATTAAAATTACAAAAGAACTTAGGGTTGAGTACTCAATAGCAATTCATTGGAAGATCTTTCAAAATTGCTGATTTTTTTTGTCACTGACAAGATTCTTAAAGATCATTAATATCAACTTGGGTCTTAGTCCTTAACTACTATTCCAAGAATTTCTACACAACTACCCTCATACTTACTTGTTACTGGGGTTGAAGACCATAGCTAAAAGGTCAAGCAAGGGGAACCAGTCTTGGTTGAGCTTAAGTACTATTAGTTCGATTAAACGCTCGCAGTTCTTGTAGATGCAATGCTGAATGTTAAACTTCCAACTGTTGACTGCATCATCCGTCAATATCTTCGTAAATGATATAGTCAAACCCTCCCGAAAAAATCTTTGACATGCTTCACTTTTCACATCTTGACCTGTAAAAATAAACACTTTCATGAGTTGCTTGACTTAGGATAAAATTTTGACTTCTTGAGACTCAAATTATGGAAAAAAGACACTCAAAAGTTGTCCAAAAGGTGCCACTAAGATGAAGTCTTTTGTATTTCTTTTTAAAAAAATTTCACATTTAATTGAAAATTCCCTCCTTATGTTCACTCCATTTTACTCACTACGCTCAATTGCTTAATTCAAGCCACACGGGAAAAAAAAAATTGCTGATTCAACAATTCAATTGCTAAAAACAGTGAGTGCAATGTTTCAACACAGATTTTACAACAAAAAAATGCTAACTACTATGCTAACTACTACACGCTATGCGGTAAACTAATTTAACCGCGGGGGTGGTTAAAGTCGCATTTTTTTGTTTTAAAATCTGCGTTGAAACATTGCACTCACTGTTTTTAGCAATTGAACTGTTGAATCAGCAATTTTTTTTTTTTTCCATGCAAAGTAGAGGATCATGGCAGGTAACAGGGACACCTTAACATCCTGGGGGACAAGAAGCTTAAAGAAGCCAGCCATCTTGTTGTTAAATCATGTTGGTTGTAAAAATGTAAAAATCACGGTTTTCCTTTGAAAAGATGGCCTTAAGCTACCAATGTCACCTCTCCTCTTTTGGGAATTGGTTGGTCTCCTCTTTTAGTACGTTTAGTTGTGTAACACATTGACTGCAACAGTGTTTTAGGTACTTATTAGACCCGGCATCACAGCCTTTTTTTAAATTATCTTGAAAAAAAAAAAAACAAAAAAAAGGACAGACAAACATTTAGTAGTGCATTCTCTAGCTAATGCCAGGCCGATCATGAGCCATAAGCCATATACGCATCTCAGTCGGTGTGGCCTCGACAGAGCCCGTCAAGGCCGGTTGATACGACTGGCGTGGTAGTTGACATGGTAAAGTTCCATTCAGTGTGACAGGTCAGTGATTCAGGGCCTGAATTTTTCTACAAAATCATCTCATGTTCTTGAGTTCTTCCTTTCTTTGTCTTCGACAAGTCACTGATTCATTTCTTTTCCAGGGAAAATACTAGGTAGGAGTCAAGATGTTACTATGGAATTCCCGAACTTTTCCCAACTGCCATAAATTCCCTGCCTTACCCAATTTTCCAGACTGTTCGGAACCCTAATAGTATACTTTTCCTCTTACCTGATCGACACAAATTAATGGCTGCCTCTATCAAACACTCCAGTTCCTGATCAGGAAGAACAGGGACAATCCAGCGAGGAGATGATATTTTCTCATCAAGGGACTGGAGCTTATCATATGGGAAATCCACTTCATGGCACGAACATGAAGCATCATTACAGTTTTGGTTGAATGCTGGGTTGGGCGGCTCTGCTTCAGGCCCTAGTGGGGGAGCTGTTCCACCCACTGTTTTTGCACCTGGCAGCGGGGGATACCGGTCCCGCAACCACTCTTGGTAATCCTATAACAATTTAAATGAAAGTCATTCAAAGTATTTTCATACATCTTCAGGAGTGCCATAAAAAATTCATGAAATTAAGTGGTGTGTAAAATGAATTTTGAATTTTTTTTAAAAAAAAACCTTCAATGCAGAACAACAGCTTTGCTGTGAAATGCCTCTCTAAGAGTGTGCAAATATCTAATATTATATTTAAAAGAGTTCTCCAGTGTTCAGTGACACTTTTTAACGGGTGTTCAATTATTTGATCACATATTTTAGAGATGAGGGAGGTAGTTAGTCATGAGATGAGTGGGATTTTTTTGATACCACATACTTATTGAGCTGCCGCTTTTGAAATACTTGGTAAGGGTGAATTTTAAAGGTATTTTAAGTTGACAGATGAAGTCATGCTGATGGTCATAAAATAAACTAATTCACTTCACAATTGATCAGTGTAATCAACATGAATCTGTTTGGCACAAGCAACTCTAGCTTACATTTTGTACTTCATTTTTTCCATTGTACTCAGCATTCTCTCATACAATAACATTTCAGAGTCAAACCGTAAAAATGACAGAAGAAAGATGTTTTGAGTTACCTCTCCTCGATTCCGATTGACAGAGGGTGGGATGCACACAACAGAGGGTGGGATGCACACACCCGGCTGCTGTTCAAGGGAACAAGATGTTTGTCTGGCAACACGTTGAACTCGAGCTCGATCGCGAATCTGTGCAAGCGAGAGGCGGAGAGGGCCTGGTACCGGCTGCGATGGGTCTGCAGCAGGTGGCTGCGTTTGTGGGTGCTCTGGTTGTTGCTGTGTTGGGAGCTCGGGGGTATTCTGTTGGATCTGCTGCATTTGTTGGTTCTGAGGGAGCTGAGGCGGTACAAGAGGCTGCGTCTGAGGTAATTGCTGCTGCCCAGGAGACTGTATCAGTAATAATAAAAGGGTTTGGTATGAGTAAAATGATAATGGTCTAGAAAGAATACTTTGCTTCCGATACTGCCTAACTCAGAAATTCAAAAATTAACTCAGGACTTTTAATAGCTTACAGCTGAAGTATCATCCTTCTACCTGTTAGTCTCTCTTAAGTAGCTGATGAACATGTTTTGATAGAGTTTCTTTTGTGTCCTGAAAATAGGGAAGGCAGGGAAATTGCAATGCAATAAGTCTCTTTTCCAAACAGGGCTAAGCAATAATAACCTTTAATGCTGTAAATTTTAGAATTTCAGGAGAAGCCTTCACAATCTACTTATCTCTTCAGTATAAGACTTTGCTGCAGGGGTGACATGAAATAACCTTTTTGAAGGTCCCGAACTATTTTTGTCAAAAATCGAAAACGTACCTAGTACTTTTTGCATTCCTTTCACTTCAATGAATATAAAGAAACATTTAACACGTTAGAATCTTAGGAGGTTGTTAGCTTTTGAACTTCACTGAAAAGCTAGATCTGCATGGACGATATGATTTAATATACGTGCTACAGCAAAGATTAAGATCTCATCAGAGGCAAGTTTTCTGCATTCTGGAGATCTAAAAATATGATGTGACATGATTGGAGAGTCTTACTTGATTAGTGGAGTTCTCAGCTGTTTCAGCCGGGAATCCTTGTCCTCTGGTGGCAATTGTCATGGCTATTTGCTTTTTAGATATTCTATTTACATGACACACGTCCTGTGATTTGATTGACTGATGCTGTTTCTAAACAAGTTTGATATCTTATTTCCATCAAAGGAAACGCACCAAGATTGTAATCAGCCAACCAATATATTTGTGTAGATACAAACGGGTTGATCAATAATGAATGTCAAAGCTGGTTATGTTCGAGCAAATAGACAACTAAGTCAACCTGGAAAATAAAAGAGACAATAAAAAAATTAGAATTTATCTCAAAAGTCAACTTGTTGGTACATCATTAAAACTGATATTTTGAATTACACCCCTTGCTGCGGCGTAAGTTGTAAATACAATTCTGCGATTGAAAATGATTGGGAATAAACTTTGATGACTGCAAATACTTATAAAGTATTTTAGATATCAGTAAATATTCCACTTCTTGTTTTGTCTTCCCCCAACAGCTGATAGTTCACAGTGATCATAGTGCCGCTTCCATGCGCACATTCCTGGACATCCTGAGAGGTTGCAGTGGCAGAAGAAAATTCAAGTCTTACAATAATATAATTAACAGACTTGAAGTTTCTTCCGCCACAGCGATTACTTACAAAAAAATTTACCATATAAAAAATTTTGATTTTTCCTTTCTGTTAATTGAGTACGGGGTTTTTCCTGACCTTTTGACCACAATGAGCTATAGAAATCAAACTTTCATTGTGCAAATTTCAAGAAATGCAGATCTGAAAAGTGATTTTTTTTTTTTTTTTGCATTAGAATACTTGTACTTTCTTTCAGATATATAGCACTGCTGTTGAGTTTGATATGAGGAGCTTTTACTTGTGTAGCAGTTGATGATTTTTCCGTCCCATCTTCTCCTCAATCACCGACATTCCTATAAGGTGGAGGTGTCGTCAGATAAGTTCACATTAGTTCACTTTTGATTTGCCGGCGCAGGCAACGAATGTACGCCTCTGCACAAAGCGCTGTTTGCTACTAAGTACTAACATCATGTCATAAAAAACCTTCTTATCAGTAACGATCCACAACTATTAGGTGGTTGTGATCTCTGTGTGGCTAAATATTAAAACGTTAAAAGGTTTGAAAGTATTATAAAACCTATCCAAGCTTGTGCTTTTGTTTCTGTGAGAGTCAGATATTTTCATGTGGATAGTAGTGACGCGAAAATGCCTGCAAATCAAAAGTAAACAAATGTAAACTTATCCGACGACACCCCTAATAACTGTAAAAATGCTGAAGAATTCACTTGACAGTCCTGCTTTGTCTTACAGGGTGTCAGAGGAACATGCCATACCATCATTGGTATGACCTATCAATGAAATACGATGGACCAGCTTCAACTTCAAGTCTACAGCATTTCACATTTGAACTTATCTGACACACAGTTGTGATAACTTATTGTTCTCGCCCATCCCAACAGCTCATAAAAGTGAGTTTGAGGCTATGCATATATGAAAGCTCTTGCTTGAAGAAGAAAAAGTAAGTGATGCTTTCATTGGAAAATCAAGATAGCAGAAGCAGAGAAAACTGAAAGTGAGGTATAATTTGGACACAAAAGAGCATGACATCAAGAATAAAGTCAATAAGTCTACATACTGAAATACAGCAAAACTTTGCCGAAAAAAAGAAACTAACAACTAGACAATGTTAAGCAAGAGTGATCTATCAACGAATAAAGTTATGAAAAACCACTGAACGTTTGAGCTCTCCATTGATTTTTTTTTATTTATTTATTTTTTTTTTTTTTTGGTAGGTTCTTTCTGAAAACTGTCCCTAGATAGTTATTCTACAAAACAATGTACAATTGAAAGAATACATATCTAAGCAACACTATATCTGAATGAGAAGAGGTCAAGGAAGAAGTTAATAGAATAGAAATAATTAGTACCAATTTAAGTGAAAATGACTTAACAATTAACATTCCTATAAACAGTGAGAGTGTTACTTAGATACAATACAACTAGATAACCGTACCTAAATAGGAAATTATTGTATTTTAAGATGGAGTAAGAGTGGAGATGATTGGAGAATTTATTAGCAGGTATGTATTAATTTTGTAGAAACTTAGCGATTACCGATACTTGAATTGGTTCTTAGACATACTTATTTACACATTGTTATTGGCAATTGTAGCACAATCTGACAGAAAAAGTTAAACCTATTGGAGACAATTTTGGTTTAGTCGGAGATTGATTGGTGCATCAGATACTTTTGAAAAAAATATGATTCATGGCTCTTAAGTTTGGAACATGTCACATTGAATGCAATTAAAAATGTTTTGCAGCTTAGACAAATTCAAATCATACATAATCCTACATGTTCAATCCTTGAAAACATTCTACCTTGTGAATATAAAAGAGTAATGTCATGGTAAAATAGTATTTGGTGCGTATAAATTCAATGAAATGTAGCGAACGTCCAAATGAGGGATGAGAGAAAAATCATCAGACGAGGGGAATTATTCAGATCAGGCGATCAGTTCACAAATTGGTAAACATAGAATTCCATGTAAATCTATGCCATCTGAATCGTTGAGTGATGTGACAAAGAAAGGAAGAAGTGTGTTGGGGTTGACGTAAAGGGATTAAAAACTTTCAGTCCTTGCGAGAGACAAGTGGCTCTCAGTGGTGTCAGTGCTTCCTTCTGAGAAAAGTTGATAGACCTTACAAAACGCAAGGATATGAATGCCAGTCCCTAATGCCAATTCTAGGGGGGGATGCAAATGGATTCTGAACGGCAGAGCAATGATAAAAAGTCATGAAAAGTGATAAAAACGAGATGAGAACAAAAGAATGAAGGCAATCCTGAAATGTAGTAGGTAGACAAAAACACACGAAATCGGAGATAACAGAGGAATAGCTACTGAAAAACTTGTCGAGTTATACTAACTTAGATTTGCTGAAGGCGAGAGGATCAGTAAATGTGAGGTAAATAGCAGCATTCACGAAGAAATAAACAAATTCACTCGTAGAAAACTGAACACAAGGGGAATTAACCTAAACTTGACGAGCAAAATGGCGATCGGTGAGATACTGACTTAGGCTCAAGATCAATTGGAAAAATACCTACAAAATGATGCTAGAACGGCGATCTATTCGACACGAAAATTAAAATAATCATAGCGTAAATAATTACGCATGGAATCATTCTTACCGTGGACAATTCGGAGAGGTGTGATAACTAGAATCATGTCGGGCCCCTCAAACTCGGGGATATTCGGTTTGTGTTGTGTACTTGTGTATGCCGGTGGCAGAGCGAGAGCGGAAGGGCCTTGCCTTGAAAATAAACCCACCCCCACGTAGATGAATCAAGTTTCACTGAGGTCTGCAGAAACTTCAAAATAATTTCTTATGTTTCTAACTTACGCGCGATACTAGGAGTAGCGAGAACGGAAAATGTGTGCGTCAAATTTCCCGGAATTGTACTGTCATAGAATATCCTATGTCGGAAACCAATCAGCTGTGCCTGAACTTCCGGGGGGTGATTTTGAAAAACTGGGGGGAAACACGGGACACAAGGGGCGCACCGCACCAATTGTTTTCCTACCGCTGTAATTGATAATTGGACCCTCATGTCATCTCACGGTATATCATAAGGACTACTGTGAATTTATTTAAATGGCAATCACACAATCTTAAAAGTCTCAAGTTCAGAAAACCATTCCCAGAGATATGCTTTTTTCCCGCGCAGCATTCGAAGTGAAATTTACAGGGAAAGAATAATATAAAGAAGGATACAAGTTCTTCTATAGTTATGTTTTGCAAAATATATAATTGGAATTCCTCTAAAAGTCATCGCTCAAATGTAAATGCAAAAAAAGATCAAAATAACGAAAACTGGGCGGGCCCCTTTTTTGGACATCGGCGGAAGTAAACCCAAGCGGAGCGAGGCCTCTTCACCAATGTTATTAGTAGGTCTCATTAGGTCATCATTAGGTTAAAAATGCGCTAATTTTTGTCTGCTACGGCTGCAACGTAAAATCGCTTATTATATCATGCATTATTGGGTCTAGACTCATACATAAACCAATGCACAAGTACCTGTGTAAAGGGGCTAAAAAACCTACTCCGAGAGGAGGGGTGGGGTGCTGATTTTTTTCACGGAATATTGTTGAAACTTTTAACACTCACCAAAATCGCGGATGGTTGTAACTCTAAATATTGAAAAAAGAGATAAGAGCCGGATAAATACAACACTCTTCCTCTTTAAAAAATTTAATTAATTTGTACTCAACATCAAGACGGAAGTATCTGTTTCAAACGATTTGAAAAGCGCGGTAACCTATCCAACAGCTTTGCTTCACGGCAGTCTACCAATGTACGCAATCTCTCACTGTTGATATTGAAGTCATGTGAAACGAATAATTTATTATTTTTTGCATCAATTCTCCGATTTTAATAAATTATGAATATCCTCATTAATTGAAAAAATTCATAAATGCATAGATGTACGTAAAAAGTTTTTTGCCGGTTATAGAAAAATTGTAATTTTTTGTCATTAGTAGATTGTTTGGAGCTTTTTGGTTGGGCAAGGGTGCACAACTTGAAAAAAAAAAAAACATTACTTTGCAAATTTCCGCAGGCAGCGCTGCAATCGAAAGCTCGCTCGAGCTTTTGAGGTTACGTTACGTTGTTTGTTTTGAATAAGATATTGTATTGCCATCTAAAAACTTAACAAACTAGTGAAGTGAAAGAGGAAAATTCAAAAATCAAAATATCCACAAAGTCAAAGGCAAGTTTGCTCATGATGGCTTAATTTTTTTAAACTGACACTAGGTGCCATGAAAGTTCAGACTGTAAAAAGAGTCCTCTTCGTCGGATGAAGATGTTACCCTTGGAGCGAATTCTTTTTAGATGAACAACCTCCCTTTTCCGTTTCTGCAATGCTCGCCTCATTTCTGGGATGTTCTCTGAAAAGTATGAGGAGAGTCCCGCTCATCCGCAAACTGTACTTTATAGGTGCCTCTATCATTCTACTGACTTGGCTTTTTGTTCGGTACACGCAGGAGACCTTCACTGAAACGTGTCACCACACAGAAGCTTTTCAAGATAATCTGCACAGTTTAGCTTCCAGGTTGGTATGTTTTCAACATAATTTAAGTCAAAAGAATTGTGTCGATACCGTTACATTCAAATGGGGTTGCTAATAAAGGAAGAGCTTGGGGATTGTATGTTAGAGACAAACATCAATCTCTGATAATAGCTCTGAATCAGCACCATTCAACAGGATTATACATGTAGTCAGATGGTACCATAGTCTTGAACATACTCAATTTGAAACAGTAGCATGCATTAAATCCGATTTGTAGCAAGGCACTTTAACCTGCAGTGAAATTCAGAAACTGATAGCGGTCGACGTAAGAGTCGTATAGACAGCATGTTTGAAATGCATTAAAATTGTACACAAACATTCGACTGGCAGGGAAGAAGGGTCATCATTTTTTAAATCAGTGAGAAAATTTGTGGAAAGGCGATGGCAAAAATTTGAAAAGTCACTGAGCTTTGTGTGTCAGTGTGTGACATTGTGAAGTAAACTTACTTCTTCCATCCACGCAGATTAAAATATAATCATACATTACCTGATCCTCCACGTAATTTAACTTCACATATTCCTCTGCTGTTATAAAATCATTGTTTTTAGGGTGCACAACGTCCTAGCAGCACTAAAACTTACCCACTTCCTCTGCTATGGATCTCTGTGGGGCCAAATACGGCTCTCTCGTTCGCTTCCCTGGGAGTCAAACGTTGAGTTCTGTGTCTTCAATGAAGAGTTGATCACAAAGGATGAAGTTTATTTGCAGAGAGTCTTCAAGCAACACCAACTGCTACTCTCTTATGACTCAAGTGAAGGACTTTATTCCATCATGGATCCCAAAATTGGAGGAGCTCTTGTGGAACTAGTTGTCTTTGAAGAAAATCCCCAGGTACCTGTGGAAATTTATTTAACCATTTTTCATCAAGACTCCTTATGCAGAGTGACAAATGAGTTGTCAGTACAATGAATTGGATCAGAGCTCATATATAGGATATCCCAAAACAACTGAATAAAAAAACTATTTCACCAATTTTCAGAGAGGAATGTTACAGTGAAACATTAGCTTTCACACATGACTTCGTAGAGCTTGATAAACCCACTATTTGATGAGTTCTTAGTTCAAAAGTAAACATAAATCAAAGCAGCAACATATATTAAAACGCATTTTTAAAACCCCTGATTAAGAATAGAGCTTACCTTTAAATTGTATGCAAGCTTTTTAAGTACTGATTAAAAATTTAAAATGTAAGTTTTTAAAAAAAAAAATTATAATGCGTAGGAACCTCTTGAAATGAACTGAGTGAAAGAGATGCAGACTTGAGGAATCAAAATGCACTGCCTTCATATCAGGCACCTCATAATGCAACTTTAAGGAGAGAAATAACTCTCTGCTTCGGCAGTTTCCGATACAACTTCTCCATAACTTAGACATTTTCCTCAGACCATCTCAACTGCTGCAAGATGTCTATCAAGTTTGAAGAAGAACTTTTTCCGTAGACTTTTTCTTGGTGGCATGGAGTGATTTTGAAATGGCAGTTTTTTAAAAAGTACCATAAAATAAAATGTATATAATCCCTTCGTGTTTTTTGGAATAGATTGGAATGATGAGGCGAATAGGCTGGAAACGGCGCCTGCTCCCACCAGATTGTGAGGCAATGTCAGCACTCGACTGTTTTCCAACATATCTAGTCTCGTCTCCACTTCCATCAAGAGAATTTGGAGGATATGACTTACCTGTGCCAAGGGAGGGTATTGAAATTCAGAAATACCATTTTCCGCAAAACTGGTGGAAAGAAGTGCTTCCCAAGAACTGCTGAATTAGGTAGTCTCATGTGGTAATAGTTTTGCAGCGAATACATATTTCTCTGTTCTGACACAACTCCCTGTGTTATTCAGAAAGACTTTAATGCTCCCTACTTTTTAAAGTCTGATGCATAATTACAAAAAACTCTGAAATGAATGCAGAGATTTGTCCATATTTTGGAAGGTTTGAGAGTTCATAACACCTACCACATTAAATGGGTCAGTTGCGCTGACCACAGAATCGTGTTTTGGTGCTTGATTCTTGTAGATAAGCTATAAATAATAAGATCCGTCCAAACTGCAACTTTCTATGTTCAATTTTATCGGAGCTATCGCCCTTTGAAAAGTCGGGTTTTTGATGTCATCCACTGCGGTTATGACACCCTTGGTGTTTTCCACCTTGCTTTTGTATGAGTTTCACAGTGAACAACCATTGCCAATGTACGTCACTCGGACTGATGAAAGCAAGGTGGAAGAGACCAAATGTGTCATTACCGCAGTGAATGACATCAAAAACTCGACTTTTCCAAGGGTGATCACATGGTTAATATTCAACATAGAAAGTTACTGATTAAACAGATCTTATTGTTTTTAGCTGATCTACAAAAATCCAGCATCAAAACACGATTCTGTGACCAGCACAACTCACCCATTTTGGTCAAAATATCTTCAAAAGTAATTGTCAGCTTTAAGAAGATAAATTTTGTAGGTATTTGTCAAAATAATACTATTATTTCAAAATATGATAACCTGGAGAAATGAGTGCAATCAGTCTGAAAACCGTGCCCTATACTTTTGAATTTTTAGGACTTAAGGTTTGCATGTCACCACGCCTTTCTTTGTGTTCATTCCAACTCTTGATTACCTAAGTCCTAATAATGAAGTAGGAATAGTACCTCTTCATGCATATATTTGGTGTTGAACTTTCTAACACGAAATAAAATCTAAGTACCCAGGTACTTAACTAGTCTTTTCTTGAGACTCAAAAAAAGTTGAATGGCTCATGAAAGCTCTCAATTTTTTGGGGTTTGAATACATTACCAGACTAACTTTTTGTAGTATTTTACCCTCTGCCAGAGTAGAAATCAACCACTCATGATTTTGTTAGATTTATGCACATTAGCAATAAAGCTAGAAAAACGCTCAACTCAGTTTGCAATGTTTCAAATTTTCTAGTCCTTCATAATTTTGCAGCATCTGTGACAGAGGATGACAGTATTTTAAATGTTTTTTATGATTTTAATTGCTTTCTCAAAAATAGGTAAGTACTTCCTCATTTTTAAAAATTTTTGAAATTTTGCAAAAAAAAGAAGACAAACCTGAAATTTGAAATGATGCATCGAGCAGCTACACTTTTCTAGTTTCACTATTGTTATGTCTCTTATTTTTTAGTGGTTTAGATTTCATTTTCACAGCTGATCCGCACCCAGCAAAAAGGGGTTGCAAAAACGTTGTCATAACATACCGTTAAAATAAACATTACCGAAATGTTTTAACAACATTGTTTTTGGCAATTACTGGCTGGGTCATTTTATTTCTCTTTTACATACTTAGTTATTTTTAAATTTGAATCCGATCTTGATCTCATTTTTAGTAAGAAATCAATAGAAGTTGTTAGGGTTATCATATCAAAAAATCTCAGAATTTGGCCTGTGCCGAATTTCTAGGTACTTAGTGTTTCCTTTCTCACATGATTCCTATTGTAGGATTCCTTTTTCAAACTTTTCTGGAGAGGTCTCTCTAAACCTCCTTTAGAGCTTGGAAAATCCCTTAACCCTCCTTTAGAGCTGAGAGAGTCTTACAGATACCCCTTGGATGTCTTTTGGTGCCCCTAGAATACCTTCTCTTCATAAGGTGACCCTTGGCCCCCACCTCTTCAACGTTCCTAGTTCCGCCCATGGGTATGGACTGTAGGCCTGCCAAATTCATCTGATAAAGAACTAAATTTACGCATGTAAATATGTAAAGTTGGGGATCAGTATAATTATCCACCTGCCTCTGAATCGTTTTTCTTTTCCCAGATTTTTTTAGATGAAGAATGGTATCCTAGAAATGACACTCACAATGCCAAAAATGTTGCAAAAATGTCAGTTGTGTGTTTGGAGTGGTCTATTTCTCTCTCCCCTCATCTTTGTTTTAAGACTTTCTCTAATTTACGTGTACCTCTAGTCAAAGTCGACCCTTGGTTGAATGGAGAAGCAAATATATGTACGAATAAGTATTTTATGGGAATCAAGGGAGTGATTCTCTTTCTTTTTACCTACAACATTTCAATTTTCTAACTTATGTGCAAAAATGATTGTCTCCCAAAGTGTTTAAGTATCCATGTGTTGTTCTCTTTTTTACCTATTTTGTTCTTTTGTTCACGGTGACTGTTAATCTTTTAGCTTTTTTTTTAAGTAAAGATTTTTATGCTTAAAATCACTTTCGTTGCTAATTTTGTCTATTTTTCCTGAAAAGAGATCTAAATTTCCTTCCTATAAAACAATTGAAGATTTCACCAGCCAATATATCTAATTTAGCTAGATGAATGATAAGATGTTTTATAAGCTGATCATTGTAGAATCATTAGAAGGCAGTCTCCCAAAAAACATATTCAAAATCTGATTAGTTTTTGCTGAAAAAGAAGTTCTGATCGTGATATGTATGGATTTGACAGTAGAAATGGGATGAAAGAAAAAAAGTATCATGTTTAAATACATAAAATGTATTTGAATAACATTGATTTAGCAACCTTATAACATAAAAAAGCTTAACTGAATAAGTTGACGGCAATAACCCACAGACAGAGTAATAGAAAAATTATCGTAAATAAATCAAAAAAGGGAAACAAAACTGGGTCGCTGAACCTGGGCACAAATCACAAGCTTAAGAATGCAAGGGAAATTTATTTGAGGTGCTGGTGAAGATTAATAAGCACGTTTGGTGTCACACAATATTTTTTTATATTCCTTTTACAGTTTCCATGCAAAATTGAAAAAAAGCTTCCAAACCAATGTCATCATCAAGTGAGCAACTTTAGAGAAGCACTTTTATGCAGAGAGAAATCATTTGTTTATTTGTGAGAGAGAATTGTTTCTGAGAGACCTGAGGCTGAGAAATTTCGTACTTTGGTGGAATCACATTTTAGCTCTTGCGCTCAGATGTTATGAAGCAAGCAATGATGATAAAAAATATAGAAGGGATGACATGACATGTCCCTTATGAAAGATACTGAAAATTAGATGAAAAACTTTTTCAAACGATAATCGGTTGTGTGGTTAGGAAAGGGTGGGCTTTAAATGCAAAAAGTAAGGGAAAAAACTACTGAAGCTCAATGCATGCTGAGATATGAATGATTATTGACAAATTGAACTGAATGATTAATGAATCAAAAATGATTTATCAAAAGACACCCAGATTCCTCAACTTATTTTCTTCTTCAATATTGCAAAAAACCAGAATAGGTTAACTGCAATGATACGCCTTTAATTCTAATTATTCTCAAAATGAAATATTGAACTTTCAGAACTTATATATACCAAATGGATGCTGTAATTGATACTTGTCACATTGAAAAACAGACATACTTCGTTACTTTACAATCAATTATTTATCTATTCAACTGATAAGGTGCTATAACTTGCAAATTAACAAAATTTTGGCAACGAAATGTAGTAGTAATCGCCAAACAAAATTTACCTAACATAAGCCAGTGCCTAATTTGTGTTCCCCATTCAGCAGTTGGTTAGAATGGATAAATGCAGTAACATAATCAAGATTGATAATAATCAAAAGTCTAAGAGAATTACGCTAACTTCACAAAACATTGATTGACATTATGGGTGTACTTCAACAAGAGAGGAGTATTTTTTCAGAGGCGTTCGTGCTTTGAACAGTTCACACAAAACAAACTTAGGTGGTGAGGTTTTTAAGAATATGGGTTTGAAACTGGAAGAGGAGAAGCAAATTCCTTGCTGAAGAATTACTTTTGGGAAATAATTACTGTATTTTCTGCTGTTGTTTTGTGTGTTCTATTACTGCAATGGAATTACACAAGTTGATTTTCCTTTTTTTTTTTTTTTTTTTTTTTTTTTTTTTTTTTGTTTTTGTTTTTTTACTTTTACTTTACACATTTCCTGTTTCTTTAAGAGAGCTTATCATTTTCAAATTGGCTAACCTCCGATAAAATTTTCTATAATAGATTAATCAGTATACCTATCTAAGATTTAAAAAGAAAAAAAATGCACCTAAGGAGAATTCAGATTTCTAGGTACTACATCAAATTCTGATCCTCTGCACTCGGAAAGGAGCGAACAGGTTGAAAAGCCATGGACTGACTCTACAAATTACCTAACAAATAATTTATTAGAGCGATATTATGGTGGATTTTTTTTTCTTTTTTATGTTTAAATGTAAAAATGTAGGAAAAGTTACAGAAACTCCTTACAATAAATTGTGCAATTTTTCTTTCTTAAAGTATGTAAATGCTTGTAGAAAACTTGCTATATATGAATACATTTTATTCAAATATATTTTAATCAATTTATGTTCGGGGCATAAAACGAGTTAAGACTAAAAATTGAAAAATTCTCACATCCTGCACAGCTTGGATTTCCAAAAGTGGCGAGCAATACACGCAAGTCTTAAGTTGTTCCAATATGAAGACAGATTACCTACGACATGATAATTAAACATTGTTTGTTGGTTTGGCATATGAGCTCTACCATCACACACGATTAAAGCCAAAAACTATCAATGAAGATCATGATTTCATCACAATACACAGAGAATCTAACAGAAAATAGTAAACAATTCCTTCTACGCAAATTAACACATTCTCTATACTTTGGAATAATGAAAATAAGAATAATAACTAATAATAATAAAATATAATAATTACATCACATACATTAAAGCAAATCCGGCCCATAAGAATTCTTCAAGCTAGTGATTAACTAGCTGCAGACGGGCTAGAAGTAGAAGGCCTTTAATTTATAGTTTCCTTGAAGACTGAAAAAACAGAACAATTTTAGATGCCAGAGGTCAATTCTTAATTTAGGAGCATTTGTAGTGCGAAGACAGTTTACATCACGCAGACAAAGTTTCAATACTGTGGTTAAGGGGAATCATTAACAATTTAAAATTAAGTTTTCAAACTATTTGATGATGAGACAGACTTAAAATTCCATATTTACCTATTATGCATATTCTAGCACTACATATTTAGACTTTACCTACTCTTTTTTGGTTAATGAGTGGCCGTAAAGATTATGAAAAGCAAAATAAAGTAGGAGGAAAACCGAAACAGCAAGCAGATTTACTTCGGAAGGATTTTCAAATAATATTTCCTTACAAGCTTTCCTGGACACTCCTTGTATCCTTATTAATATACTGACAGCTTGTTTTCAGATGAAGGGTTTAAAGCAAAATTTTACGTGGCAAGATGTTAAAAAAAAATTATCTTAATTAGAATGGTTTGAAAAATTTTATGAGAAAGTCATTCGAAAATTTTATTCTGAGAAAAAAGTTTTTCATGAAAATTAATGAATGACTTATTTAAAAAAAAAAAATTAAGCATAAACGAAATTTAGGATAGCAACTATTACAATTATACCTACCGATCAAAATCTAAAAAAATTTAGAAGGAGATTCAAAAAAAAAAAAAATTGCACTCACAAATCATTGCCCCACCTTGAGTCAAACTTTCAGTGATCTTAAATATTGTTACATGCAACACAAACTGATCAACAAAAACAATTAGGTAGAACTGATAGTTACAAATTCTTTAGGACAGACGTAAACGGAATTCTACAGCTCCTCCCCTCTCCAAATTACAAAGTTAACATTCCCCAAACTAGAAATAATCTTGTCAGTCTTTGTGAAGGCTGCAGGATCATGAAGAGCTATTAAAAAACAAACAGCTGTTTTCTGGATTTATTATGCTTTCAAACACAAAGGTTCTTCACTTCTTGCTTGGTGAAGGATTGAACTTCAAAGGTTGAAAATAAGTAATTGAAAGTAGATAGACTGTTTCATTGGCAGACAGGACGAAGAGGATAACTTTGACATTCATTAAAACAGGATGAGATTGACTTCTACTTACAGCTAAAATTTCGGTATTTTACATTTATCTTTAAAATCCTCCTTTTTTCTCTTCGTCTCAAAAATCATAATAGAAACATGAACTGTAGAAGTAAGGAAACAATGGATGATCGTTAATCATTTTTTGCAACTTTCATAAGGTTCTCCAGAACTTATGTAACTTGATTTCTTTTTCCACCCATTTCAATTAGCAAGGATTGCAAAATTGAAAACTTTGCTTCAAATGATGCAGAGTCCTTTACATTTCAGCGAATGAGCAACAAGCGTTTCATAAATCAGAATGGATTGGAGACATACTTAATAATATGTGAAAGCCCTTGGGAGGTTTTCAAATTATTTGAAAATTTTCGCCTGTATTGCAGATATGTTGGTTTTTTACACAGAACTTCCTTTTTTTTCTAATTGAAAATGGACGTTTAAAAGAAACCTCTGGAAAATAGAAGAGGAAAAAATTGGGGGAGGAGATAACATACTTTCATACTTTTAAGATTGTTCCAATATCAATTACAGCGCCTCTGCTTTTCTGCTGAGCGCATTTCTTTTATCCAAAAAAAAAAAAAAAAAAAAGAAGACCAGTCCGATTTATCTAGCTTGCTTTGGTTTAACGTGTGAATATGATTGTCATCTCTGCCTAAAAGGAGACTAATTTAGAAGATAGAGTGCACGACAGCTAAAGAGTTCAGTTTTGTGAGAAAGGAGACTACTGCTCTCATTCAGTATGAATTGTTGATATGATTGCAAGTAAAAAGAAGACCGCATGAATGGATGACTTGAATAATGCAAATGAACTTGGTCTTTCTAGGAATTACAGTTTTGACACAACTTAAGAGAGGAAAAGGCTGTAATAGGGGGAAAATTGATGAAAGCTTAGAAATATAAATATTATGGATGGTTCATATCATTTTCACTGCCTAGTCTCCATTGACAAAACACAACTTTCTATTGGGTTTATGTCAGAGGCTTGATAGCTGCACGAGACATTAGATTCTCCTGACTAAACAATTTCACATCAGCTTTATTCACAGCCGTTATTACTCTGTCTTCTAAATTGAATGTCTTTGTTCCTGTCTTGACCAGTCACCAGCCTGCAGAGCCCTTTTTGCAACAGAAGAGGAGAGGGATTAAAACTCTGTTTACTGCTCTTCTTGGCCGAGATCTGCCTTTACTTTAGAGAAGTCAAAGTCCTCGCCGGTTCCTCGCTTGAAGATATCCACAACATCCATGCAAGTAGTCTCAAAGTGGGTCGTGGCATCATATGATGATGATATGAAAATCTGCGACTCAGTACCATTATCCGTGGGCTCAAAGTAGTCAGATACATGGATGAACTTTTGGTGAACAGCCCCCAAAAGGTCAAGCGCTGGTTGGATCTCCTTCGAAGGGTCTGCTGTTTCGACAGTGGTTGAGACCATCGCAATGAACCATCCTTCAGCAGCAACTTGGTGCGTGTAACTCACCACAGAGATGTAAATGTCTGAACGGCGGTTCACCTGCACAAAAAAGTAGCACCCAGAATTTTAATTTAGCATCATTTAAAATTAACATATGTGGAAGAAAGAATTTATTGAAGTCAAATTTTTTTAGAGGCTCTTCAGTAATGAAAAAAGATTCTACTTGTTTACCTTGCTTATTTCATAGAGGAAGTCTCTAATCTGTGTATTCCCCAAAAATTGCTGTGGAATTAGATAATATTTTTTAAAGTACTTGCATGATAACAAATATTGTAGAGCCTGTTTTAAATTATTTGGCCGCTTTGGTTGCAGGCAATTCCCTATCCCTTACATATAACAAAAGTGGAAAAGTAATCTAAAATCGGCTACACCTAGATATTTAACAAGGTGTAGGAATGGTGCTGGGTCCACACCATTTCATACCATTTATTCTAATTTTTTTTTCTCATCCTAGATATTTACCTATACTAATTTTTTTGTCATAAAAATGATTGAGCTTAGAAATTTTTATCGATAAGGTGTTGACACCTCACAGAAAGGTTCCAGAATCTTTTGTTAGGAGCAAAACTTTAAAGTACTTATGTACAGAGAAAAGACAATTGAATAAAGAAAACTTCCTTCAGTAGGTAACGTCAAAAGGTATGCCAGCAGGGCAGTCACGGTCAGTACCCATCCACATGGAAAAAAGCACACTTTTCGATAAGAGGTAAGTCAATTTCTCAAATAGCTACACGGCTGGTAATATGCCTCTTGCAATTGTCAAGGAAAGGATTCATTATTGCAAGATTGCAAACCAATTCATTTCCTGTACTTACTTACTTACTGTTTAACTACTGCGGTAATGAGAACATACCTGTTTTTGAGGAATGATTATTTGGGTTGAAAGAGCATTTTTCGTGTTTGCAACAGGATGGTTTAGAAGACAGATACACCGGATAACTTGCCCAACCTTCTTGACTCTTTCTGGAACATAAGATGGGTCACAATAGACCTGCTTGCAACGAGCAACTTCGCTTCCTGACCTGACGCCAACCACTTTTCCATTCTCCAGGACAATTTCATCAACAGGCTTGTCCAACATGTACGTGCCACCATAAATTGCACTCAACCTGGCAAAACCTTGCGGGAGCTCACCTAAGCCGTACATGGGATAAAGGTACGGTGACTTTCCGTATCGGGCAAGAGAGTCACTGTAGAGCTTGATACGCCTTATGGTTTTGATTGCAAGGTCATCAAGATAAGCATCGTCTCTGTAGAAAGCTAAAGCGTGGCCAGTGAAGTCCTGTGTATTCTTATCAAGACCAAACTTCTCGTAAAGTTGGAGCGTTGTTGTTGAGTTAATGTCTAGGTCTTTCCATGTGCGAGGATCATCTTCTTTCAAGTCTTGAACGAAGAGCAAGAAATTTCGGAACCTCCTCTTTTCAAACATACCCATGAGGTCTGACGCAAGAGCCTCCTTTTGATCGACAGGTACTTTGGATATCTTTCCGCCTTTGTATACGTAACTACCTTCAACGCACTTAAACTCTAGATAGCGGGTCACTCCAGTGTGGATGAGTAGTTTCACTAACTGTCCATTAGCCATGAGGAACTTTGGGATGAGGTCGACATTCCAGTCTCTGCCTCGACCGTAGGTGGATTCATCTGGGGCAGGGGCTCCGAATTTGGTGAAAAGCTCACTCAATGGAGTCAGAGATGCTGACTCTCCACCATAGTACTTATTTCTATCGATGTGTAGGACTTTCTTGCCGGAGACGGAGAGCATTCCACTGAGAATACACTCCTTGAGCCCGGTGCCCAGGACGATCGCGTCGTATTCTTCATCCATGACTTCCACACAAAATAAACACTAAATCTACGTGGATTTCAAGTTCTTAGCCTAAACTGACCCGACTGTCCACGAACCTAACTCCGAAAGGGCCTCGCACCTTAAATACGACAACCAAGAGATGAAAATAAGGAACACGACGGGCACGTATGGCTGCACTAAATAGAAAGTGGGAAAGGATACGGGATTTCTTCTTATTTTCTAGAATTTGTCACGGTTTGCTCTGGAGCATTGACACCTGTCATAAACTTGCAGGTTAGAAATTCTCCGATAAATAGCTCGAAGTACCAACTGATATCAAGCCCCTGCCAGTCGATTATGCGACACATATTTTGGATTAATCATAAAAACATACTGAATACGTCAAGTTAACGCATTTCAGAGAGTCAAAGTACGAAATTGATGTCATTTTTTAGCCATAGAAGGTTCTGAAGTGTGAAAATTTACATAGCAATCCTATCCATCACAGTACAATTTCGGCCGGTCTACTTGCCACGCTTGACGTGTCGAATTAATGGTAAATAATGGAGATGGAGGATAGTCTGCGCATCTGAGTTGCTCTAATTTTTTTTTTTTTTTATAATGCCGCTCAGCAGAAATGGCCTGCTGTAAATTGGTAACTTGGGACAATCATTAAATCTGAAAGTGTCGACCTTATCACCAGCCTACACTGCTGGGAAATTCAAAACGGGAATATTTGCGCGCAGTGGCCGGGTCTTAAAAAATTGTGTACGGTATCAACCATTTCCCGGTTCACCATGAGCAGGAGAAGGGGGAAGGGAAAAGGCAATACCGATAAGGTGGTTCAAAAGGGAGAAGATGCAATAAGAATGATGTCATTTTAAGTTGAAACGCGGTTTCAATTTCCCTCTCCTGTGATGAAAAACACATTTTCGGGAATTTGAACAATATTCCTTTCGAATTTGGCTAGTGCCTATTAAGAGGCGAATCTGAAAATTTCAAAGAAAAACGGTCCCTAGCATTTCTCAAAATTAAGTAAGTAGGTACCTACTGTATCGGAGCAATTTTTTCCATTTCTTTGAAAGTTAAACGAAATTTATCTTCGTCAACGGCAGACTTTTGCCGCCGAGGTATGGGGAGCGTTCTAAATTTGGTACGTAACGCACTTTTCGGCATTTTAATTTGACCGTCGAGAAAATTGCCTCCCGCAGGGCCAGATTTTCCTACTTGCCGCCCATGGGCCGCCTGTATTTTGCCGCCCCCTTCTCATTCGTTTTGAAACATCAATAAAAACCAACAAGTGAACGTGCCAGCGGGGGAGGGGTGCATAAGACGCGTTTACTCGTGTTGAACACATTTTTTGGGAAAGCCCCGTCAACACTACTAGCAAAAGGTCACGGAACTTTGCGCGAGAGTTAAGTTTCGTAAACCTATCTCTGTGTGGACGAGGCCTTCCATTCATAAGAAGTGAACGAAAAAATTATGAAAGAACAAACACAAAATTTGGTTTAATGATTTTAACTTCCGCCGCCGCGCCGCGCCGACCGCACCGTGTTTGGTGCAATGCGTGAAGTTTTCACGCAGTCTCGTACGCGCTATGCGTTTCACGCTGACCGCACTGTGTTTGGCGCAATGCGTGAAGTATTCATGCATTCTTGTAGGCGCTATCCGTTTCACGCTGACCGCAGTGACCGCATACTGTCTTTGATGCAATGCGTGAAGTATTCGTGCAGTCTTGTAGGCGCTAATATGTGTTACATGCCGATTGCCGCGCCGAGGGCTTCTCCTTTTCATCTCAAGTCCTCGTCATCATTTCTCCGTAAGTCGCGCCGTTCCAGGCCAAATTGAGTGTTTGGTTTCTCTCTTAACTCGACTAGTTAAAGGCGCTGTCTCTTGTATCACTGAAAGACGACAAAATTAGAAATTACTATACTCTCAGGAAATGAGAGATTTTGTAGCCTCTACTCGTTTGTAATTTTTTTTTTCTAATTCCGATTTTTTTTATACCTACAGTATTTAAAAAAATTGCAAAATTTGCCGCCCCCTAGATTTGCCGCCATGGGCCGCGGCCCATGTAGCCACCCCCTTAATTCGGACCTGGCCTCCCGAATTATAAAAATGAGATCGTTTTGTTTATCAAATAGATTTCTCCTTGATAAAAGCAACTTTCTCTCTTGATATGATCATCTTTTCTGCTTGATTCTGGATGGAACTGGATCGTGGAGAGGAACCGGGGGGGGGTAGTGTTTGTATATTCTTTTGCTCCGCGGAGTCTGCTGTCGCCACCTAGGACGCCCCCCTGGACCTCGAGGATCCGTTGGGGGCTCCTGCCTTCCGCCCCCGCCACTCCCCCAACAGGGGAGCAGTGGTGTGGCGTAATTTGCGATAAATCGATTGTTGTGACATTGAAACCTATGGCAAAGAATCGATTATTAAGGTGTTCGCTGCAAACACCCTGTTTATCGATCCTTTTCCATGGGTTTAAATGGCATAACAATTGATAGATCGCAAAGCACGGCACGCCACTGCAAGGGAGGTCTGTACGTCTCACCTCACGGGATGGTGGGAGTAGAGCGGGATTTACGTACTTGCCGCCCATGGGCCGCTAGTATTTTGCCGCCCCCTTCTCATTCGTTTTGAAACACCAATGAAAACCATCAAATGAACGTGCCAGCGGGGGAGGGGTGCATAAGACGCGTTCACTGGTGTTGTACACATTTTTTGGGAAAGCCTTGTCAACACTACTAGCAAAAGTTCACGGAACTTTGCGCGAGAGTTAAGTTTCGTAAACCTATCTCTGTGTAGACGAGGCCTTCCATTCATAAGAAATGAACGAAAAAATTATGAAAGAACAAACATAAGTATGGATGATTTTAACTTCCACCGCCGCGCCTCGCAGACCGCACTGTGTTTGACGCAATGCGTGAAGTATTCACGCAGTCTCGTAGGCGCTGTGCGTCTCCCGCTGATCGCACTGTGTTTGCCGCAATGCGTGAGGTATTCATGCATTCTTGTAGGCGCTATCCGTCTCACGCTGTCCGCAATGACCTCACCGTGTTTGATGCAATGCGTGAAGTATTCGTGCAGTCTTGTAGGCGCTAATATGTGTTACATGCCGATAGCCGCGCCGAGGGATTCTCCTTTTCATCTCAAGTCCTCGTCATCATCTCTCTCTAGGTAAGTCCAAAAGGCCAAAATTCCAGGCCAAATTGAGTGTTTGGTTTCTCTCTTAACTCGACTAATTAAAGGAGCTGCCTCTTGTATCACTGAAAGACGACAAAAGTAGAAATTACTATACTCTCAGAAAATTAGAGATTTTGTCACCTTTTCTCGCTTGTAATTTTTTTTTCAAAATCCGAATTTTTTTTTATACCTACATTTAAAAAAAATTGCAAAATTTGCAGCCCCCTATAGATTTGCCGCCATGGGCCGCGGCCCATGTGGCCACCCCCTTAATCCGGCTCTGGGTGGGAGAGCGGGGGCGTCCACGTGCCCTTGCCACCCCTGCCGGCGGCGCACAGTGGATCGAGTCAATAATAGGAGAGGTCGGACAAAATTTGAAAACTTTACACGCTTATAATTCAATAATACATAACTTTAGGGTTCTAAAAGTGGTTCCATTTACCTCTTCGTTAAAAGCTTCTAATAGCACCCCTTAAAATTTAAAATGTGACGGAAAAAACATCCAAATTTGCAGTTTAAGTCAACAATTTTAAATCCGACCTCGCCAATTGACTCGTTCCACTGTGCGGCGGTGCGGCGGCTGTGGGGCGTTTCGCCCCTCAGGTTCTCCACAAACCACGAATGGGGGGGGGGGTGGACAAGGAAAAAGGGGAAAGAACAGGTCGTAGTGGGAGACAGTCGCTGCACTAACTACTGCTGATGGATCATCAGACGCGGCTACTGATTTGTATCATGTTGCCGCTGATGATACTTCTGCTCCTAGCTCGCCTGCAAAATTTGAATTTTATATTACGAGTTTTTATGTTTCAAGACATCGAGGGCTGTTCAAGTGTTACGTACGCCGAATAAGGGGGATGGAGAGGTCTAAGATTGGCTCACGGGGTCTTACAAGAGGCCGGAATTGTCAGGCCTAGGCCTACGTAGGTAAGTCTCACATTAAAAATAAAAATTATAGATATTTATAGTAAATATTACTTAATAATATAAGTAATGATATTGTGTATTTTTTTCTCTTTTTTTTTTCTTTCTTCCCCACGATGGTCTTGGTTAATTAATCGTTTGAAGTTTCTTTTCAAGGGCTCAGTCATGACGTTACCTCAAAATAGTTGACAGTAACTGGGATGTAATGTCAATTATCTTTTCTCAAGGGCAGGAATTCCAAGGATACTATTTGTCTTATCAGCCGATATTTTGGGTTACAGCTCGATGATGGAATAATTTGTTTGCGTTTTCGAGCCAACCTGGTGTGGGTCAACAATTCGGTGTTTGACTGTAAACACTTGAGTTTTGAAGCTTCGGATGGGGTTGGGAGGAGGAGGGTGGAACGAACGGCCAATATCGAATTAGAGTCGTGGAGGGGCTGTAGGTAAAGCTGTTTCAAAATTATCTGACCAGAGAATCTAAGAACAAGCCGGTGGCACAGATTGGCGCTTATTTAAGCTTTGTTGCCAACAAAATTGAAATAATAAAAGCAGCCGGTATCTCCATGCGTATCCTTTTCTGTTTCTTGTGCTTGAGCATGTTTTATTTCTAAGATGAAAAGTCAGCTACGTTTCACGAGTCTTCATATTGTTTTTTCTCTCCTCCTCCAATCCCGGTCATTTATCTCTTCTGAGAAATAATGACTATAGAATTTACGGAAGTAGGAAAATGGATCATATTTCTTAACTCTCATCATGTTTTTGGGAAATAGATGCAATCCGATGATCAAAATTGGGTAGAGACTTGAGTAATAAAGTTCATGATTGAATTTAAAAAAAAAAAAAAAAAAAAAAAAAAAAAAAAAAAAACCAGTGATATCGTGTACGTAGTATCTCGTGATTGCCAATTACGTTGTGAAAAGAGGGCACGTAAGTGATCAAAGGTATGTGTTACTCTGGAAAGTTATAGCAAAATGACTTATCCCTCTAGGGGTTCTCTCACTCAGTTTTGAGATAGTTAAGGGTATCGATGGTGAAACACCGAAACCACGTACCTCGCTCGCTATATTTAAGAATCTCCGCTCCAATTTTATTTTATTTTTTGAAGGAGAACAAATCAACGTTATTCATTTAAATTTTTCAGAATTTACTTCGCATGGAGAGGAAAAATCACAGAGGTTGTTAAGAATTGACGTGAGTAGATCTCCATTTTAAAAATAAATTATGACAGGAATTCCGCGAAATTGCAGATCGAGATATTTCGTTTGGGCGCTTCACCGTTCAAGTGTGCAAAGTTTCCCAATTCCGTAAATTCTATAGTCAGTTTTTTTACAAGTACAATACAACACATCAAACGTCTGCACTCGTCGCTGATCTGAGACGACAACAACGCTCGGAAGTGAAAGTCCCTTCAAAACAGTGAGTAGGCAAAATGCCCACACAGGCGTTGGTTGAGCTGTAAATCTCCCAGTAAAACCCATGTTATACATGTGGATCGTTGCCTCGTGTTTTTCCTAATGATTGTTTTCAATTTTGCGGTTTTCTTAAATGATCCGCTGATAAAATATATCAAGGGTTATACGAATTTTATGAGTCATCCTCTCACTGTTGATCGTTTCGAATTGTACCACCAGTGCCACAATTTTGGAACATTGAGTATAAGGTTTTACATGTATCTATATATTATGTGGTGACAAAGCGTAATTCATCTGCGAACTGAAAGGCGATAGGGCTTTTTTATTAGTTTCACTGTCCCGTGATCACGTGGATCTAACAACATTAGATTATTTTTGAGTACCTACGTGAACTCAGAAAGTTCTAAATCGAGATGGTTTTGATAAATTTCATGATTTACTTTATGGAATTGGTGTTCGAGAGGTACATCTAGTTTATGCGTGTTAAGTAATGTGATACATGTAATGCATGCGTAATGTAATGTAGCGGCAGGGATAAAACGTGGCTGCAACCTCACATTAAGCCTCGTAAATAATTCCCACTATTGAGCACGCTACATTTCATCGGACGATGCCGAATTCACGCATGACTTATAAAAAAACAATCGTGGGCAGAACTAAGCGCTTGAGTGAAATAAAAGCTAGGGTTATACCAGGGCAGTTATGGACCCTTGCGGATGCCCAATGCCCAATTTACAAAGAGCCGATATACATACGAGCTGTAGATATAGGTCTACAAATACATTCTGAAGAAAGGGTTAGACGTCAAATTGAAAAAAAAAATACTGAAAAATCGAGTGTCAACACAGCCGAAGATGGGATATAGACGCAATCGAGCCTTCTTTTGTAACTTTTCTGAGCGACATCTTATCTGCAGCATGGAGCGGAGCACTACGCTACGAGTCCGCGTTTCGCGCCATCGCGCCTTCAATTTTGCAAATACGACACGAACATCTCTCAAGCACGAACAGTTGTATCTTTGCGCCGTCATTAACGCGCGTCCTTTCCCTTTCTGAGGACACCAGAGGGGTTAGGTAAATATAAAATCGCAAATGCCGTGAGTTTTTGAGGGGGGGGGGAGGATTTTGAGCGTAATCACCAAGAACGAGTTGATGCTGTAAACAATGCGGCATGCAAAAAATAGTTCTCTTTACAAGTCCCTAGCAAACTTTCTTTTAAAGCTGACGAAAGTATGATAGATACATAACGTAATCACTCTAATTATAACGTTGAGTCAGGAAAAAATATATCTTAAATTTGAAACTCAAATTGTTTAATACTCAGCGAAAAACCCGGTTCGGAGTCAACATGATTGAATTTTCAGCTTTCGATGCCAAACACTTTTTCTTAAACCTATTTTCAAGAGCATCGGCTCTAAGTTTCAAATCATGCACAATTCACATTCATAAAGACTTTGTAACTGTTCGAAGTGAATCGTTTGTAAGGCTGGAAGCAACACCAATAAACTTCAACAGCGTCCTTCTCGCACTCTCTGCTTTTCGTCCTTAAACTTTAAATTGCTACCCGAGAGGTCAATTTTTGGATTTTTTGGGTGTTTGGTGCACCTTATGATACAGAAATAACTTTTTCACGCTGTGATATGGCTATCTTTCTTTTCCCCCTTGGCACCCTCTTTCTTTCTCAGGCACAATAAGTCTCTTTCTTTTTTTTCTTTTTTTTATTATTATTTATTGAAAGCTTCAAAATACAGAATTATAACCATTGCTTATAAAGTAAAAACACAAGCGAGAAATCAGACGACCGAGTAATCTGATACAGTTATAATTTAATAAATTCCAAGGGGAGATACCCAGTGGCGTGGCGTGAATTGCGATATATCGATTGTTATGCCATTTAAACCTATGGAAAAGGATCGATAAACAGGGTGACAGCAGCGAGCACCTTAATAATCGATTCTATACCATAGGTTTAAATGGCATAACAATCGATACATCGCAATTCACGCCACGCCACTGGAGATACCCTTAGCGCAGGAAGAGGGCCTGACCGTTAGCCCTAAACCTTCCCTACAATTACTGAGATACTGCATCTTTCCGTCACAAAATATAAAATTTAGAAGTTGTGAAAGCTTACACACCTGTTAAATTGTTGCACTGGTTGAATTTTTCCCTTACCTAATAATCCAGGGGAAACTTGGCGCAGGAGCTTTCTCGCGCCCTGACATGTTCATCATTTGAGCTTTGTCTTATCACACTTTTCGCTGGAAGGGATTGCCCCACGAATCCCGCCCTCCTATCGGCAGCAGTGATATCAGTGATTGATTACTGTGTTATTGGTGTGCTCCTTCCTTTTCCCGCTCGTCGAGTTCTATTTTGAATATCGGCCGACCTAGAGTTTCAAGTGGGGTTGTCGTTTCAGGCCGAGCAGCGCCCCTCCTCTTTTTTCATGAAGGATTTATGCCCTCAGCGATATTAGTTGTTTTAACAACGGCCTGTGTTTTGTCCGTTCGAAGTGGAGAGGAAAGTTTGAATATCTCGCGGAAATACAGAGAGGCACGTGAATTTTGAACTTGTCGGTCTCATAAATAGACAAAGCGTTTTTTTATGAGCTTTGTATGTGTTTCTCTAGTGTTGTTTCTGGTTTTCTTGCTCAAGTGGTATATCCTTTTCTGAGCTTATGGACATACTAAGGAATTATAGTGCGCGATATTTTGTTGTGCATTTTCAAAGTTAAGGTACAATTTCACATTCAGCCCCGCCAAAGAGTTACGTCAAAAGAAGTGTTGCCTCAATTGTATATTTTCACCCTAACAAATGTTTAAACGCTTAAATTAGTGTAAATAAGTGATTTTTTTTAGTCTGAATAAGTGGCAAATAAGTCTATGCAATGAGGAATTTGGACAATTTTCGCCCCGCGCGAATGAATTTCAATTATATTCATCGCTCCGAAAAATTATTTTTCATTGCGACGCTTTGTCTTTTTGGATTTATTTTTTTTTGCGTCCATAGGTGAATTCAAAAAGGGGACGTAGCCCCCCTTCCCTCTCCTCGTTCACCCGAAAAAGTGTAGGAAAAAGGGAATAAGGAAGAAGGAGGAAAGAAGAAACAGGGTGTTTGTATTAGGTAATTATTCATGACAAAATTGACTTAAGGTGATTCGATGGACGCCATATTTTGTGTCAGAACGGCATGCGATATATCGCATCAATTGGTTCCATTTTTTCAGCTACTCGTCATTTTTCTCCAATTTTGAGATCGCAATTCTGTTGTCAGGAGACTAAAGCACTCACTTACCAATTTTAACAAAGAAATTCAACGTAATAAAGGCGTGGTTTTTTTAGAGAGAAAATATCGCATTCGATACTGATATCGAAACTGCACTCGAATGCGATATTTTCTCTCTAAAAAAACCACGTCTTTATTACGTTGAATTTCGTTGTTAAAATTGGTAAGTGAGTGCTTTAGTCTCCTGACAACAGAATTGCGATCTCAAAATTGGAGAAAAATGACGAGTAGCTGAAAAAATGAAACCAATTGATGCGATATATCGCATGTCGTTCTGACACAAAATATGGCGTCCATCGAATCACCTTAAACTGCATACTAGATTATTTAAAATTTCGAAAATTTTCTGAGAGACATCCCCCCCCTCCTTCGAATTGCCTGAACCCAACTCTGTTATAATTCCTTCGAAAACAATATATCGGGAGCTGACGGGTGGTAACTAAAAAGTTTTCCAGCGGAAATCTCTGCTCTTACTTTTCAAAGGAAGTTCATGATTTACTTTACCTGTAGTAATTCTACGCTAAAAACGAGAAAGTATGAAGCTGGATTTTTTTTTCAATTCTCAGGGTTTAAGTAATTGATTTTCCACCAATTTTCTCTGTTACAGTTGGAAAGAGATGAATCCTTAAAGGTATTTAAATATTTTAGGGTGTGAAATATTCGGGTCGCGATGATCAATATGGAACAATCTTCTGCAGTTTTGATGAAAGTGACGCTTTTGTGGTCCGAATCAAACGTTCACGAACAATTACACGTGGCGCTTCAAACAAGGCAACAATCATGGATTTGCATTGCGGAAAAATTTGCAAGAAAAATCCCGTTTTCGATCCCAGGCTAGTAAGTCTATCGGTAAGTTAAACCTGCGCGTATTTGTAATACACTTGGCAAAATTGGAACTTAAGATGCTTTCGCCGAATATTTTAAGTCATTTCGACTTCAGTGTCTTCTCTAAAATATTTATGTTGGCTTTAGGCGATTTTCCCAATGAAAACTGATAATTTCTATATTAGACTCTTTATCGATAGACTCTTCATTCGAATGTTTTTGTCAGCATTCTGCATGAACCATTTCATCAATTTTACCCAGCCTTTCTTCAAACTTATTATCTCTCCTCTGTTTCCACAGTTTCTTTCAAATCTAATGCTATATCATCTTTTCTAATCTCGCCAAACATAGTGCGCGGCCGACAGCCGGCGCGAAAAGCTTATTAGTGCCCACAAGAGTGCAGGAATACTTCACGCATTGCGCCAAACACAGTGCGGTCGGCCGGTCGCTGTTCGGCGCGAAAAGCATATTGGCGCCTACAAGAGTGCAGGAATACTTCACGCATTGCGCCAAACACAGTGCGGTCCTGGTCGCTGGCCAGCGCGTGACACGCATATATGACTACGGACACTATATCAAATTTGACCTCCAAATACTTAAACTTCAACTTGAATATTTTGGATCGAGGGTTTGTGTTCCAAGTCAAGTTCAGTATCAGGCTTAAAAATTTAATACGAGCACTTACCTTTTTCATCAGTAATTTTTCCCCTTCTTTTTACAATTAAAAATATCCTATGCGGTGTCACGGTCATGGTCGTGATAAATTCAAACAAAAACGGCGGGTATACTCAACAGCAATGAAGCCCAATCCAAAAAATCGGTACACGTGCAATTGACAGTATGGACTGACAGTAAGGCACAAAGATTTTTCAGAATATCAAACGCTTAAAAAATAAGAAGCGTGACGGTTGTGACACACAAAAAGATGCAATTGAGAAAATTTGAGTTTTAAATCCTTCCAGAATATTCTAAATTCCGGCAGTGACACTGCTGTACGATTACGATCCGATCATATTTTGATGTGAACACTTCACTCAACGGAATGGAACGTTTTGTAGCGATTTTGACTGCCCGACAAATAAAAACACCTGTAACGGTTGTGACGTCGAAAATTTGTGACAGCATATTTTCGAAATGTTTCGGGTGGAAATCGCGTTTTTTGTGAAAGCAAAATAATGCATTTCTTATTCAACTACAAGTATTTCTGATGAAATTAGTACAAAAATTGAAACAATTTATGAGACCAAAAAAAAATTATGATGCTGTAAACATTGCAACCTGACAGCCATGACATTGACGGTCGTGACATTTTAAGCAGTAAAAGCTGAAAATTAAGCTTACTATATCGACCCACACGATTTTGACTGTCCGAATTCCTTAAAAACACTTATTTCCCTTTCAATAGGTAAAATGTGTGATTTTTTATCACACATTGTACAACTAATGCATGACTGAAACTGGACACTTCTCGTAGAACGCCCGTATTACGACGGTGAAACTACCAAACCACGTATCTCGGTTTGCGACGTCGCAGAATTCCTGTCATACTTTATTTTTTAAATGAAAAACTACTTAACGTCCAGTCTTGAAAATTTCTGTGATTTTTCCTCTTTGTGCGGAGAAAATTCTGTGAAAATTTCAAGGAATGATATTGATTTGGTCTACCTCAAAAAAATAAAATGCGAGCGTAGATTTTTAAACACCGCAAACGAGATACGTGGTTTGGTAGTTTCACCGTCGATTAGCGCCTACAAGACTGTGGGGATACTTCACGCATTGCGCGTTCATTACAGTGCGCGCTTTATTCGTTGAAAATTCGTAATACATCGGTGCCGGATCTACCGCAGTCGCGGTACACCATTTCCGACCAGTGTGCACCCCGAGCCTGCAATAATCTTCGTATCGAGGGATTGTAGAGATTTTGTATCCCTGAATGGTATCTTAGTAAATTGAGTCATTGACGTCGAAACTCGTCCGTTTTTATCTCAGTAATTATCGTTAAAACGAGGACCTCTCTATGTGGAGGAAATATAAGGTCGAATCACATTTTCCCTTAGGATTGATTGTTTTTAAGGTATAAGCGAAAAACCGGTCGCCGGCGGCGTATTTTTGCCCCCCCCCCCCCCCCCCTCTTTTGATGATGGTGGCCTTAACGGACAGCCAGCCGATTCCGGTAAACTTTTGATATGTAGTTCTGGTGGCCGACTGCAACATTTTTCCGTAAAGAACCTAGTCTATGCATTAATTTTCTCAGACAAATGCTAGATTGACTGGAATGTGAGAGCATTTCCGGATAAGAAAAAAGAGCGCGGTAGAACAGTTGACGCGACTTTGGGGTTGAGCTTCAAATTTTTCAAGTCCTATTACCGTTTTTCTTGTTAAAGTTTGATAATGTTCAATCTTTTATTGGGAATTTTTTGATTTTCACTTGTTTACGTGCCAACAGTTGGAGACATCAAAACTACTTGGTCCTCGGCCGCCACGGGATGGAAATATCGATGCTGTCTTACTTTCCTATTGCTGCGTTTAAATCTCCAGACGTATGCCTATCGATTATTGAGTGGAGTATCCTCCGGTCCTATTTTATTTTTTAAATGAAGACCAAAGTGACTTCATTCCTTGAAGTTATCGCAGAATTTTCTTCGCACAGAGGAGAAAAATCTGGTAGTTTTTAAGAATTGCTGTTGAGTAGTATATTCCGTTAAAAAAATAAAGTAGATATAGGAAGACTGTAACGTCGCAAAGCGAGATACGCGACTGCGCGCGGTCTTACACCGTCGAAATGCAATAGTTTGGTCGGATGCACCCTAAATCAGCCTAATTGCATTTCTCGCTACCTAATATTTTCCCATGTTTTATTTTTTTAACAGAAGACAGAACTACTTGTCGCCTTTATTCAAACGTTGAGGAATACAATCGCAAATACCTACTTGAATAATGGGCCTGTTGCAAACTTTTGCTAGAGCAAATATAAGAGTTGTTACCCATAGAAAGTGTCTCAAAAATCAAGATGAAGTCTGAAATGCACTCTTTACTTCACAATTTGCATCATAAATTTGCGTTATTTCGAGCTTCCCGCTTCAAAAACAATACCACGGCACAGGTGAGTATTTCGTCAGAGGAGTCATTCCATCCAACCCCTGCTCACAAAGATACCACGCAATATTCAACATAGCCGACGCCAATCAGGCAAAACGCATGTGACGGGACGATAATTCTAACCACCTGATAACAATCGGTGTATTTACATTAATGTTTTTCTCGCTTTGCTAGTTATCTGTCTTGATTGACCTCGTGCTCTCATCAACTTACGCGCGGAAGCGCATATGTTGAGCAGGAATTGAATGGAATGAATCCTCTGACGAAATGTTCACCTGTGCGGTAGTATCTTTTTTGAAGCGGGAAGCTTAAAAAAACGCAAATTCCTTACGGAGATGTGAAGTCAACTATAAGTTGATGGTGTAACTCTCAACCCATGTATCCATGTATGTAACCCAAGCTTGCGACGTTACCGTTTACCGTTACCGTTTACCGTTACCGTTTACCGTTACCGTTTGTTACATGACTTTTACATTTTGCATCTTCCACTAATTCTCCATTTTCACACTGGGAAAAAAAACACATTGGATCTAGAGTCCGGACTCTTGAAAACATTGACAAGAAAAAATACTCTTGATTCAATCATATTTTTGCTTCAATCAAAAAGTAATCCGCTCAAATTAAGAGGCTTGGCTCTTGATTTAAGCAAAAATCCGATTGAAACAAGAGTATTTTTCTTGTCGATGTTTTTAAGAGTCTGGACTCTAGATCCAATGTGTTTTTTTTTTTTTTTTTTTTTTTTTTTTTTTTTTTCCAGTGCATTGCTAGCGAGAAACATGTCGAAAGGAAACGCCCAGAAAAAATCCAACCGGTTTCATACCGAGGACGAAAGGATGAATAACTTGAATAATCAAAATAATAACCAGAATGCCTCCAACTACAATAACAGCAAATCCAACTTCAAAAATAACAATTTGGCGAATGCGCGGTTGCGAGCAAACGGCGGGAATTTCAAAACTGAGAGCGGGAATTTCGAATCGCCGGGCGGTTGGCGCAGGAACACGAATGACTTGGAGAGTCATGTGCGGAAGGACATGAACGTATTCTCACTCAGCCAGTTCGGCGAACGGCCAGAGGAAACTGATCGTGAGAAACTTGCTGCAGCTCTTGCTATCCGGAATACAGACAACGTCAAGGAGAAGTTCAAGATTGCCACTGACGAGTTGATGAGTAAGTATTCTTTAACGTACATATTGACAGTGAAACTCCAAAAACGCATATCTTGTCTGTGGTATTTCAAGAGCTCTACTCCCATTTTATGATATCAAAAGATTAAGAACCAGCACTATTGACTGAAATTTTCACGAAATATTCCTCACATAGAAAAGAAAAATTAAGGAAGCTTTCGAGAAATGACGTTGAGTATTTTTCCATTTAGAAAATAAATTAAATACCTATGTCTGGAGGTCTCCAGCGTCAGAAACCGAGAGAAGCGTTTTCACATTTCACTGCCGATACATATGTATAATGCGGCAGGTAATAGTGCTAAATGGAGAAACATGAAATAAAATTCAGAAATAAAGAAACAAAAAGAGAAACCTACGGATTGATTTTCACGTTTGTTTTCCTTCAATGCGTGGTAGCCGCTAGCGGCTGGTTCACTCACGTGTATGCGAGTAACTTACTAGGTATCAAGGTTGACACACACATGTCAGTCCGTTAGGAGTATTGAGTGTAATGATCTTTTCAGAACCGGGGCGAAGGCTGTCCGCATTGCCAACAATTTTTCCCGATTTGCATGTCCCACTCTGCTGTTCCCCAGAGCCGATTCCATTGGCCTTATGCAGATTGGGGGGGGGGGTTACTACGCAACGGACTAGTGTAAATCGGGGAAACTTTTGGAAAGTGGTAAAACAGCACATCGGGAGAATTTATCGCCAGATCGGGAAATTCCAAAGAATATCTTATTGCACTAAAGCCCGTATATCATACGATCAAAGTAGAGCTCTCAAAATGACGCCACGTGGGGCCATGTGACCCTCCATTGCCCTTAAAGATTCTCGGGCCGAGAATATTTGAGGGTCACGTGACCCCACGTGACGCCACTTTGAGAGCTGCACTTTGATCGTCTGATAGGTACCGGCTTAACCTGGGTCTGTTGACCTGGACTAGGTATAACACTTTCGTTGCTGTTAATGAATACGTTGAAAATCTAAGTAAAATGAGTATTTGATTCCTTTGGATTTAGAAGTTCTCTAAAGTGCCTTGGGAGAGTGTAAAGGTTGGGATGAAAAAAAAGTTAAAAATGAGCTTCCTCGTATTTGATCATTTCTTTATCTTTTTCACGTTCGCTTTTGAAGAGGAGGAGCCACCCGAGACAGCATGGATACCAGACCCGGGAAGTCCGGTGGATCCGAACGCGAGCAGGGGGGTTTTCTACCAACGGCACACAAAAGGCGACGCTTATTCGCTGGCCCCGGGGATGGGCCCCAGCTCGAAACACCTGACTCTGGAGAACTTCCCTAGTCATCCGGACAGCCTCCATCGCGCCCTCAAACCGGTCCTCATCCTCGCCCGCTGTTTCGCTCTCCTCCCGGTCGAGGGTATCAGTGCGCCCAACGCATCTTACCTAGCGTAAGTTCCCTAAATTCATCAATTTGGATACCTCTAAAAAATTATTCAGGTGTATCGAGGACATTTTATTTTTTAAAAAAAAAGAAAGAAGAAAAAAAAAGACTGAAATGGAATCAGTGTTTGAGATGGAAGCATAATGAAAGTTCTTCGCAAACAGGGGCGGATCCAGCAATTTGGCAACAACGGATTCCCTCCATCGAAACCTGTGTTAAATAATCGATTCTTGGAGAGGCCCCGACGAGAATCGATTATTTAACATAGGTTTAAATGGAGGAAATCCGGCGTTGCCAAATTTCTGGATCCGCCAATGTTCGCAAAGAAAAATAGGCCGCATTTCTTCATGGTTCGGCGTCGTCCATAAACTACGTTTAACGCCTTAAGGAGGGCGCGGGGTCTAGAGGAGCGTTACGTCATTTGGTTTTTACCTATCAATGATGGATAGTGAGGTACGTCACGGTGTTAAGAGGGGGAAGGAAGGGAAGGTCAAAAGATTCGAAATTTAGGGTTATGTATTTTATGAGCGGCCCCTTGTCACATGTGATTAACACGTGAATTTATGGCTCCGCAAAAGATGGAAAACTTTCCTCGATCTAACTTTACTTCTCAATCGACCAATGTGTAAAGAAAATTTCATTAGAATACTCATCAGAAACCACCAGTCTTTATTAATTTAGATGCTACAAATGCCAGTTCACAGAGACAACAGTTTTCAATTAGCTGTAGTTAGTTAAAGTTTTTAGAAATTTGTAGCTTAGGTAAGCTATTCAATTCGCTCTGAATGTGTTAAATTTTCAATGCTCGACCACTTAAATTCGTTTCGTTTTATTCAGATTCAATTGGAACAGCCTACCGTGTATTTACTTGGGACTCGTTATCGGCTATTCTGTGCTGATCGCTTTGCTCAGCATTTGGAAGACTGTTCAATTCGGCATCTCATATTACAGCACAGGTTGGTGGTCTGAATATCTCTGAAAACAACTTTCATACATTAATTTGTGTCCTCGAAATTTTGCTGGCTTTCTGAGTATTTTTGACGGAGACTTGACCAATAGACATGGAAACAATTATATCACTTAATAAGATACGTTTTCTCACCAAAACAAGCAAAAGCATTACTCTCATGTTCAAAAAGTTTAAAATAAACCTGTCGGCACGAAGTACCTCATATACGAATTAGTGTTTAAAGCTTACAGTTGAATTAGTCAATTCAAACTTTCCGCTCGTGAAAAGCCCAAAATCATGGTTTCACAAAAATCTCCCTCCTCCGAGATAAATATTAGTGCCTTTTTTATTATTTTATTTGTGCTTAAGTTATCTGTATATTTACTTCGCAAAGAATAAAAATATTAATTGTTGCAGTGGACTTCGTGTTTGTGACGAGCTCGATGGTGATCTACCTGTTGTTTCTGCAGCTGGCGACCCTGTGGCCGAAGACCATGTGCCAATGGGAGAAGGCGGAGCACGGCATGAGACATTACGGCTACCCAAAACGCATGGCCCTCAAGTTCAGGTTCATCCTATTCGTTATGATGGCCCTCGCTATCAGTGAGTTATCACCCTATGCTCTTAGATCCTAGGTTGAGAGCTGGCCGTGTGCGTGGTTTGATTATGACATCTATTGGTAGAGGGCCAGCACACAGCAGTAAGACTGTGCAACGTCTCAAAATAATGAATCGTAGGTATTATATCTTCGTGGACTCTTCAAACGCGATTCATTACTGAATCGGGGCTTCGAGATATTCACTCATTTTAACAAATTTCATGGGTGAATGCAGTCTTCTGAAAAAAGTAACTATTTTCAGATGAAAAGAAAAATTAAAAAATCAAATAGCTAAACTCTTTGTTCATAGAGTTTTATGTTTTTTTTTTTGACTGGCAACGTCATTATGTTAGTGGTTACGAGGTGATTTTTTTTTTTAGAATATTTTAAAACAAGGAGACATTGTGAGACTTATTAGCAGGCGAAATCTTATAGAAAAAGTATGAGATAATTCAATCATATTTGAGATTTTCCTACGAAATCACGTAATGCATAATTGTTGTAGAGGTGCTGCATTTTATAATTTAAATGGAGACATCACTCAGCCTAGTAAAAGATTAATCCAGAACCGACGGCTTAGAATTCATAAGCTCCCTACGATGAGAGATTCAGCGGCGGAATGGGTTGTCGACGTTGATGCGCTATAGGAGCGAGGATACAACTTAATTAACGCCAGAGTAGCCATTTTGCCTACTTTCTTTATTGAAGGAGTTTTTTACTCCGAGCAGTTCCTCAGCCTCATGTGTGCGGAAGGCGTGGTCGCACTCGCGGAGCTATCGCACAATGACCATTCCACTCAAGATATATTTATCAAAAGCGAGGACAAAACATCGTAAAGGCTATGTTGTAGAGTGTCCGATCCTTTTTGATTCTCTAAAAGATACAACATACAAATTTGCATGAAATGTTAAAAAAACGACTTTGGATATTAAAATGAAAATAATGAACAATTTTAACGAGTAGGTATAAAAATTGGACATGTTTCTACCAAACAGAGGTCTGTGCAGGTGGGAGAGATGGGGTGTGCTCATGGTGAGGTGAGCTAGATAAAAACAATGTAAAAGTGTCCGTGATTTCTTTTGGTGAAATGGAAAAGCGGGATTTTAAATTCACGGAATGGAAATATGTGTCAACACTCAACTGTATGCGGGACTCATGAGCCGTGGGCATCGAACAAAAACGTTGTGGAAAGGACTCATGAGTTAATGCTGCACTGGAAAAAAAAAAAAACACATTGGATCTAGAGTCCAGACTCTTGAAAACATTGACATGGAAAAGGACTCTTGATTCAATCAGATTTAAGCTTAAATCAAAAGGAAATTCGCTCAAATTAAGAGGCTTGGTTCTTGATTTAAGCTTAAATCTGATTGAAGAGTATTTTTTCTTGTCGATGTTTTTAAGAATCTGGACTCTAGATCCAATGTGTTTTTTTTTATTTTCCAGTGTGACCAATAAGCCGCGGGGGCGGCTTCGTCGCCACTGACGTCACTGGCGCTTAATAATTCCTATGCATTCTTACCGCCCGAGAACTAACGAGCACACCCCATTTCCCAATTTCCGCACCTGCTCATAGTTCTGTTTAGTAGAAATATGTCAAATTGAAATCTATTGGTTTGTTTTCTCTCTTCCTCCCCCTCATAAGTTGAGCACGTGGCTTCGATAGTAACGGCAGTCTTCGAGGCACTTCCATGCTCCTCTGGTGGTTGGGACATCGTCCGAGCGTACTTCGTTACTAAATTCCGGCAGGTATTTACATTCGTGCCATTCAACATCTGCATAGCACTACCTGTCCTCGTCATGAATCTCATTCTTACATGCGCCTGGAACTTCATGGATGTCTTCATTATTCTTATGTCTTTCGCCATGGCCGAGCGCTACAAGCAGGTCAACGAGCGGCTCAACTCTGTCAAATGCAAGGTATACGCTTGTATATTTTAAAATATTGAACGATTCAGCGTAAGCATTTTCCAACTGCCCGGTGTGACTTTCAATAAGCAATGCTTCCATCTTACCATGAGCAGTAAAGTATGGTATGACCCCGGTTATCCGCGATAGTTGAGTGTGGAGGCACCGCGGATAATTCGAACTTATGAACCACGGACCGAAAAAGTACCTTCCAATTAGTTTTTTCGCAAGTAGTACGGTAGTGAATACGTACAGTAAAATTGATCAAGACAATTATGAATTTTACGTTTTCAGTATATAATCAATTCATGAAGGTATGATAGGCTGTCCCATAGGGACGTATTTAACCTAAAAGGAACTTTGTGCGTAGGTTTTACGCGCGACATAGTTCCTTGTAGCAGCATAAATATACGTCCATTGAGTCGAAGAGTTTCACTCCTTTTTTCATATAGGTAAGAAAAAAAAATGTCAGTATTCCGTGCGATCGCTGATAATCCGACCGCAGATAACTAAGATTCTACCGTACATCCGAAAATGAATGTTTTGAAGAAATGAACGTAAAATAGTTTTGAACCTTACATTTCTCGTAATTTTGTGGGAACTTAATGATCAACAAATTATGCCCAACTAGTGTAAAAGAAAATAAAAAAAATGAAATGTAAAAAAAGAATCACTACTGACCGAAGAAAAGAGGGAATTTAAAATTTTTTTCTCCCATTTTCCATTTCATCAGTAAACGGCGGAAAGACCAAATATACTTAGGTACTTAAAAATGCAATACGAGAGACTATCAATTGTTAAAGTTTTTTGTGGGTCCTTCCGCGGGTTCTTCCTTAGGAGAATGGCATCCCTCAAAACTCCCCTTACGGAGCGCCTAAATCGATCTTGCACCATGCAGGTAAAAAAAAGTCATAAGTCCGGTGCTGATTATTCTTTCATTTCTATTCTGTATAGGTGCTTCCGACAAGTTTCTGGAGGCACATCCGAGAGACGTACAACACCTTGTCGTGTTTGACGAAGCTGCTGGACAATCTTTTATCTCCAATAGTTCTCCTATCGTTTGCGAATAACCTTTATTTCATTTGCCTGCAGCTCTTGAACAGTTTGCGGTAAGTTTATGTTCATATCAACGACCACAAAAGAATGAGCTCAATAAAAGGCACACGAAGCCCTTTTTTTACCAGTATAAGTATTAAATAAGACCAGTTGGTTCGGAACTTCCTATTTGAATTTAACTATCACCTTTATTGCTTAAAGACACCTAACGACGCCCCCCCCCCAATCATGATTAGTGTAATTGGACTGCATTATGCAATTTAGAACTATAAATTCTAACTCATCTGAATAACACTTATGTGCATGGGGAAACTAATGGCACATACGTCGTTTTTAAACCGGGCTAGAATTTATAGTTCCAAATTGCAAAATGTAGTCCAATTGTTTCACCTGTCGTGAACACGCTTCGGCACTGTAAAGTGCTTCTTATTCCTTTGAATATTTCTATCTATTTTCAAGATATTTAAGATAGATATTCATTTTCATGATAGCACAAATTATTTTTCTGGTGGTAATGGGGGGGGGGGGGGGGGCTGGCAGTCATGGGGCCCGGACCTTAAAACTGACATCAGGGCCCGAGATGGGATGTGGCGGGCAATACGCAATTATTTAATCAAAATACTTCTTTGAGATTTTCTACCGATACTTGGTGTAGGCGGAGAAAATTCCAACAACCATTCAAGGAAAGCTGTTGGTTAACCTACGTGTAAAAAAACAAAACCGAGCGGAGACTTGCAACGTTACGCTCGGAATAACGCATTTTCCGATTTCAGTAAAACAGTATTTGCAATTCTGATTAGTTGCAATGCACAACGGACGTTTTCGCACGAGACCGGACCACGTCACAACCCACCTCAATGAGTACTACTTATCTAAGAAATATTATAACGCATGACAGCCAAAATCTGAGCTCAGATTCGGATTCCTCGCTGAAAATCAGTGAGGAATCATGTAACGGACGTCAGAATTGCACCACGGGAAGGGCATGCACCGGTTCCTCCACATCGGCGTGGGTGGTCACTGGGTCAGGAGTGTAACAGACATCGGTTCTCGGAAACGGCGCTTCCGCAAATTCCAGCGATTGCGGCGCGGCGCGGCACAAAGGAATCGAGATTGCGCCAGACAGAGTGGCGACAGGTGCCGCGCCATGGGCATTCGATGAGTCGTGCGGGAGGGGAGAGAAGCTCGGCGCGACCTGTGGTTCACTGTTGCGCCACCAGATAGTGTTGACCGTCAGATATTAAACGCAGGTGCATAATTTCATATTTTCTGTTCTTTTATAGTTGGACCGCGTTAAACAGAAAGGAACCAAGCCACATGAGCGATTGCCAAATTTGATCGGGCAATTTAATTTTTTACATGAAAACGGTTATGCGGAATTTTGTGCAAATTTCAGTGAATTTCCTCCATAATACAAAGCAAATTTCTTAAAATTTTCTAAGGAATCTGCACAAACATTCTCACGTAAAAAGTAACATTTCTCTGTTAAATTTGGCAATAGCTGATGTGGCTTGGTTCCTTTCTGTTTAACGCCGTCCAGTTGAGGTTTAGCATATAGTTGATTGTATTCGACTTCTGAAATATTTTTTTATGCCTCATGCATTGTCTACTCTTCTTGGCGGCAGGTGAGAAGATGTCGCTAAAAGCCGAGCCTCACAATACAAACCATCAGCGCTGGTAAATTACAGGGCGCAGTGAGCAATAATCATATTGTCGGGGGGCAGTCTCTGTCATTGGATAAATGCATAATATGTGATGTGCCAATCAAGGCGCTTGATTTCCGAACTCATATTGGTCATACGTTCTCGCACTGCGAATTTGCCATTCGTCAATTGGCCGCCAATTCACCAATTGGCTCTCAGTCGGGTGCAGCCACTGAGCGATGAGCGCAAAACACGTGACCCTCAGTCCTCACCGAATAGGAATTAACTACCGTCTCAGTAGCCAATCACAGTGACTCATGCGTCCATGTACCTCATTGGCTATTGCCACAGTAGCAATGGCTGCTCCAGTGCTCCCAAAAAAATTAATGTATTGCACTTGGGGTTATTCAAAAACGGCGATTTTGCCGTCCTGTAGGATTTTACCCGGAGTTGGATAGTGTTCTTCCCTATCAGAAGACACGCCTTTCTCCGTCAAACGGCAAGTTCAAAAACATTTCCCCGCGCATTACAGCGTTGCCAATTTGGAAACGTGACAATTCAGTAGATGACATCAAAACTGAGCCATGAAGTCGTGGTTTGGACGAAAATTGTCTAAAAAGGAAACCCACTGGTTAATGGTCAAGCCAGTGGCGTAACGGGTGCCCCCGCAGACCCTGCTATGCAGGGGGGCCCAGGCGCCTAGGGGGCCCACGGCCGCCGGAATTTTTTTTTCTCTCTCTCCTTTTGATGCTTAGCTTTGGTTTCAAACTTTGGGCCTTTACTTACCGAGATGGGGCTTCTTCCTCTGATTTTTATTGTTAGCACGGGGTATTTTATACTTCTTTCGGACTGTTCCTAACTTTTTGTTTGCTGGAGGGCCCCTGCCTTCCAATGTCCACTCAGTGATTACTAAACATTTTTTCTTTTTTTGTCACTTTTCGTAATTCGGGCTTTGGGAGATCCAAGAACCTAAAGGGCCCCAAGGCTCTTGGGGGCCCTTTGATTCTTGGGCCTACGCCCCTCTGTAGATCCTTGGGCTTGGGCTGGGCCCCTGNGGCTAGAAAAAATTTTGCGGGGGGGCCCAGCGGAAGTCCGTTACGCCACTGGGTCAAACTTATTTTATGAACTATGCATGTGGTGGTTCTAAATTGTGATGAGGTTGGTTTCGACTCCACCAATCTGTTCGTATATAGCCAGGGGCGTAGCTAGGAAATTTTTCTTGGGGGGGGGGGGCATGGGACCACCTCTCGTGGTGAAGAGCATAGGCGGTTCTAGACCTTCATGCTTAGGGTGCCCAGAGGTGGAAAATTCTCCGACATTTCTCAGGGGAGGCCTAAGTTTCGGTCCTCAAGTTTTATCCCTTTCCTACCCTCCTTCCTCTCTACTTAAATACCTATAAATTCAATGTAGAAAATTTTTAGCAAAACTTTCCATCAAAACTACAATCTTACCATAAAAAACAGTAGAATCTTTGTAAAACACGGCTATCAATATTAGTTCTGTTTAAAACATTTTCAATTAATTGCTGGGATTTTTTCTCCATATGAGCGAATACAGAATCTTTAAAAGCAGTAATTTCACGGTTCCGATAATCGATAAATTAATTTTTGCTTGGGAGTGCCCGGCACCCACTGGCACCCCCGTAGAATCGCCTATGGTGAAGAGAGCGGGGGATGGGTGAGGAATGGAGGATCCCGTTTTTCTGGGGGGGGGGGGGGGGGGGTTCTGGGGGGGCAGCCCCCCCCCCCAGGACCCCCCTAGCTACGCCTATGTATATAGCCCCCACAAGCCTTTGAGGCGAGATACGTACGCTCTCATGGAGAGTTCTACCTACTGAATAAATAACATAGAGCCGGCCTAAATGAAGTTCTTCTTTGTTCACAGCCCGATGCAAAGCACATGGCAAGCAACATACTTTGTTTACTCATTCTCATACCTACTCGTTCGAACTATTGCAGTATCACTCTTTGCTGCATCCGTCCATGATCAAAGCAAGGAGCCCAAGTCTGTACTTTTTTCAGTTCCAACTGAAAGTTATTGCGTTGAGGTGAGCAAAATTATAAACAAATCAATAATTTAAATTGTAATAATAGGTTTTTACACTTATACTTAAATTAACTGATTGTAAGTAAGTAGCTAAATGCGATAATAGGTATTACATGGTGAAATAATTGCTATTGCTTCGGAACGTCGTGCATGTTGCATATCTACTATTAGAAGGGACTCCCCTGATTGAACTTCATTGCGATTAAAATTGAAACAAGTTGCGATCTTCTGCTGCATTGCAAATTGCCAATCTTCCTGATTCACAGGACTCTATTCTATTGTTCGTTTAAAATTGTCATTTATTGACCAGATGATGTAAGATATTGCGCTTCACTATAAAAACTTCTTTAATTTTATTTAATTCAAATGCAATTTCATTTAAATTTTTTCGTTGCACTGTATGTTACTTGAGTACAGCTATAGCAGGGCATATCTAGGCCCTTCTGCAGTTTCCTAGGGAAACAACAAGCAGAGCATAAAAAAATTCATGACCGACTCACTACTTAACCTGGCCTTATTTTGTTTTTGTTTTTTTTTGGACCTATGTACCTGAGTACATATTGAAACTGCATGAATATAAAAGGTGCCTCCCTTGATGGAGCAAAATTTTATAAAGACTGGGTATCATGAAGTTCATCAGAATGAACTTTAATTAGGTACCTATAACACTTTTACAATTAAGTAGGTAGAAAGTATAAACATAACCTTCAAGTACTGGCGAGATGAAAGCACATTGATAGTACAGATACACAAATAAATGTGTAAACATTTTGGTAAGTGATTATGCAAAAACAAATTTTAAAATATTTTTGACTGGAAATTTGCACATTCTTTCAGGTTTCAAGATTCCTTATCCAAGTCACCAATGATGATCTGGCCTTGACTGGATGCAAGTTTTTTGCTGTCACAAGGACATTCATGCTTACGGTAAGCAATTAGTGGGGGAATGATCCACCAATTCAAGAATCGAAAGTTAGTGGTCATAGGTACATACATATGCCAAAGCAGGTTGTATCAGTAATGTAAGGACGTTTACTTTTAATAGGTAATCTAATAATATGCATAAAGGAGAGGGATATGCATAATTATGTCTGACATTGCTGATTAAACAAAATTATTAAGAAAAGAGCGTAGCTCATGGAGTTTTTTATAGATTGCCCGTATCAGTGAGTATAGAAGGCCCTCCATACTCTGGCCCATATTGTTTTGTTGAAAGTCCTCAGATTACTGCATAGTTTTTTATGATTTATGGCAGGTCAATCACAAAACGGAAACATTGTACCAGTAATTTTTTTTATTGTTTCGCAGAAGAGAGGCGGGGAATCACCCAGCAGAAAATGACGACTCATATCAGAGAATGAACATTGGCATTTTTAATGAGAAGAAAACAAATTTCGGAAAAGGTTTATCACAAGTATTTTACTTAAAATTGTGTTCATATTTCCTCAAGGGAATTTGATTTTAACCAATTTTTGTCTTTACTTTCTAATTGATACAGAATTGAAGATGCTTTGGCATTTGTCTGCCTGGAAAATCACCCATTAAAAAAGTCAGATGACTTCTTACTGCATTACCGTTTCATTATAATTATTGCTATTATATTGGAATGTTGTGTGAATCTACAAATTGAAGGGGCTCCTCTTGTTGAATTATTTATTGCAATAAAATTGAACTAAGTTTCTATATTTCTCTTCATTGCAAATATCCTAATCTTCTAAAAAATGGAACTCATTTTACTGATCATTTAAAATTGGCATTTACTTATAGAATAGTAAACTATAAATTATAAGGACTTATAATTTATTTATAAAACTATTGCAATTTCAGGGTAAAAATGGCAATTTCAAGGCATTAAAATCCCAAAGCATTTAAGTATTTAAATTGCACTGTGCTACTTGAAGTGATGTCTTAAATTGTGTGTTAATATGGATGTATAATTGGCTTGTCTTTCTAAACATAGGTGGCTGGAACAATAGTGACGTATGAGATAGTCTTGGTTCAGTTCAATGCAGTGAGCAGTGAAGATGCTGCGGCGGCTAAAAACTCATCTATAATCTGCCCTTGAATTCCAAAATGTACATTTTTAGTTGGCTCAGCTCTGCTTGGAACATGGGAGACAGAGATAAACAAGAGCTCTACTCTTTGCCGGGTGTTTGTAATCAGTCTCACATTGTTGAAATATCATTGTATTTTCTTTAGATAAGTACTTTTTTGACAAATTTGATGAATCGAAAAGGAAAAGTTGAGTATCAAAAAAAGTTATCTTCCAAGTTTATCAATTTTAAGGTTCAAAGTTTGGTTCATAACGATGCTAGGTGATGACAAATATTTATAAAATCATGAATTAAAAAATAAATGAATTTTTTTTAAAGAGTTAGATGAAAATGGTATAAAATATGGTAATTTCAAAAAGCTGAAGCTTATTCTGAGTAACAATCTCAGTGTCTGTGCTGCAAACATATGCATGTGGCTATTTTTTTTAGCCCAGAAAAAAAGGCCCTTATTCTTCCTTGCAACACATTTTTTGTTCAATCCATGATGATCTGTGATCAAAAATTATTATTAGTATAAGTTAAAATTTCAGACATCTATTCACAATTTTTAGATAGGAAGCATTCTACCAGCACTGCTTTCAGTGCGTAGCAATGATATGTAAATGGGCATTGAAAGCTTTCCGCACCAGTTTCATTTCTTGTGAAGATTCCTAAGGTTTTAAAAATTATTGGTTAAAATTTGTTTTTAAAAAAATGCGTTGATGAAATTTTAATGGAAATTTATTCTGTACAAAAAAATTACACACTTACATAAAAGACACTAAAGCTAATTTACAGCGAATCACGGGTCATAATTCTGAATGTATCACTGAAACAGAAAATCAAGAGAAAAATTAAAATTTGCACATACAATGACTTAAGTAGTTTTTACAACACTTACAAAAGGAAAATGAAAATAAGCATAAGTTTTATTTTGGTATTGCCTGCTGTTTTCAATTTTTCATGAAGTTTCTCTGGCAGTTTACATTTTGAGGCAGGTAACAAAGTCTAGTTCATCAAAGCACTTGCCAAACAATTAAACTGGGTCATCATTTGGACAGAATAATAACTATTAACCAAGTAGAACTCTTCATTGCCAAAGTAAACATTTAGATTTGATTGTGTGACAAAAACTTTACTTTTCAAGAAACCAAAATTTTCATCTGAGAGTTGATATCATTAAGTTACGAATGAAAAAGTACTGAGTGATCAAAGCAACTTTTCTTATTCAAAGTTTTATTTATAAATGGACGTATTAACAAAATGAATTCAAAAAGTAGACTCAGAGTTACTTACCAGACTCAGGAGAAGAGGAATCAGCAGACGCAGAGACAAGTTCTTCTTCTTCATGCGCTTGCTCAAGAGATAATTGCTTGATTTCAGCATCATAGTCTTTCCACTCATCAATTATCCGCATTGCAGCGGTTAATTTTGCTTCTTTAGTAAGCGGATTATTGCACTGAAATACACAATAAAAAGCTGAATCAGTCGTTGAGGAAGGAATCATAATATTTGTTAAGACAATGACTATATTCTAAATAGTTCACAGGTAGCTAACACTCAACACTGTGGTGATTATGTTCAGGAGAGTAAAATGATACATTCTATAATTCTTAAGTCAATTGTTCTTGTTCATGTTGGGCTAAAGTTAAGTTAACCTAACGGAAATGGTAAGCTAGAAACAAAGAAAAACAAATCATAAACTTTAATTTTTTTTTGTATAAGTACTTGAAAATTATAACATCACAAAAATAGGTTCAGGTAAAATTATACCTATCTCAAGGGTAAAATAAACTGAAAAGTAAAGACACTTTTGTGAAAAAAGTTATCCAATATATATTTAATTGTTAGGCAGGGCTATGTTTTGTCTTATCGTGCTGACATAGATTCAACAATCAAACCAGAGGTACAATCGTAAGCTTTTCTTTCATTCAATTACAAAACTGCCCCAGTAAAAAAATGTCTACCATTCGTGGAAAACTTGCTTTGATGTAAAATTTTAACACTTCAAAAGATGATTTTTATATGAAGATATAAAAATAAGGATATTATAATACTGCAGTTGAATCATAGACACAAAACTTACTAAATCTATGGTTTTGGCTTTCTTCTTGGTAGAATCATCACACCATGTTTCACACCAAAGCCATTCTTGTGGCAATGACTTAATAGCTACTTGATGGATCATGTTATTAGGAAGATCCTGGTCTAAATTTGATAAACTATTTGGGTCCTGGCTCAGTGCTTGGTACTGGCCTCGCAACCGATCTCCGGCTGCAATCTTCCGGAACCTTTTTAAGTCAACTACATAAAGAGCAGAGATGTGATATTTGCGACCTTGTAGATGATTCCGCCAGTAACCCTGCTTCCAAAACCTGTAGAATAGAGATTATTTAGAATCTTAAAAAACAAACAAACAGAAAAACGGTAGCAAACCATTCTTTCAGACCTCAGAATTTCAGGAAGGTTTTCAATCAATTTCAGGTAAAATTTGATACAATGCTACTTCATAGACTAGGTTGTTCACTTTCGTTATTTCTAAATGGAGAATTTGCAGGTGTCTAAAATTTGAAGAATTCCATGTTTGAATGGACGCTACCAAGTCAGTTGAACTTGAGGATACTCTTGGTCCATAAACTGAACAATTATTAGAGGAGATACAACAAAATGATCTAATCTGCTAAAAAATATGCGTTTAAATGGGAAATGCCACCAGATGATGTCACTTAGCGGCGCATTTTCTCACTTTAAAATCTATATTTATACTATTTCTCATAACCGAAAAAATTATGAAAAATACTGCAAAATCAGCTCTTTAAGCTTTTTCAGATGAAGCAATATAAAATTTGCGTGCGAATTCTCCATTGGATAGTACATCAAAATGAAGATAAAAATAAATGCACACTAAGTATTTATCCTTGTCCCCTCCCTTTACACACGTCACTGAAAATATTTTACTTAAAACTGCAGTGGGGTTGAAATTTCCAATTCTTTGACAAAACGTGCATGATACATACCGAAAACCATCCATTTCAGTTCGGCTTTCACAGAAAGGTGTGTACCCATAGGGTGCACCACCAAGATCCAGATCAACTAGCTCCTTCATGTCTGCTCGGACTACTTGATCTGCATCAACAAAAATTATTTTTTTGACACTCAATGGGAACAGCACGTCTAGAAAGAGGATCTTATAGCCCCAAATGATGCGTTGTTTCTCTGTTTGCTGGTGAAGCCATCTTGGCCATTTGTATTGAACCAGTTCATATTCAAAGTTGTATTTTTTCGCCATTTTGGGCAAAAAGTCCTGAGAAAAAAACAAAGAAAATATTGATTACATTCATTAATGGGCTCACACAAAAGTTCCAGTTATCCAGATACTACATTATATGGACTCAAGATTATACTGAACAAGTTAATGGGTATGCGCTGTCAAAACGCAAACCCAAAAAACGCAGCCTTATACAATGTTGGTACCAAAGTTCAGGTTGCACTGTCAGAAAAAGGCAAGAAAAAAAAAAGCACAATTGTCCGATCAGAGCTATCCACACATGCATTTTTCTAACCCTTTCATGTTTTCAAATTCACTAATATTTGTTTACGATTGAGTGTAGGTTTTTCTATCCATAATTTGGATTTCTCTGTGATACAAAACGGTCAGGTCTCAATTGATCCAGATGATTGGGGGTTGTACGCAGTTGCTTTGTCTCAAATTTTTTTTATCTTTCAGCCAAAAATTTGATGAAATATGTGATGTCTTAATATTCTCAGCTATAAGAAGTAAACTTTTGAAAACTTGTCACTAAATTGGAACCTACATTTCAATGCAGTTTTTGGGAAATTCAAGTGATTGCAATATCAGCTGAAGTCAAGTTTTTCAGGAAGAAAATTCTGACTGGTCAAAATTTTCGGTGAAAAGTTGTCCTCCATCAATTATATCAAGATTTGTATCTTTTGGTCACCTGTTATGCATCACAGCGCCTTTACAGCAAAGGATTCGGCTAAACCTCTGTGATAAGTAGCTCTGTTGCCCAGGCTTACATACGAACTTCAGCAAACTTTAGTCTGTTCCACAGTCTCTTTATTAAGAATGGGCCTGTTGCAAACTTTTGCTAGAGCAGAATGAAGAGTTGTTTCCTATAGATAATGCCTCAAAAATCACGATGAGCGCATCGGCAAAGTCTGAAATGCACTCATAACTTCACAATCTGCGTAAGAAATTTGCGTTATTTTGAGCTTCCCGCTTCAAAAACGATACTACTGCACAGGTGAACATTTTGTTAGAGGAGTCGCTCCATCGTCGGCAATATTCATCATGGCCGACGCTTGCGCAGTTCCTCGCGTAATTCGAGGAGAGTTCAAGGTCAATTAAGGCGGGCGAGGAAAATATGAACGTAAACACGCCGATTGTTAAATGGTTTAATCCTGTTCAAGTGTTATCTCGTCCCATCACACGTGTTTTGGCGGACTGGTGTCGGCCATGATGAGTATTGTCGCCAATGGAACGACTCCTCTAACAAAATGTTCACCTGTACCGTAGTATCGTTTTCGAAGCGGGAAGCTCAAAAAACCGCAAATTTCTTACGCAGATTGTGAAGTTATGAGTGCATTTCAGACTTTGCCGATGCGCTCATCGTGATTTTTGAGGCATTATCCGTAGGAAACAACTCTTAGTTTTGCTCTAGCAAAAGTTTGCAACAGGCCCATTCTAGTGGATGAGGATCAACTGCAGTCTTCTCTACATAAAAAACTCTCAAGAATTTCACCATTACATCCTATTATAGATGAGAAACCTTGCAATTTTGTTTATATTGATGAGACCTCCCTTCCTCTAAAATTTCAAAATTAGAAGGCGCAAAATAGGAACTTTTGCAACATCACAATGTAGATATACCCTTAAGCATAGCAGCTGACATTTTCTCTTCATTGAGAAATTCTTTCAGGTTTCCCTAAATTCATTCTAAAATGACTAAGTGATACTTTAAGCACATACGCATGACTAAAATAGGTTTCTGTATACCCTAGCAAAGTTGTCATTACCTTCAAAATGGGCGAGAGATAATTCTTCAGGAACCAGAATTTGACAGGAGATTTTGTGTGTTTAATAACGGACAGCATCATGATTCTTAAGAAGCGTTCATACAGGTGTCCAGAGGCAACAGAGAAGATATTTATGGTTTCCTCTTCTTGAGGGGCTTCTTTTGATGCGCTGAAGGTGCTGAAAATTAGATTTAAAAGTAAATAAATTTCAGAGGAAATGAAAAGGGGGGGGGGGGCTTGAGATGACATAGGTTGAGGAAATATGGCGCTAAGAATGAGAATTTTTTCTTGTTTTGAGTTGATTTATCCGCCACCCTAGAACCTCGTGTATGTCATCTCCTACTTCTTTGTCAATACATTAGTTTCCTATTTAATTAATTATTCAACAAAATGTGACTGAATTACATTTTGTAGATATAAATAAAATTTTTTTTAGGAGACAATGAAAGCTTGTAAGGTGATAGATAATAAAATGTCATGCTTCTTTTAAGGAGGAATTTAACCTCCTCCGAGTAAGTGAATAACCTCGTTAGTCCTCTTGTGACTCGATTCCTTCCACCACACTTGGTTTCACGATGACCTTAAAAATATTTTGCCAGTATTTTGCATCATTCCTTTTCATTATCTTGTAAGTATAAAACTTTATATTTTAGCAGATTTTACTTCATTTTTTCATGATACACAGAAGCTCCTAACAAAGGAATCAAAATTTGAGTAGATACTTATAAGTGTATCTATTACTATAGAATTTGAAGACGAAAATTATTTGTCCTGTGAGAGGGAAAACATTTTTGTGGCCCCTTAAGTCGATCCTTCCTCATGGAGGAGCAGAGAGCAGGGGCATTTGGTAGTTGGTACGCAAGCAGTAAAAAGAGAAATAACAGATTTATTTTCTCATAACAGATTTATTTTCTCCCTTGATTGAAGAATTTTGATAATTTTTATTAGACATTCTTAACCTGTCAAAAATCTCTGCTTGCTCACTTCAATGGTGTTCACGTTGTACTGATTTTAACATTCTTTGAAGTCCTCACCTGGTTATAGAGTTCCAGATACCAGACTTGTTGTCATCTTCATCTCCTAGGAGATCAACATTTAGCTTGTCGGGTTTCTTCTGCACTTTCAGTTTTAGGACATGAGATCGGAATGAGCTGATGAGAACCTTGATATCTGCTGAGCCTTCAGGAGTATCTGAGCCTTCGTGACTAAAAACATTAAGTAACTGTTAGCAAAGTTGAGAGGATATAAATATGGACTTTATAAAAATCTTTTATTTTACGATCATGAAATGTTCATTGATCACAAGAAAGTTAATTCCGCTGAAGGCAATAAAAAGATAAATAAGATAATTATCATGCATGAGAGTGAGTTTACTCAGTTACCCAGCCTACATATTTGAACGAGGCTACTTGTTTCCTTGAATTTTCATAATTCATAACTTTTTAAGATTTCTGAGCAAAAATCTTCATGACTTTCATTGAACTTATTGAGGATGTTGGGCACAAACATTCAATTCACAGGTCATACTGTTTTAGTGATACTAATGGAGAGTAAGTAAAATTTTAATGGCTTTTATAGATTTCTCCTACTTTCTAAGTTCTTGTCATTCTGTTGAAATATATATTTCATGGATATTATTGGAATGAAACATTCTAGGAACAAATTTTCAGTTATACTCAGTTCTGTCGTGATAAAATATGCACAACTAATGAGATATTCAACAGCATCTCATTACGGTCAAATTAAAGAAAAAGAGAAGGATTTCATATCTACTTTAAAAAAAAATATGCGCTGCAATGTTTCTTGCTCATGCTTCTTAATTTTCTTCTGAACATCAAACAGTCCAACTGAGAGGCTATCATAACACAGGATTTTAGTGATGTATGAAGGTTTGCAATTTGCAGTTCTCTTTGTGCAAAATTCGTATTAGCTTTCCAATTATCCACAGAAGGAAAGGATTTTGCAATGCACAAAAAATGCAGCAATAAGCACCATAAAAAAACAGGTATACTGATGATACCTAAAACTGATAACAGAGGAATTGATACAAAACTAATTTTAGACTCACCTAACAATATCGAAGATCTCACTTGAGCGACCTTGTCTCAGTCGAAGGATCCACATGCCGGGATTTGCTTTGAGCTGGAAGTAACCAAGATTTGCCATCACAATTGTGTCTACCATGACTGGTTGCGTCTCAGTGCCGAGGGTGATCTGAAGGCCTCGCGGTGGATTACCCAGCGTTGCTTCAAAACAATGTCCCTCCAGCAACAGATACTCCAATTCGTACTCACTGGAAGAGATAAAAACATACTTAATCAAACAATAAAATGATACAAAAGTAATTCACAATTACATTGTCTTTATCAACATAAGGCATTTTTGATTGGGCTAACAGTTTACTGACAAAGTGCTTCACAAGTGCTATCAATACTAAATAAGTTGTAAGAGTGTTAGACCAGACACAATTCATTTCACAGCAATAATTAATTTTGCACAATACTGAAGTTATCATTTAAATTTTGAAGAGACAACTATGTATCATGAATGTTTGGCAGACAGTTTTTCCGATCAATTTCCGTGAGGTCTCAAGTTTGAGTCCTGATTGATTTTTTCACCACTCAGAGAAAGCAATGTTCCTAAGATAATAAAACAGTTTGGTACATTTAATCATTGAGTGAATGGTCACAAAATTTGACACACCGCAATTTGTTCATTATTCAGAGAAAGATTCATTACACCATATAATATCATTGAATTAATTACATTTAAGGTAATTTCAACATAAAACACTGACGGACTTGCAAATACCTATGAACAGTAGAATCTACATCTTGCAATCTTATATTATCGAGATCATAGGGGCTGGCGACGGATTCAACCAGCCAGTTTTCAGGTACATGCATGTTCTGCGTCAGCAGCGGACTGCCTGGCATGTTGGTAAACTTGGCAATAGGACCACTTGAGAGACGTCCATTTGCATCAAACTGGAGCTCTGGTTCTAAAACGAACCGATAAAAACTGGAGGAAAAAAAAGAAAAATACTGATGATAGAAAATTTTAAAAATTTGATTTTCAAATAGGCATGCAATCAAGGAGAAAAAAATTGAAAAAACACCAAATGATTTCATCAAATTTAATGCTATGTAAGAGTACACTAAAAATTTCACAAAATTGATTTAGGACTAGCTTAATGCTACAGGATGTCTACTAGAATTTAATTTTGGATTTTCCTGATTTATTGCGCAAATAAATTGACCCTGGTTTGATTTTAAAAAAAATCAATATATTTGATGAATTGAATCACATGTTTGAAAAATGCTTGAGGCAATCGGAATTTTCAAATTAAAGACCAATTTTCCGTACATTTTCCTGATAACATCCAGTTTCCTGATATTTCCAAGTTTTTACTGATAGTGGACAACCTGCCGGTTTAAAATGAATACACGACTGCCATACACGTGGCTGCTTTAATCAAATAAATAATAGGCTGATCCAGGGAAATCTGTCTCAGCCTATTTTTTCTTCTTTGGAGGAGGGTAATTTTGATTCGATTGTAAACATCGAAACTTGGTAATTGTAATTGAATATTGGACTATACTCTACTTTAAATGATTTTGGAAAACAGAAAGAGCCAATAGTTACCTTTTAAGCGGCATATCACTGTTTTTTTCAACACAATTGAAAAATATTCTGATGTTGGCGTTGAGCACTTGGTAGAGAACTTGAAGGATAGGACCAATTTTCTGTGCACCTCGTGAAACAGGATCAACTATTACAACTATATCGAACACAGGTTGACTAGAATTTTTGGCAGGTAATTTAATCATGCTAGAACAAAAAATCGTTAAAGTAAGAAAGAGCAAAATATTTTGAAAAATAATGAAATTGGTTCTGATTGGGTGGACTTGCAGTTATATCATAATTTTGATTCTGGCTGTCATTTGTAATTTAAAAATTATTAATATATGTATAATGTACATATAATATATTATAAATTATAAATTTACAGTTATATTTACCGTATTTTAATAAATTACACTTAGCATACTTTTCCTCTGTAAAAGCCATTCAATTGAGCATCCTGCCAAAGTATTAATGTGAGGATAATTCAAAATTGAAGACATATTTGTGCAACGAAATGATTCGAAATAAAACACCCCTTTATAGATTTAATCATGGTACTGTTAGAGGTGAGTCCTAGATTATTATGGTTGATTTGATATAACCTCAACGAGCATTTGTACATTCACACAAAGAACACAAATAATTTTAGTAAAGAGCATGAATGAAAAAAAAGAATGGGTAATTGCAGAAAAGATGATAATGGATGTAGCTTTAAAAAAAAAAAAAAAAAAAAAAAAAAAAAAAAAAAAAAAAAAAACCGCATCACAGCAACAACTTACATACCTATGTTTCTCATCCAGTGTTGGAATCTGGAATCTATTCTTCGTTTGAGGTCTTGATACTAAAAGTGAAACTGTTCTGGTCAAGACCTCAGTGGTTAGGAGGCTTACATCTGCAAAAAAGACACAAAAATATGTAAAAATGTATATAAAATCAAACGCAAGGAGAACATAATTACAGTTTCAGTTTTAAACCGAAATTGAAGTGAATTCTTCAAAGTCAAGTAAGCATAACAGTCTCTGAATTGCATATTGCTGCTTGGTCCCTGGTCTATCTCTTTTTTTCCTGTAAACATTGCAAAACAATATTATGAGAGCGTTTTTACAGGTCTTCAAATGTCAAATCAATTGTCTCAAGCATTGTAAAGAATCGGGTCATACATTTATAGATAACCAATTCTATGCAATCATCAATATGCTGGTATCATAGAAATGAGAAGTCAAAAAAATTATGAGATGATTACATTTCATGAATTTAGTAGAAAACAAACCGTTTAAACTACAATATCAAAAATAAGATTTTGATTACCTTCAATGTTCTTCTTGAGAACATTGTAGATCTCATCTGTGTAGGAACTAAGGGTATAGCGTTCCAGTAGGGCAAAATCATCAGTGATAAGTGTTTCACCCTCATCAAGGGGACCAATTACACGACCGTTTGTGACCACACCTGCGGCACCAGTTCCTAATTTCAGTGTGTTTGAGACGAACGCAGAATGAGCCTTCAGTGCCTCATCAATCTTATCCCAATCGATATCCTAGGACAAATTAAAACCTTTAGTTGCCAAAGAAAAACTGTCAACCTACAAAAAATCTTCTACAAAATCTAAAAATACAATATACATTCTAAATCAGTGAGTGTGCATGTTTGATTCTGTAGCTGCCAAATACAGCATGATTTTACAGTGCAATTGACATCGCTAGATGAATGGATATGAAATGAAATTGGGAGACATGAGGTCAATTGATCAGGTGGAAATGAAACAGAAGTATTATTAAGTAAGAGGAGATGGCATATAAATACTCAGCTACAGTACTTATACCTACTTTCATTTCTTAAGTAAATTCTGATTATGTGAAGACTCTTTTTATCACCTGAAAGTAAATAAGGGAAAGATGTTTCTCTGAATTTCAATGATAAAGCATGATATAGGATAGAATTCACCATTTTGAAACAACATTATCTCTCAGCTATTTTGCCAATAAAAACTCAATAAGCTTTTTAAAACCTTCATACTTACATTCTGTAAAGTGAGACTCTCTCCTGCGCTTTGAAGGTCCTTCGCGTACTGAAGAATGGCATTTACTGATTTAATGGGTTTCTTGGCAGACGGAAGGGAGACCTCAAAATTACTTTTGTGCAGAAGAGAAGCTAGAGCCAGTTTATTTACAATTTGTGATTTGGTGGAGGAGGTTTCATCAGGATTAATGATCAAACCTATTCGACTGTTCCCGCCAGCTTCCTAAAAACCACCAAAGAAGGAAATATTGAGACACTCAAAAGCAATAAGAAATCCACCTGCAGGACACTCAGATATTGATACATATGTGGTAAGAGTCATATTTAAAGAAAGAAAAAAAGGGGGGGAATGGAGTCATAATTACTGATAAAAGCCACATGAAATGAATCAATTCCACAGATGAGGAGATATATAATCCTACTTTTTTCCTCAAATATTAGTTTTTCCTAAATATTATGGAATAAAAGACAAAATACAGTCAACTTCAACGATAACTCTAGCAATGTAAGATTTTACAAAGAAAAGGTAATGGTAAGAGGGTAAATTTCAATCAGCTGAGTCTCTTAGGGAGCAACTTTGTTAGGCATAATCATAGACTACTTTTTAAAGATGTTTTTCTCTCTCGATACTTCTGTTCAATTGCATGCTAAATTTTTCTATGAAAACTGAATACCCTGGATAATCATTTTGTACCTGCAAAGATGAGGAGATACGTTCAAGTGATTTAATTAAACTCGTTTGAGAACATTACTTAACTAACCATGTAAGTAAGAGCATTTTGGAGGAGTGTGCGGCCAGCTTCTGTCTCCAGATTTGCGACGATCCAGTGTGTCAAAAGTATCGGCTTTCCACTAGGTTTTGACTCCTCATTTAAGTAGGGAATGAAATCATAATTTAGATTTGATAGGTCAATGAAATTGCTTTTCTCTGAGTTCAAGATCCTTTCGTTCAAACTGCGGAGACAAGTAAACAAATTTTAACTCCATTGATGCAAATATGTATAAACTAAAAGTTCTCTTATAGTGATGAAAGATCCACACTGATCACTTACAGTCCATATTGATTGGTTTTGGAGCAAAATAGATGACAAAATGAATTACTCATACTTGGTTCAATGAAATGAACTTGACACTGCTCTCTGTATATAAAAAAAAGGGAGTTGAGGTTGGCTAAATTTTGTTGCTGGACATAATGTTCTTTGTTGCCTCTTGAGCGTGACAACCTTTAAGAATCAAACTTGCTACATTTCAATTCCGAGGACAGTAAGGCTGAAAAATGAAATTTTAATTTCATTTATATGTGTCCTCTTGTAAAAGAGATTTTAAAACACTGCAAACTATATACATGAATTAGGAGTTTCATTGTTGATATCCCTTTTGGATGCAACATCCCCATTGTGAGCTAAATGCAATTTTTCTTGGCTCACCGTTGATTGTGTGCCTACATTGATCTGGTTATTCAGACCAACATGGTAAAATTGAACAACATGGCCCTATTCAGGATCTTAACTTTTGAGCATCTAAAAAAAGCCGTATGAAAAAAGGTTCTGTAAAATGTTAAATTCTAAATTTCTTTGGGATAGGTTTAGTTAAGTTAAATTAGGTTTTACTAAGTTGTAAAAAACACAAAACTAACATTCACATCAACAAATCAAACAGACCCTAAAATGATTGCCAACCCCTTCTCTTTATGCCTTTATGGAGAGCCAAAAACATGAACTAACCGTGGCATAACGTTGGGCCGGGACATGAGCCAATCAATGACATCATCACTATCAGTTAAATCTCCTCGGTACACTGCTTTCTGTATGGTGGGTGTTTGCGCCATGATTTCTGTAAGCACTGCTTCTTCAAAATCACCGGCATTAAGTAATTTTTCCGGAAGTGGAATACCATTAAGTAGAACTTGCATCTGTGATCGGAAACCCGAATGAGCGATGAAATCTGCAGCAAGTTTTCGGCCTGTGTTGTACTCTGTATCTGCACCAAAGATATCTTCCAGGTCAGCATCGGAGTGCCTTGTTTTCAACATTTTCTTCACATCAGCAGGAGTGACATCCCTTGGAGTGTCAATGGCTGCATAAACCTTTTAGAAAATAAACACAAGATAACATTTCTCAATTCAACAAAGTTTCACTTTTAAAAAGTAACGGCTAACGCAAAAAAAGTGCTCTTGTAAAAACTAGGCTTTCATAAACATTGTCAACAAAGTGGCTACCATTTGCTTTAAAAACAGAACCTGTATAATTTTCTTAATGATGAGCATTTTTCAGTTGATAAGAACTCTAGATTTAATTAGTGGTGGGTATTAAAGCATCTGGTAAAAAAGTTACTGGGAAAAATAGATGATACGAGATGAATTTACTTCCTGCTGTTAGTTGATTTAACGAGGAGAGCAAAGCATATAGATACGTTTTTACTTCCTTTAAATCAAAATTAAAATGAATTTGCCTTTTCTTGGGACCTGTGACAAAACTTCTGAAATTTGAACAATATACATACATCTGTGATGAAAGACAGCGCTTTATAGGAGTCTTTTTCTTCTGCTATGTAGTTGAATGCGTTGAAAAGTGCTACGGCTCCGTTTTCGTGACCAGTCAATTTGTCTGGAACGGAAAACAGCAAACCCACATGCAAAGGTGCCGTATGCACAATAAACGACTCTGCTAGCTTCAGCAGCGGCCATGATTTTGTGTCTGCTGGATCACAGATTATCACCTGTAAGATGGGATTAGCAATTGGTGGTTACGTATTTGAATCATGAATAATATAAACAGGGGGCTACGCGCTCTGACCGCTCCGTGGTCCAGCCCTCGGAGGCGTATTGCGACTTTTAAAATAATCAAGATTGTGGGGTGTTCTCATCATGTTTATAAAATGAGGTAGATAATTAAAAGAAATATAAAACAGGCAGTGTAAAAAGTAGGAGGAATGTAAAATTAAACAAATTTGGAAAGTGATATGGAAATAAATGTAATAAAAGGTTAAAATGAGTGATGAAGGGTGAAACCTGGGCTATAGAGTGGAGGGAATAGCCAACTGCTCAAGCGTTATGTGTTACATCTTATGATTTTATATTATAGAAAGAAATATGACAGGACTAATAAAAACCGTTCAGAATGTGTGTAAAAATTAATTTGCAGAAAAAAAAAAACTCAGCAAGTAACTCAAGCATCTTTCTAAAACCTCTTTTTTATGTTTGTAAGTTTCTCATGGTTAACATTTAGTTTCCCATTATGGCTTCAATTGGAATGAAGGGGAAGGGAGGAAACTCTACTTTGTTGCAAAACGAGATAACTCCAAATTTTTGTTTTGCAGGTTTTGACACAAAATATAAAGGACTAATACTCCATAAGACTGAATAAGAGAATGAGTTAGATTTTATGTAACTTAAAATTAAACGTAAAGAGGTAAATGCTTCTATATGGAGAGAGGGGTTGAGGGTAAATGAGACTAACCAGATTGTACAAGTTTCTTTTGATGCTGCGAAGCAGGCCAGGAAATGTTGGACGCAGAAGTTCCAGCAATGATGTAGACCACCGCTTGTACTGTTTATCATTTTCAATGTCATTTACCCACTTAATGGCTGAATCTCGGATATCAATTGCATAATCTTTAGTGCCAGACATAGAGAGATCAAGTGCAAGGAGTTTGTTGAACACTTTTTCCTCTGTTACACCTGTAGAAAAAATTACATACATCACAAATCTAGAAAAAGAAAATTCCCGAGGAGAAGAAAGAGTCTCTCTCTCTCTACTGCAGATAGTTTCCTCCAGAGGCCATTCTTCTTTTAATGTATCAATTGTATCAATTCTGCAATGCTTTAGATAAGATCATGAATTAATTACTGAATCAGCATTTGTATCTGATTTTAAATCTTTTTCTTTTTTGTTCTCTCCTCTCACAAGTATAGACCCGGTTTGAGTTGAAACAGAAGTACACAGAGATTTTTCTCAATAAAATTCAAATGAGATTCACATCACTCCGAAAGAATCCTTTTTAAAAATGATTTCTAATATTTTCTCACGGGCAATCATTTACAAATAAATTTTCACATTTTTGGGCTTTGGTTGTGAATTGCTTTTCCTTCCTCACAAAAGATTCAAAATTATTTACGAACACAAAAAATTAAAATTTGAGTTTAAGCCTTCCTTGGAAATTCCTTAAAATAAAATTTTTTCGAATATTTGATCTTGTGATGAAGGACATGAAATGCAACTAGATGAGCCAAATAAAAGTGATGGCTATTTCAGAAGATTTGACGAAAAGAAGAAGATTCTTTTGCACTTTTGCACTTTAATAAACTTTAAAAAGTTTTCTACTTCCAGGGTAGCTCCTCTTTGATGCATCAAATACTTACATTTTTTCATCAAGGAAGAATAAAGGGACTCACCTATTGAGTAGAGCCCTTCCATGATTTTCTGTTCTGATTTGATAGACTCTAAGATTGTCATAATATCTGTGATGTCCATGTCAAAGAAAAGCCCATTGAGGAACAAAGCAGTGTCTTGCGGCTGTAAATTCAAGTTTCCTACAAATTTGTCCTTGTTCTTTTCAATTTCACTCTTTAATTCTGAACTCACAGTGGTGCTTACTAGAGACCTTGCCTGGAACAAACATTACAAAATGATGAACTAGGAACAAAAGAAAAAAAGAACAAATCTCTGTCAACTTACACTAATCCTAGACATCAATTCAGACATGGTGGAAAATCTCAGTATACATTTAAATTTTGTTTTCGGTGTTCTCTCTCTGTAATGAATCGGCAATAGACTGAACGATTTTTTGTAAAGTACAGATAAGTTTCTGTTATAATGCGAGGCACTCAACGAGAATACAAGGCATGCAGATCAGATGATTCCATCATTGCAGAGAGCTTGCCGTTTAATGTAGAGAGAGAGTACTGAATATAAAAATGAGATGAAGGTTTTTTTTTTTAACTAAACTGTTATTATCAGTGTTTTGGCATGTTCAGTCAAATTGACTGCAAAAAATTGGGCGTTATGATAAAATTCTTGATTTCTTACTACATACATGGAGGTCATCCGAGACAAATAACCAGACTGAAGATTCAGGTCTAAAAATTTTGATATGGTTGACACCTTTTTGAGACCATCCAACAGCTCCCAAAAGAGAAATACTGGTATCAGTGTAATTAAAAAAATTAAAATTCTTATTATTTGTGAGATTCTGCTAGTCAGATTGAACTGCAGTAATACTTTACCAATAGTACACCAAAAACTAAATATGTGCCATCTGAATGCTGATATACCATGGGCAAAAGATAAACCATTTACAAAATGATATTAGTGTGGCACAAGGCACTATGTACTCTGATTTATTTTTTATCTTACCTGCATTGGAAAATTCTGAGCTATGTGTGTGAAGGTTTGCAAGGCATCTTCGAGTGGGGACGATAAAATTCTTTGCGCTGCTTGCAAGCTCAATTCTTGGAATTGCCATACTTTCAGGGGGGCCATTTCACTTAATGTTTCGAGCAAGTTTATTTTAAACTTTTCTAGATCTTCACTTTTATCAGGATATAGCGACCTGAAAATTAGAAAAAAACAATAAAATACATTAAAGTAAAAAAATTTAGAGAAGAATGAAAGGAACGTTTTTAGGCTTCTTGTAAACGCAAATTTAAATAACTTCCAGGCATACGCTCAAAATCAGATGTGATCCCAATGACCACTTGACTGTAAATAAGTGCCATAAATATAATTTACAAGTCTCCTGCTGACGTGTGTTACAGTGACTGTTCTTGCAAAGCTGGAAAAATGTGCAAGAAAATAACAAAATTAAAACCACAGTTTTTGCAAATCGCCACAATGCTAGAGAACAATTTTGAAACATTCCTATGATAGTGATTTTAAGAGAAAGCAAAAAATAAATTTAAGATAACTTGGTCAGCTGATTTTTGTAGTCGAGCTTATTAGGACCATAAAGTAAATTAGTAAATTAGTAAATATATGCATATCTTTCAGAGATACTAGCAAACCATCAAACTAGCAATTTAGGATTTCACAAGAGACATACTTAATGTGACCTCTTGGGTAATCAAATATTTACATGTACACTTTACACTTCGAAACACATTGAACTTTTATTCAAATCTATCAAAATTACTTCTCATTAAATCCAAAATTGAATAAACGTACTTGAGCCTCTTAAAGTTGAAGCCCTCAATTTCTTCGTCTTCTTCTTCTTCCTTGTTTCCGCCATCTTTAACGACTGAGTCATCTTGTGCCTTGTACTCAGTGGACTTCATTGCAAGCTCAACTCCATAGCCTGACAGCCGCACCCTTCGCAAGGGCCTCTCTCGTACATGGTGCCGAATAACATAATCTATGCGCCCTAACTCTGCTTCGGATTTTAAAATTGCATGGAAGTCAGTAAACTCTGGAGTGCCTAGCTCTCCATACAGTACAGCTGTGATCGACCGATTCTCTGAACCTGGATAGTGGTGATCCACACGGAAGGTTTCCAACCTTGATTCACCTGGTGGAAAAAGGAACATTACTTTGATGCAAGATGGGGGGGAAAAAAATCAGAGTAAATTACTGAAAAATCAGAGTAAATTTATCAGTAATGCCCATGAGGGAAAAATGAGAAGCCTTTGAAAATTTCTTTCACAGAAGTAAAAATTTAAAAGCTTAAAATTGCAGTTCCTAAATTTGATTAACCTCCTCATCATGAAATGACCCATCAAAAGATGTCCAATTAATTCTAATTCATTTGATAAAATATGAAAGAAAGAGCAAATAATGAGAGTTTTTATCTGTCAAGTATAAAAAGTGTACCTAGGTAAAATTTTAGTAGATCATTAAAATTAATAAAAAAAAATGTCATGAATCAAACTCAATAAAGATCAAACTTTATAGAGCAGACAAAAATTATTATAGGTAGCAATCAAGAAACTGTAGCGATAAAGTGATTGTCTGCTTATAATGTTTTATTATTTCGGTGATTAAAAGGACTGCTTACCTTGGGAAAGTTTATCAAGGGTAGAACGGAGGTCACCAGTTGTGCAAGCAGTGGTCCCTGCGAGGACAGCAGCTGTTGGACACGCAATCCCTACTTGCCGTCCCATCTGCGCGTACATTTCGATCAGTGGTGAATATACGTGCAGAGCCAAGGAGAGCTTCAGCAGTGATATTCGTGCTGGTGAAATGAGAGAACTGGCCACTGCAATTGCAACATCATATTTCTGCTTGTCCGTCTCTGATAAAAGAGAATCATTAGGTTATTTAGATAAAAACATAAAATATTTGCCGATTAAAACTTTTTATAGAGCCAGAAATAATTACTTTTCCGAAAAAGTACCTACTTACATGAAGTATTTGTAGTCTTGGTGTTGTTTATGAGAGGTACTTACTTAAAAACAAAGAATTTGATAATGGCACCTAATGGCAAGAAAGATATGGTGAGAAGAGAGCTACAAATATAATGTAGACAGTTGAGAAATAAAAGTTTGTACTCTGATGAGCATTCTCTATCTGTGGTGAGAATATCAGTTTTACACTGAAAAAACGCATGTTGAAAATCACCAACACTCTCTTTAATTGAGAAATCCTTGCAACAACCACATGTTTGAACCTATCACTGCAACAGACTATTGTACCATTCAGCTGTATAAGGCTTTCAAAAGACTTTATGGAAAGAGCATACGTGAATGAATCTGATTGCTGCTCCACGAGAACAATGTCTCATTATTTTCGAAAAAATTTACCAGAGCAGCAGGGATGTAGAAAATTCTTTGCCTTCCTATTTTAAAAACCACTTTTTCCTCAGATAAAAAAAACAAAAAAAAACTTTGGTACGGCTCTGTCATATAGGTACTTAAATTGAGGAAATTTTGCGATAAACAGATGATTTTCACCACTGTTTCGCAAATGAAAACGCGACTTTGCCGGTTTTCCTACCTATTTGAAAGCACCGTTTATCGGGGCCTTCCGATTTTCCCACGCGATCAATTGCGACCCGCCTTGTCAGGAGGTCAAGAATTTTTTGCACCCCTGCAGCACATTGAAGTCACATTCGTTTTTGAAAAAATAAAATAGAAGAACTCTAATGAGAAAGTCATAAATCAAAAAACGAAGACTTACCCAAGTCAATGAGCGGTGGTTCAAGTGCATTGACAGCTTCTACAAACTTCCAAAATAAATCATTGCTCTCTTCTGCGATGAACTCAGAGATTTCAAGAACTACGGGAGTTTCCTCCCATTTGGCATCAATCACAGTTGTGACCGATTTTGGTTTCTTTTTTGCGTCACTGGCAACAAACAGGAGGAGGAGCACGGCCAGCACAAACGGTGACATCTCCATTTCATTGGCACATAAGAATCACTAGAACCAAACAAAAGGCACAAATGATGAGGTTAATATTTGGATAAAACTTTACATATATCGACAGGGTAAATCAGCAATCACATAACTCAGTTTGCTACGTCGCAGACTTCCTGTCATGTTCATTTTTTAAATAGAAAACTACTCAACGGCAATTCTTTAATACTGCCATGATCTTTCTTCTCTGTGAGAAGAAAAATTCTGAATAAACTTCAAGGAATGATGTCCAGTTGTTCTCTTTTAAAAAAATAACATAGAGTTGGAGATTTTAAGACACCGCAAACGAAATAAGTGTTTGCGGACTTTCGCCGTCGATATGGCCAGACCAGCAGTGGTTTTATTGCAGCTAAAGAATAATATCTTTGAATAAATAAAATAAATTTTTCAAACGGTTCCGCAAGTAGACATCTCTCTAGATGAAGCAGCTAGCGAAGAGTGGGTAACTTTGGATTATACGTCTCACCTGAAACTATCTCCTTGACTTTACCATGTAGGAAGTAAATGAAGACAATATGGAATGATTGTTTCCATTTACTTACTGGCTAGTTTCAGAGTTCAGACTTTATTTCATAAAAAAATGTTAGAAAACCTACGTCTTGGCCGGTAAACAATCCTAATGATGCGAATACCTCCTTTTCTTTCTCTAGGCTAAAGAGGTCTGAAAATTGTGTCTTTCATGCATAGATCACAAAGATGAGCTGTACAACGATTTTGAGGAGTAATTCACACACCTGTGTTTCAAAACGGTGCAAATTAAAACAGTAGATCTTTAGAAAGGACGTGAGAGTTTGTAAACGTTGATGTCCTTTCCATGGTTGACTCCTGGATAGAATAAAACATCTGAGTTCATCTGTTACTAAACACAGTTTTTCTTTGAGATACCCTTCAACAAGGGTATAAAATTCAAAGAAATGGATACTGACGGTTTTAGCAAAATTTATCTTCCTAATTATGCGGTAAATATTTGTAAAGCTCTTGTGGTTTAAGACTGACCAATCGCATACGATAATTTTATAGAAAGACGATGATGATCGAAGCAATGATTCGCAATACGTGCCGGGTGACTTTCATTCTGCCGATTAAAGTTTAATTGAAGCTGAAATAAAAATTGCTGATAATGAAGATATTATCATAGAGACAAACTTGGAGGTTATCTCACCTGACAAACACTTGTTAAAGATTTGAAAAGTTGAGAGCACGAGCAGTAGGATGTTTTTTCATACTGTGATGCTTGATAGACTTTAAACACTAAAGAAAATTATTACATTAACCAGCTAAAATTAATTAATTTGATGTTGATTAACGCGTGTCAATTCAAGCGGTCTCTTGTGTGTTTTGTTTTGACACGGCAAGGTATCTTCAAGTACCACGTTGCAAGGATGTCAATTGAACTCTAATAAGGGATTATTCAATTACATCACGGGAACGAAGAAATTAATTCCAGAATTGAGTTGGGGAAAAATAGAAGCTGTAAACGGCAAAAGAAATATTTTCCTATCGAAATCGCCGGGAAACAACGTAAATAAAGGCGAAAAATTCGGAAAGCTACAGATTAAAATGTACCATGAGGCAATGCTGGACAGTTGTAGCTACGTTATTGGTCAATGGCTGAGGAGTCGCAAAAATATAGCCAATAGGATATCTTCACGCATATTGCCGCGAACTTGGAGTAATGCCGATTTTCGAAGATTGAATTCTATTGTTCGTAAGAATGCACTCTACTGCATAATACAGGAAAATGTCCCTAAATGTAAATGACCATTTTAGACGAAATTACCTCGTTTCACCCGATTCAATAAAATTATTGGTTTAACTTCTCCTTCGGACTCAATTAAATGGAAATTTATCGTATTTGAATTGCTCAGTAAAAATTTTAATTTATCCGATGAAGTTGGAAGAAAAGTTGCATTGTGTGAATTGAGCATACCTAGGAGTCAGCCCTGGTAAAAATTGGCAGTAGAATCTGTGTTCCAAAAAACCATAGACCTGCAGCCGGCTGTAAGATTTCCAATATAGCTTCTATAGCCGGCAACACAATTTTTTATAGCCTTTTATAGCCGATGGCGATTAAGCAACAGCCTGGCGATAAAGTGTATACTAAACGTTATTAATTACGGATGCTAGGACTTAGTGAGTTTTTGGACTACCGCTCTCTCTTGGGGCCGCAGTATCTTGATTTATTTTGCGAGGAAAGCTCCGTCCTTTTGAAGGATGTGACTTCGGTGTGAAATAGTTGCTTCAAGCGCCGCGGTACGCTGCGGCGCGGCGGGCAGCCAGCGCGAAACGCGCACTGGCGCCTACAAACCTAACAGGGATACTTCACGCATTGCGCAATGCGTGAATTATCCCTTTTAGGTTTGTAGGCGCCAGTGCGCCGCCGCTCCGCTTTGTGTTAGGCTCTAATATTTAATCTCGCGGAGTCAGCGTTTTTCAACTCATGACTTTGAAATGTTTGCACATCCTGTATGGATTATTCTCGTTTTAATTGATGAAAAAAAAATATGTATTGAAGGAAAATATAACGTGTGTTTTGTAAATATTAAGGTGGTTCCGTACAAACTTAAGGATTTACAAAGCACACAAATTTCTACACAATTTCTTACAGCCTTTTATAGCCGATGGCGTAAAAGCAACAGCCAGGCGATAAAGTGTAAAGCCCGGCGATAAGAACTATAGCCCGGCTGTATAATTTTTTATCGCTTCGTGTAGCCCGGCCGTATGATTTTTTCCACTTTCTACAGCCAGCTATATGATTTTCTATCGCCCTCTTCAGTCGGCTATAAGAACTCCTATGGTATTTTGAAACGCAGCTCCTATCGCCAATTTTTACCAGGGAGTGTAAAAAACAACGCTTTTCATTAATTCGGAGTTTTTACACCCGCTATATCCCGTTTTTAAGATATGGTTATAAGTCGAGAGCGCGTGTGTCAATGTGTCATAAAGTGTCAGTCGCAAGTGACTCCTAAGAGTTCTAATTGACCCCCCTGAACGGCAGAAAGTAACCCCCTGAGGAAGGGGGCCTCGCCCCCGCCAAAAATTTCTCAGGATTCCTCTTTGGTCGCAAAATTGACGTCGATTCTCCAGAAAAAGACGGTTTATGCCCAAAAGGGCGGTTAGCGGAGCTTAAGGACCATGAAATTCAGAGTCCTCAGTGTCGATTACCTGGAAAACCGTCTTTTTCTGGAGAATCGACGTCAACTTTGCGACCAAAGAGGAATCTTGAGAAAGTTTTGGAGGGGGCGAGGCCCCCCTCCTCAGGGGCTACTTTCTGCCGTTCAGGGGGTCAATTAAAACTCTTGGGGGTCACTTAAGATGTAAAAGTGTTCTGCTCCTCAATTTGGATGCAATCAATTTGCGATTCTCAGTTAGAAATGGAAACAAAAAAACATGAACTATGCAAAACGATAATCCGGGTACCGGAATTTGGCTGATTTGAAAACGCCTTCAAATGCGGCGTGATACCTCACGCATTCCGGAGAGTTCAAATAGTTGTATCATTGCGCCGTGAGAATGTGGCGGAAGATTTAAATGGAAATAGCCTCCATGCACGCTGGACGTGTCGCTTTCCTTTGACATTTTTGCAGTGGTGAATGCATAGCTGAAGTGCGCTTCAGCTAGAATTGTATTTACAAATGTGTGGTTTTTCTACGAGGATTAAAAATAAACGAGTGGTACGGAATATAACAAAAGTATATTTGACTATGCAAAACGATATTCCAGGTACCGGAATTTGGCTGATTTGAAAACGTCTTCAAATGCGGCGTGATACCTCACGCATTCCTGAGAGTTCAAATTGTTGTATCATTGCGCCGTAAGAATGTGACGGAAGATTTAAATGAAGATAGCCTCCATGCACGCTGATCTCGTCGATTTCCTCTGAAATTTTTGCAGTGGTGAATGCATAGTTGAAGTGCGCTTCAGCTAGAATTGTATTTACAAATTGTCAACAAATTATCTGATGCGATTGCATTACTCGCTAATTTACGCCACTACTTTGTTGATTGGTTTTTCAAATGATGCAACTTCAATTTCGCTGTCTCTTTTTCTCTCCCCTTTCTTTTTCTTAAGTAATAAATATGTAAGTGCTGCGATGTACTCTTTCCAATTAATTGGAATGTTTACCTTTCTACAATCCATGCTTGCTGAATCAGTATACTTACCTCTCAGAACATCATAAATGGCCAGACTTAGAGCCTTGCAGTAAAAAAATAGTTACGACCATGATTATCTCAAAAATTCCTCAAACTTGGAGTGTTTGAAATCATGAAATCACTCGACAAGGATCGGAAAAATTGCGGAAAATCATAAGGAAAAAATAATCGTGATTTGGTGAACCTAAATCATCCAATTCAATCATTTGAAAACTATGAAAAGCTATGCTAGCCATGAAATAGGAAGTTCAGGTTTAGATAAAACCTTTTCTCTCTATAATCGCCACTTCTGCGAGAAAAATTTTCGCAGGAAAACGCGGGCATTCGCTTACATGCATAGCGGTGAGGTCTTCGCCACCGTTTACGATGCGCCTTCAATTCCGGCTGGCGGCAATATAGGCGTCCCCCGTGGTCGAATAGTTATCTCACAAACACCTACGTTAAATGACATTACCGCACGTCCTAAATAAAGTAGGTCATGACGTAAGGTAAAACGGTATTTTTTTTAAAGGCCAATAACTCCATTAGGAGAGGTTTTACGAAAAAAACGAAAGAACCTCTCTTTAAGTTCTTGATTTTTTTTTGAGTTCTAACAATTAGGATAGCCACTGTGCCGTCATAACCGAACACGTAAGGTATTTTTTTTTCTTTTCTTTCCTTTTTTTCAAAAATTGAACTCCCTGTAACTTGAGAACCAAGCATCTTAAAAGATTTTAGTAAAGGACTTTTCTGTTTGTTTTGAGCCGTAGAACCACCCCTGAAAGTCTGTCGCCACTTAGTTGGTACACGAAAACGAAGCAATGAATAATGGCCAGGCGCTTGTTTCTTTCTAAATTTTATCTAAGAGGCTTTCGAACTGCAATGGTCACTAGCACTCTATCCGTGCTGAGTTCAGCAGAAATGAGGTGAAAAATATAAATGTACTTATTTCTAGTAAAAAAAAAAAAAAAAAAAAAAAGTACATCTGTAAGGTAAACTCATTTTCAGTTAAATTTTTACTATCATATAAACTGAAAAATGGACCGTTTTCTGTTGACCTTAGTTTAATTGAGGGGCTCGGAGGGCATGGCGCATAAGTGCAGTTTTTGAAAAATTGAGATATTAATGATTTCAAGTAAAACTAGTCTTATTGCATATTCTATGAAAAATTCGCGACCAAGGTACAATTTTAAGCATCAAAAAGTCTTTTTGAACTTCCTCTTCGCCATAAATCTCCATGTATTTTCGAAACTTCGAACACGTATTTCTCGAAATAGCAAAAACCACACTTATACGCCTTGTCCTCCAAGGCTCTCAATTATTATGATAGCATTTAACTTAATGTAGGTACTCATAACAAAATAGTAATGAGAAGGCCAGGACCGGATTTATGGAGTGGTCACATGGGTTGCGGCCCATGGCAGAAAATTTTACAAGTTTTTTTTTAAATGTCGGTATGTAAAAAATCGGATCCAGAAAAAAAAAAATACCAACGATAAAAGTTGACAAAATTTCTCATTTCTGGAGAGTAAATTGAATTCTACTTTTGTCGTCTTTCGGTGATACAAGACAGCGCCTTTAATTAGTCGAGATAAGAGAGAAATCAAACACGCAATTTGGCCTGGAACGGCGCGGCGCAGAGAGCATTGATGACGAGGACTTGAGATGAAAAGGAAAAGCCCTAGGCGCGGCGATCGGCATGTAGGACATATTAGCGCCTACAAAGCTGCATGGATACTTCACGCATTGCGTCAAACATAGTGCGGTCAGCAGCTATCGGCGTGAAACGCATAGCGCCTACAAGACTGCATGAATACTTCACGCATTGCGCCAAACACAGTGCAGTCAACGCGGCGCGGCGGAGGCGGAAGTTAAGATTAAGCACATTTGTGTTTGTTCTTGGATAATTTTTTCGTTCATTTCTTATAATGGAAGGCTTTTTCTACACAGAGTTAGGTTTACGGAACATAACTTTCGTGCAAAGTTCCGTGAACTTTTGCTAGTGGTGTTGACAGGGCTTTCACAAAAAACTTGTCTGACACGAGTAAACGCGTCTTATGCACCCCTCTCCCACCGGCACGTTCACTTGATGGTTTTTATTGATGTTTCAAAACGAATGAGAAGGGGGTGGCAAAATACAGGCGGGGGCGGTAAGTAGGTAAATCCGGCCCTGGAGGGGGCAAGTTTGATTTTCAAATAAATTCAGCTCTAAAGAACCGGAAATAAATTGACTCCATCATGGACTTCTTCAAAGTAAAATCAATTTAATATGGAAATATGTGAGTTACTAATCTAGGCACAGGGCTTTTTCTCTGATGCAGAGAAACACTCAATACAAAAAACAATTATAATATTAATAATAATAAAATGTACAAGAATAAATATATACAATTGCTGCATTTTAAAGTAAAATTTACAAATTAAAAGACAATTACATATTATATAGTAAATGTGAGCATAGCATTAAAATCACTGGGACATAGCGGAATTGTTCCATGAGTAATCTGATGAATATTCATTTTTGCATTTTTCCTGCATGCGTTTTCATGTTCATCTTTATGTTTTTTAAACTTTGAACCGGTAAAAGAAGGGAGCCGGAAATTGTCCAAACAAGACTTTACAAAAGTATAGGAGTAATTTTAAACATGCATTCTTACGATATCTGTAATCTCAAGTATTTTTTCTTGAGGATTAAGAAAACAAATGAAATCAGCAAAAACACTTAAGGAAAACTTGAGGACACCGGTATAATTTCCTTGGAATCGAAAAGAAATTTATGATTTGAACATTTTTCTCTTTTTGCGTTTGGTAAAATTGCATTTAATTTTTGAACTGCGAGTGAATTTTGCACTTGTTAGGAATTAGATTTTAGAAATGAAACATATAAATTTTTCATATTTCTAAAGTAACCTCTAGGAGTGTCATTCTGAAAATGATGCTATTTTCATTCCAAACTTCCTATCTGGTACATTTAACAAACCATTTCAATCCAAAAACATCTATGAGATCATACGTTTTAGGCTCCTTTAAAAACCAAATAAGATTTGATATTTTTTAACTGGGGGGGTCCCCTTTTGTGTGAGTTTATGGAATGGTTGAAGACTTAAAATGAAGTCAGGATTATGCCAAAGACAATTAAAATAAGGGCGATTGATGGCGAACGAAGTGAAGAGGAGGACGTGTGTTCCACAGTACTCGTATTCTGGGGTAAGATAGTCTCTGGTGAGATCGCTTCTGCTACATCTTTTGATGAGGAAGTTCCATTAGACGAAACAGCTTCTGGAGACGCTTTCTGCTGAGAAAACCATCCTCTAAAACGCCAAGCCCAAGGATTACCTGAAAATGAAACGTTGAAATTTGATTTTTCGGTAGGAACTTTCACCAGTCAGTGAAGCAATTGTAGCATTTGCAACTTTTTTACAACAACACTGGAAAAAAAACACATCTGATCTAGAGTCCAGACTCTTAAGAACATCGACAAGAAAAAGTACTCTTGATTCAATCAGAATCTAGCTTAAATCAAGAACCAAGCCTCTTAATTTAAGCGGATTTCGTTTTGATTCAAGCAAAACTCCGATTGAATCAAGAGTATTTTTTCTTGTCGATGTTTTCAAGAGTCTGGACTCTTGATCCAATGTGTTTTTTTTCCAGTGAACATTATTAGAGGGTAGATTATTTCTCTTCGTTGCAAGACGAAGGTACTTTCACACTCGTTTCAGACCAAGTATACTGGTATCTATGGAGGGAGGACGAAAACAATTATTTAATCAATTTTTTCATAATCTGGTTCCTTAATTTTGTTTTTTTCTTGATACTTATTCTCGCTAAATTAAAAAAGGGGAGGGGAACGGGGAATCCACTTACTCATAAGTTTTGGCTACTTTTGAAAAGTTTTCGTAAAAATTCAAGTAGTTTTAATGGTGTAAAGCATGGGAAAATACAGTTGATATCAACAACCATATTATCTTCGTGTTTACTTTAATTTTTCACCTTCTACATACTTGAAATTTTGATAATACATGAGACATTCTTCATGACGGAGAATGAATGTACATATTTGAAAGAATTTGAAAGTGCAGCAACTTTGTGATGAATGATCACTGATTGACGAACAAAATTTACTCCAACGATCTTAAATACAAGGTGAAAAACATAATGTAACTAACAGTTAGGGTATAGACTCATTTCGACCTTTAATGCCTGTAATACAGTGAATTTGAACTGAAAATCGTTATTGGTCTGTGCACATTGCATGATATTCATGGGACTTCTGAATCTACAAACTTTGCATTAATATTTCAATTGTATTGCCATGTGGATCTTGTTTTAAAAATAAGCTAGGGTTTTCAGAATGCATAAATTTTTTCCATGAAATCAATTAACAAATCTTAAACATCTTGAAAATCACAAAAAAGTTTCTCCGTACACGTAGAAAAAAACTTCCTGCATGGGAGTCATGGGACCCGAAGTTGAGGTCATATAGATCTCTGAAGTTTTCTGATCACGCATCCAAAAACTTGAGGTCAAGCTGCCGAAGTTCGGGTCAGACATCGAGGCACTTCGGAATGTTCCGGAGTACCTCAGATGTGTGACCCGAACCCTTCGGTATATATCGAAGTACAAATACTTCAGATGTCTGACCCGAACTTTGGCAGCTGGACCTCAAGTTTTTAAATACGTGATCCGAAAACTTCAGAGATCCGTATGACCTCAACGTCGGGTCCCACACGCAAAGCTTTTTTCTCAGTGTATAAGGAAACAAGCATATTTAGCAGGATGCTCGGTTTTTAATGTTTGAAAAGGTAATTTTTTGCTCCGCTCAGAAATTATACAATTTTTAGAGGAGCAAAGTATCGCTCGAACGCTAAAACGCACTAAAACGCACACTTGACAGTACTGACTCAAGAATTAGAAAAGGGTTAGAACGATAGAAAATGGAAAAGTCAAAGAGCACGCTGGGCGTACCTCCACCAAAACAAAATTCTAACTACGGCAAAAAGTAAGTCAGTCCTACCTTTGAGATCAAGCTGGAACTCTCGAACCAGCATTTTTCTCGCAGCAACATCTCCAAACTCTTCCAGGAGAAATCTTACCTTTTCTGTAAAAAATGTGCATCGGCAAGACCAAGACATTGGATTCTTTTTCTTCTCGAAATTGCAGAGTAAGTATTGTAAGTATGAATCGAATCCGAGTAAATTGGATATGAATTATAAAGGTCGAAAATTTTCAAATCAAATAGTGCGACCAAATCTGCAATTTCGCAAAAGAAAACCTCTAACACTCGTGTATGAAGAATGGAACCTTCCATAAGATTAACTATTCGCCCCATCGTCGAAAACCAAATTTTCCGAAATTTTCAAGCCAAAATAATATGACTAATTGTAAGCCCTCGATTCCCATGGAGACTTTAACGCACGTGTATGCAAAATAAACCCTTCATTTTATAAGTTGAACTATTCGCCCCATCGTTCAAAACCAAATTATCTATTTTCAAACCAACTAATATGGTTAAACCACCAATTTCCCCTGGAGACTTTAACGCAAGTGTATGAAAAATGAACCCTTTTGTGAGTGGAACTCTTGGCCCCATGGCCATGTGATTAAAGAAATTGTTCCTAACAATTTGCGCTATGAAGACACAAATCATAATTTCCCAGACAACAGTATACATTGACGTTGCAAAATTTCCACTCGTAAATTGTAATTTTACCGGAAAAATGTTGGAATTTACTAACTGAAAATTGCATTGCTCTTTCGTACTGGTCCCGCAAAAATCAGCAATATTCAGGACAAGCATTGCATATATAGTTGGAATCTCGTAAACATGGAATTTTTTAGTTAGTTTTGCAACCTTGACATAGAGTTACGTTCTTGAAACTGACTAGGTTTGAACATTTGTTTCTAACAAACTGATACAAACATATTGGCGTGCATGTCTTTATTTATGCACTTGCTAGGTTTGTAATATTTAATAGTTATTCTGTTTTTAAGATAATGTTGCACAGGTCATTTCCAAATCCAAGAAGAAAACAATCAGAACTGAGACGAACGAAGTGGTTTTCGCTTGATACGGTAAAAAGGAAAAGCTCAAGTTATTTCGAGATTACAGAAAATCTAAACACTCTCGATGGAAACGTATTATAAAAGTTTATTTTAATTTAAAAAATCACGTCAGGTACATACATAATATTTACATTTTTATTTAATCGTCGGTAACATCAGGGTTTTTTTTATTCGTAGGTATCAGACATGTTTTCAGAATCACAGACCTGCTAAGTTTCTTCTCCTCTACCTAAGCTCCCTTCGAATTCTGAAGGGCCACCGAAAAGGGGTCAACATGGAGTGTCATTTCATGAGAAATATTATCAGTTCTCACGAGGTACTTAGCTCTTTTTGAATAACTTTAGAGTCCAAATTGAGTCACTGGACCTAAGCAAAATGCTACTTTCACGCGTTATATTGAAACAGTGTGTTGTTTGCCTTTCATAGGGAAAAATATCGTAAGTAGATGGCCAGAAATAATTATTTTAAACATAGACTACAATGTCCAGGTACAGTATTCTTCTTAATAAGTCCAAACAAACTAGAGGTATCATTTCTAAATAAAATCATTCGTTGTCGCAACTTAAGTAAATTTTTTACACGTCCTTCATAGAAATTTCATGGATTATTTTGAAAGTCGGATTTAAATAGTTCCTTTTTCCATTAAAACAATTTTGAGACGATCCAAACGGACGACAGGATTGTATGATGGGATAGCTATAATAATAAATAAATAAAACAAAAATTGTCGAACACTTCATCGTTTGTGCTTAAAAATTTTCAGCTTCATCATAAATACAATTGATTCCACATTAGAAACTTTTTTAAACTTCTCATCTATAGGTATAACACCTAAGAGATCTCAATTATTTTCAATTTCATCTTTTAAACTAATCTTCCGCAATTCGTATAAGTAGGTGCGCTGTCACTTAATAAAATATCGTAAAGAACGTAGAAATAAGTAGATAAGTTGCATGAATCACGATCATCCCATGTACTATTCAAGAAAATCCGGAGCCGGAACTTCAGATGCAATGTTTCTGGTTACTTTCAAGTAAGCATTATAGCGCTGAGAGTGCAATATTCTTTGATCGGATGGTATGCGTCCATTTCATCTGGAGCCTTACTTGAAAACTTAACTGAATGAAGCTATATCATTGGTTATTGAGAGAAGTTTATTCATTTGTCGGATGCTCTTCGATCCCTCCAAATTCAACCAACCAACGCTGGGGCTCATGAATGAATTGACTGTGTATACATATCTATTAACTTCCGTGTTCATTTTGCTCCAGTGATTCCCACTATCAGAGGTTCGCACGTTTGACTGTTCGTGCTTATTGCAGGATCGCTATGATCGGCCGTCAGCAAAGGCGAGTTATCATTGCTAAATATCACAATATGGAGAAGCTTCGCTGAAGAACAATAAATTAGGGCTTCGAGTATTCTGTCAGAAATAAATAAATTCCGCTAGCTTTGGTTTGTTCGAGGTTTGTCACACGAAGTCCTGGGTAGGCCGGGGTTGCTCGCTCTCTGTGGAACACAAACGGCAATGAAGCGTGAAAAAATCTAACGTCTTGGACAAAATATTGATTTAAAACAAGGTCCGAACAAACAAATTCCAATTATTTACCCTTGTTACACCCTTGAATTCGTGCATTATGTAGGTAACTCTAAAAATTGAGCGGGTTTGCTTTTTTTTAACAGCGGTGAGTGTTTACTACCTTTAGCATTCGTGTTATTATTCGACTGAGAAATTGAGATGGTGATTACAGCAACAGCCGTAGATTCAAGTCCTAGATATGCCAATTTCGCCCGATGCTAATTCTTCAACATTTCAGGGAAATAAAATAAATTGGGCAAATTTTAGTGAAGGTACTCAAACACACCCAAAAGCTGCTCGAGGAAGGAAAAAGGGATATAAATAAAAATATATCGGCAAATGCGAAACAATGATGAGACTACAGAGGAGGGGGGGGGAGAAAAAAAATTGATGAATTTTTCTCTCTACAACTAACAAATTTGAGGTCAAACATTACTTTTAAAGGAGAAACTTAAGACTTATTGCTATCCTAGTTGGTAACCGAAGCAAGCGGAAAAGAGGTTTCTAATTTGGCGATAGCAGCTGAGCCGGCTTTTATTCGCTCACAGCTGAAATTCAGTTGTTCGGTTGTATTTTTATTTCATCGCGAAGTTTTCGATCTTCGATAATGAAGATTCCTTTTGAAAATATGAAGGTAAAACTATAATAAATGATTAACAGTAAGAAATCTGAACTTTAAACAAAAAAACGGTCTTTTAAGATAGGTACGAAGTTAAATTGTGATGAAATGCAATTACATCGTCTGCATTACGATGACTGAATATTATCTGAAATATTTGGGGGAAAATTTCATTATTGACTTGTAAGTACACCATACTAGCACGAGGTACAACATATTCAAATCATCTGCATTTAGATACGATATAAAGGCAAAACGATATTCCTTGAGCCGAAATTTCGGTTCAAGGTACTTTGATACAGTTAGAGCTGAGGTTATCAAACGGAAGTGGATTTAACGGTTTTTTTTTTTTTTTTTTTTTTTTTTTTTTTTTTTTTTATCAGGACAGTTAGAGCTTCTTAAATTGTGTCAATCTTTAAATATTTTTTTGAATCATTTTTGGATAATGTTTGTTTACATTGCTTGAAGAGAAAATACGGAAATATTAAACACTGCAGCCGAAGTCACCATCTCAATTGATTTACGAATGCATTTAAATAATTGTGATTTTAGAAATTAAATATTTTTCAGTGCGTCCTAAAAAAATCATGCGGTAACCCTTGAACCACTAACCCAATATACTGCTAATTTTACATTTGTACAGGAAATAATGATTATACAGGAAAATACGACTTTCCTCGGATACCAATTTAATGAATAAATTAATGTGTAAACATATTGGGTGTACTGTTTATTTATTACTTAGATGTTAAATCGTGACTTTATAGAATGAATGAATGAATTAGAAAATTAAATACTGAAAAATTAATTAGTTAGTTACCATTGTTGATTCACGAATCCAAACTGGTTCGTCTTCTGAGAATGTAAAAAAATATGAGAATTTTACATGTGAATATTTCCGAATGTTTCAGAGTTGAGTGAAAATTTCGAAATACATCCACTAAATTAAAAAGCTATCTGGAGATGTCGCAATTTTCAGATCAAGTCCATTAGTGAGTCACTCGGTATTTCTAGAAAGAAACCCAAAACATTTAAGATATCGTAAATATGAAGAGGTTGCAGTACCTATTAACAGTTAAAGCCTATAAAAGTATTCATGCCCACAAAGAAGTTCAACATGATTCAATTATTGACATTCTTAGCCCCCTCCCCCTCTTAGATTATCCAGTTCACAACAACATGAACGATATTTTCTTAGTTTATTAAAAACCATTAAACTGGAAAATGTATCTGTAATTTCCAAAATATAACTCATTCCTATCTTATTTTCAGTTATTTCATTGTTGTTAGAATTATAACAGAATGAGCAGGACTCGTGTCTTACCCCTCCGAATTAGATTTTAATTTAAATTTTTTGTAAAACCTCTTAAACATTACAGTGTAAGATGCAGTGCAACAAAAATTAAGAGAAATTGAATATTTTGATTTTTTGTGCAAGCGTCCATCGTTATTCAAACCACAAGAGGTGAACTCTCAAACGAAACCTCTCATTTCAATTCTACTCATCCCACGGTCATTTCTCTACAACTAATTTTAAAATGTTGAATTTTATTTTGAATGGAGGAATGTTTTATTTTATAACATTTACGTGATTTTTCCTGATTCAATCATTTACTGCTAAAAACAACAATTTGCCTTCCATTAAAGTTCAACCAATCGAAGATCTTATTTGAAGCTTTCTCAGATGATCATTTGAAATGAATTCATGTAGATAAAACAAATTAAGAAAATAATGATATAAAAAAATATTTTGTTTATGAATAATGATTAACCACAAATGAAAATGAAGGATGTATTTAAACGAGAAGTTTATTAAAATACCAGTCGTTTTAAGTATAAATAAATATGTACAGTATTTAAATAACTTAAACTTAGAGGATATTTACAGCTACTTTCCTGTCCGCTTTAGAACAATGGCATTGCGACTCAGAAGGTACTTATATCATACACATTTCACAATTCGACTACAATATGTACACGATTCCAAATGCTTGACAAGGCTTGAATTTTAGTCTCAGCAGTCGATTCCTGTACAGAACTGTACATTTACTGGTGGAGATTTGAATGGGCCTGTTGCATGCAAGAGATACAGCCGCGCGAATGGACTTTTTAGAGGTTGAATGACACGAAAATTACGATGGTCACATTAAAAAAGTCTGAAATACACTCCTTACTGCGCAATTTGCGTTGTTAGGAACGCGCTTTTTCAAATTTCCCGCGTCGGGGGCAGTTTTCTAATCACCGGAAACGAGCAAACGGCGGGCTCGGTGATTTCCGGAAGATGCCGAGTCGTTGTTGTTGTTATTATTTTTTCCTTCAGTTTGTTTACAAACCCAACGTGATCTCCTATAGTGGTCCATATACGCTTTATGCGGTAACCAAATCGATCAACTTTTAAATATCCAACGCAATCCTTCTACATTTCATTTCACGATGTCACGAGCTCCGATTTTTAGGTTATGTTGTCAGTTTTAGTTGACCGGAAATAGCCGCGAGTTGCCGTTAATTGTTTCTGTTAGAAAACTGCCCCCAGACGCGGGAAATTTGAAAAAGCGCGTTCCTAACAACACAAATTGCGCAGTAAGGAGTGTATTTCAGACTTTTTTAATGTGACCATCGTAATTTTCGTGTCATTTAAGCTCTAAAAAGTCTATTAGCACGGCTGTATCTCTTGCATGCAACAGGCCCATTAAAAGGCAGTAACCTTATATCCAAAATCTATGATTATATTTACCAAATTAATGTCAAAAATGAGTAGCGAAAGGAATCCTCAGAGCTCCAGTCAAAGTTTGGAAAGACAACTCGAGTTATAGTTGAGGGAAATATAAATCGCACCCAAATATTTTTATAATGAGGAAGTTTTTTCCCCCTCATTGTCTCAGATTTTTCCTCTGCGTTCAGTTTTTTCCTCTTACGGTGAAGAAGGTATCAAACCAACTGTTTTAGGGTACCCAAATTAAAATTCTCTCAAGGGTTATCCTCACGAACTGAAAATTTTACAGCTTACTGTACAGTTTCAAAAAATCGTGAAGACCATCTTTTCTAGAGCAATAATAATATGCAGAAAATAAAACGGTCGATTTACACTCAACCGAAAGACCTATCAAAAATCAACTGAGTCAGAGGAAAAAATTGGAGTGAATACATTCAACCATAAACAACGATCATCAATCATGTTTGAGCTACAATCAACGTTCTTACAAATTTCAATGATTTTCTCTGAGGAGTCAACTACTTTTTTCTCTTTTCCCCCAGAAAAAAACCAAACTTTCATTTTGACTTGTAGCTTTCATCTCGCCGAACGATACCTATAACACGCATGGTTTCTGTGAACGACGTCTTCTTTCTGTCTACTTTTTGAATACACCACTACGTCAAGCATAGGTGCCTTTTCATTTGGTAATTACAACTGAGATATTTTTGGTTTCACCGGTGGTTCAGGTATTTACACACGTCGTCGGGGTTCAAACCGGCGACCTTCATGCTACGAGCCGGACAGCAGGATTGAGATCCACCTCCTCCGAGCTGCGGAAACGAAATGGAACACCATGTACACTTTGAAATTTCGTTGATGTTACTTTACGAAATTGTTTCAATCGTAAATCTTGAGAGCTGCGGGCGTGAAGCCAAGATAGCTTGAGGGGCAAGCAACAGAACAGGTGCAGCGAGGTGCTTTGAATTTTAATGGGTGCAATTCGTGCGGTATAGCTTTACAATCAATGCATTAGGTCAGTCTGGTCAGTGTTGGTTTCAATTGAGCGAGTGCTACTCCAAACTTATGAAAATATTGTAATTTCCACCGTAATTCAGTTTTGGTGAAACTCATAAAAACAAAGTAAGCACCGGTGTTCGAAAACGCAGCTTGAAATTTTTCGAGGGAGAGGGCCTGCGGATTGCACCTAAGTTAACTCGAGGAATTTAGTGGTTTTCAGCAAACACATAGCTAGGTTAAACTCTCTAAAGGGTGAACATTTGAGGGTGGGGATGAATCCCTCCTCTACCGCATAAACATTTCAATTTCCTCTCTTACGCCCAATCAAAAGACGTAACATAAACGCGAAATATCGCTTAAAATCTTGTAAATTTGAGGTTCCATCTCCTCAAAATTCGAAGAAATTACGAATAAGCTGAATTTGTATACCGTGGAAGTATATACGATCCAATTAATCATTTATTAAGTTTTTTTTCAAAAAAAAAAAAGAAAAAGAAAAAAAGGAAAAGAACAAATCATAGTTTTTAGCTAATGACGTGAGAGCTTCTATTTGACTATTTCCATTGCTTTATCGATACATGCCTCCATTTTACGCTCTTAAATTTGAGTAAGGGGCCAACTGAAGTTTTGAATCAAAAATAAGACGAACCGATAATTGGAATGAGAAATACGAGACGATTGCACTGTTGACGGTTGTACTGCGTGTTGTTTTCGGTATTTGGTATGTGGTATTAGTGTGGTTTATTTCCAGCTTGACACGTACATGCGCAACGAGGTTACAAATATGGACAACATTTTGTGATAGAGAACTAATATGTTTCATTCATATTAGAAATAAGATTTATGCCCCCAGTTTTTCTACGCAGATTTGCGTTTTTATGGATGAGAGCCAGAGATAAAAACTCCTGCTTGTAAAATGAAGTCCACACAACACGACTTGCACGGTGCAGTTGTAATTAAAAGCAGTGCATTTACTTGAAGCGCTTCTTTTTTAATAATATTAATTCTTTTAATTTCCAACATTTTTCATGAATCTCCGCAAAGAATCGCAATTCTGTTGGCCCTAACTGTTCTGTTGAACCAGTGTCATGGAATGCCCAAGGATCTTCTTTTTAAGTATTTAGTTTATTCAGTAGAATAAAATAGATGCGTATCTTCAGGAATATCGCTGAGTTTTCTTTTATTTCTTAAAATTGGCCGAAATAAATTACCCATCAATTAAATCAATGACTTTATAGGAAATGAATAAATACTTCACTTACTTTCTGTTGGGTATTTAACTTTAATTTTTAAGTCATTTTTGTAATAATTGTCTTTTTAGCATAAGTCATCGAATGTTGTGTCGTTGCCCCCTGTTTTTCTCATCGCACTCTTTCTAAAAGGAATGAATGGGCCTTTCTCTTTCTCTTTCAACTGAAATGAATAGCCTTCTGCACGCTTCCCCTTGTCTTGAATCACATGTCGCTCTCCTTCTCGCTCCTCTCTCGCGTATGTATGTGTCTATCTCTCTCTAATCTTCAACCCTCGGCTCTGCATTTCTTCTCGCTCTCACTACCTCATCCAACGTTGCTCTCGCTCTCTCTCTCTCTCTCCCTTCACCACCCCCGCTTGTTTTGAGGACTCCACTGCGCATGCGCAGCGCGAGATGCCGTGCACCCCTTAGAGTAAAATCAGTTGAGAGAGCCGCGTTAGTCCTCGTCAGCTCTTCGCTCTGAATCTACCTTACGCTCTTGTGACTCCGTCAAATGCGGAAAACTTTCCCGTGACGTATCTCTCTTGAGGCAACGATACAAACATCGCAGATTGTTTGTATTCCTCAAAATAAACTTCAACTTCACCTGTATATCGATTGGTCCACTATCATTTTACCAAGTACGTCTCACCTGGGAGGACTTCAGCACAGAAGGATTCGCAATACGACTTGTCGTGTTGACTTCTGGGCTGTCTCCCTTGATCTTTTGCTCTCTTATACGGTACGAGTGGCAGTCCGACACGATCTTCGTGTTGACACTCGTGCTGTTGAGAAATCTTACTTAGTTTTTTACTAAGTTGGTCCCTCGGTAAGCATCGAGAATTCGGCGACGGATTCTTCTTCCTCTTCTCTCTTCATTTTTTGGTCCCTCGGGCCGGATCGAGAATTTGCTGAAGGATTCTTTCTCCTTCACTTTCTTAATGCAATTTCATTCTAACAAGTAGATATACCTACATTGTACCGTCTGCTGATATATTCGGTCTAGGCTCTCACATTTCGCACAGTAACAGTTCTTGCAACTTGGCAACACTGTTTTCTTTTATATAACTCCAATACGAATAATTAGTTCTACAATCGACAAATCTCGACTACCTTAAGTAAAATTATATTGAATGCAGTCTATAATTGCTATCGAATTTCAAGAATTACTACTGGCTGATTTCACCGAGGCAAATTATTTCACGAAATGTATGAAAAAAAAAACCCATTATAATTCGCGGATGGAGTCAGAATATTTTTTTTTCATGAATTACATCCGATTTGATCAGTCCAAATGTCTTAAGTCAAAGCCAAACTGCAACCCTCGCACAGTTTTTTTTCTCGATCTTCATGAAGGAATTTACAGCAAGGCATTCAAACAAAAGCGCGATTTCTCTCCGAGATATCAGGAGGATGCTGAAAGTTCACCATTTGATTTATACATTCAGAGGCTGTGTTAGTCATGCAACATGCCATGCAGTCATGCATCATGAATCCTTATGAAAGCTGTTTTTTTGTATTATTCTATGTACAACCAGAAATTAAACAAGCACACATGAATTGAGTTTTGTATGGACCACTTAACAGGATATGAATTATGGAATCAAATGAAATGTTTCCCCATCGACATTTTATGCATATTAAATTATTTAAATATAGAAAATCGACTCATAATCGAAAAATTAGCCATAATTATTTACACTGAAATCAGTCGCTGTAAACACCCCACTCTCAAAAACCCAAATATCAAGCCACTGAAATCAAACTTATCGTTCAATATTAGCAAATAACTATTAGAATTGAGTTTTACGAGAATATCCTCTCTTCGCAAATGTTCGACACCTCATAAACTGATCAAGAAAATTCGGCAAACTGTATGTATTGAACCTTTATGAGGCACACTGAGAAAAGTTTAATGCTCTATTTGATTCCAGTAGACTTAGGTTTTTGGTGAGCGAAAAGTTTGAATTTGTGATTGAGGCAAGCAAAGCGATTGAGTACAGGGGAGAATTTTATGAGTGCCGCCGCCCGCGGCGCACTATGGTCCAAAACTCAAGAATACGAAGAAATAAGTCTGATAATGACTGAAAGATCACGAAAGTTTCGTAACTGAGGTTTATTTGAGTCGCTAATTTCGAATTTGATGTTAAATCGCCTGCATTTTAACACCCTGACCTGTTAATTGTGGGCAAGTTTATGGCACGCTGCGGCGCGGCGCGGCGTGCTGCCGCTGCCGGCTCGAAATGCATACTGACGCCTACAAACCTAAAAGGATACTTCAAGCATTGCGCAATGCGTGCGCACCACGGCGCGGCGCCCCCGACGCGGGCAGGTGGTGAACAATTTCTTGCGGGGAGAGCTCCCTGGCGGAGAAACTCGTACATCGTGTACATTTTTTTGTTTTTTAATTTTTTTTTTTACATTTTCGACTTTTAAAATTACACACTGGTCGTGTGAAGTAATAAGTGGACTCTCAACACTAGATGAATAAAGGCAGGTTGTGCGCCTTGCGCGCTACAGACGGCGCAAGGCGGCCCATGAAATTTTCCCCTATATGCTCTGTCGAGCAAAAAGGCTCCGAAGGTGAAAAACTGTATACCATAGGTTACAACACTCAACATTTTCACGTATTGACTCTTGGAGAGCAATGGAACTTTTAAAGGCAAAAGAACAGAGAGTTTGAGAGAGGTGCCATTCATTGAAGTTTGCCAAGGCTGTTGATAAGCTCAGAAACGATTTGCCTAGACAGCTCAGAACATTACTGATAATGAGAATTATGGCTCGAAATTTTTCAGGGTATCGAACAACGTTCCTCATTACAAACTGAAAATAGATTTCTCAGACCCCACATCACTTATTCGTTGTACTAAAAAATTTTAGTTTTCAGCTTCAGAGCCCTTTTAACCGACTACATCACAAAGCGACAAGTTCACAACTATATATGTTGAAGAAAAACTGTTTCCGACTGTAATCTTTGTAGAATTATGATGGGAAGACACGCATGCATGTATATGTTCTGTTAGTAGTTCTGTTTAGTCTTACTTACACAATTAATAAAATTCAACTCTATCATTAAACTGTCTTTTTTTTTTTTTTTTTTTTTTTTTTTAAATTATTCAAACGGATATGTAAAAAGAAGAAGAGGGGAAAAACTGACATTTCCGCAACGCTCCGCATAATCAACACATGTCAGCACACAGAAGTTGTGCAAATCAATCGTTCACGCCTTGCCATTGGAACCTTGCATCTACATCATACATTTGTATTAAATCAGTCTGTTACGAATGATGACTTCAACTCCTGTGCAGACATGTGTCGATTCGCTGGGGCAGCGGCGCACAGTGGATCGAGTCAATCGGAGAGGTCGGATAAAACAAACTTTACTAAAACTGCAAATATTGATGTTTATTTTGTCACATTTTAATTTTAAAGGGGTGCCTCTGGTAGAAAAATGCACGAGGAAACCAATGAAACCACTTCCATGAACCTCAAAATTCTGTATGAACGGAGTTATAAGCTTTTAATGTTTCCAAATTTTGTTCGACCTCTCCTGACTCGATCCACTGTGCGGCGTCTGACCATAGAGTACCTTCAATAGAGTCGCAATGTTCTGAAGCGCCCATGAAGTCACTTTTTGAGGCTGTTTCGTCCAGGACTCCTGAGACTAGTGTGCGGCGACTGGCGATGCCGTGTGCGCCGGTCTCAGCTCCGATCTTCACTCAGGAAATAAAAGTATAATATTTATTTCAAAAAAACTGGGAGTGTTGTACTTTTTTGAATTTGTCATGACTTCGGTGAACACAATTTGCCAAAATTTGCGGAAATAATGATCGATTTAAATTAAAAATCCCGAATTAATTGATAAATCCCGAAAAACACTCGCAGCCCGCGATTCTCCCATAAGCCGCTATGTTAAAAAATGCCGAACGGTTCCCAGATGCTTTCCACTTTACGGCGAACAAGGGGCTCGGAATGGCCCGTTCGTGGATTGACTTCATCGGCGCTCCAGTACATTGCGGCTTTATTGTATTCTATGCGTCTGACGAGGCAGATTATGTGGGGCATGTGAAAGTGAGAAGAGTGATTTTGGAGTTGGCTTACCTGCGTCTAGGATGAGGTCGTCGACGTCGGTGTTTTGATTCTTGTGTTTGCCCTCTTGGCCGATGACCCAGCTGGGCTCCAGCTCGGAGCCCTGCCCGTCTGTGTCGGTGGCGGCGGACGAGTGACTCGGCGTGGAGCCCGCCTTCGTCGCCGAACGACATCCGAACCACCAGTAGCCCGCCGACCGCGGGAAAGGCGGGTCCGCCGAATCCACCTGAAAAATAACCTCGCGATCAGTCTTCTATATGAGGTTTTCCCCTATTCCACGGCATCCTCCCCCTCATACCGTCAATCGAGAGCTCGGAAAAATGATAAAAATAATAATAGTCGTTCTGAGAGTCATGAGAGGAAGAAAGGCTGCCGAAGAACATGCTTGATTGGGTTCTTCCTGGGAAGAGATGAAGGGGACGCCCACTGATAGGGTAGCGACAGGGAATTTTAGAGGAAATGAGGGAGTGCTAACTCTCTGAAAGGCTTTGGGAGGGTAGGGGACTTCGATGGCTAGGTGTCACAGAGTGCTATAAAAGCCGCTTTTATGTATGTACTTAGAGTCCTGACTTCCAAGCTACGTGATTTACCACCATCAGGTGTGAATATTGTTGTGAAAACGAGAACAGTTAGCTCTGAACTGTCGATGAGTTACGATTGACAATCAATGGTTTTGAAAGTGAATGAATTTACTTACAGCGAACGTTCGGTCGTTAAACCTCCAGTACATGCCATTTTTGAAGAAGTATGTGTAACCATTCGTGTAGTGTAGGGCGGCGTCAAGGTTGTCAGGGATACCCTCCCAGTTGCTTAGCGGTTTCGGGTAGGTACTCTTTACAGGGGGCTTCATCGTGGGGTCAAACCGCCAGAACTTAGAACCTGCAATAACATTAAAAACTCAAGGTAAGTGTATATCCGTTGGAAATTCTGCGTGAAAAACCATTTGTACGGCTTTTTAGGGTGTTTGAGGGAAGCCCTTTAATATAACGTTTTCAGGAGTTCTCTTATTATTACTTTTGAAGATTTCTCCCCCCCCCCCTAAAAATAAAATCCAAGAGGTTAGGTAGGCATATCAGCTATTTTGCCGTGCTGAGGAAGAACGCCGTATGAACATTCGAGAGTTGCCAAATTTCATTCAATTAAATGTTTATTTTTGAGGAAAGTTATGAATATTTTTCCTCGAAATTTTCAGGGACTCTAGGTGAAATTGCGAACAAATTTATCTGAAAAATCGAAGGGAAAATATTCATAAGTTTACCAGTAAATTCGTATTTTATCGAAGGAAATTTGGCAACGCCTGAAGGTCCATGCGGCGTTTTTCCTAAGTACGGCAAAATTGGGCTTCAGTGCTTCAATGAGAAGAAGTCAATCAATCGACGGAGCTTAACAGCGCTGTCAGTTTTGCCCGTTGTCACAAAGGGGTATCGATTGTACGATTCGTACGATACTTTTTTCCCAATGCGATAGGAATTCAATTAAATAGGTAAGGTAATTACTTAAACTCAATATGATACTGGTAAACAAGGCCTTATTTAGGAAAGAACTCCTTCTGTGACCTAGCACAAGAGAGGTTGTACATCACGTACGAATACCTTTGAGGCTTGGAAGGGCCAGAGCGCCTTCGTTCTGATGTGTATGCAATGTAGCCAGCCTTTAAGCACGAATAGTGGTATCAACATCGCCTTAAGTAATTATACCTGTCATGGTTATACCTGTCATGGTCATTATCGTTGTTGTATTTGTATAGTTTACACCCGTTATTATCAGGATTCTGTTCCACGTGGAAAATAGGAGCCGATTAAAAATAATAAATTTCTGTCACGCCTGTCATGAAAGATATCTGAATATTGTAGCCAAAAACAGCAGTATTCCCGCTACTTACATGTGTAAGTAAGTCACAGTACATGCGCATAAATATTTTAACGTTACATACCCTTGAAGAAATATATTTTTCCGTTCCCACTCCACACAATGGCAGCGTCTAAATTGTCTGGAATGCCTGTAAATCCTTCTGAAATGTACTTCGGATAGTCGCCGTCCATTGTTTTGCCTGTATACCTACATTCGTACAGAAAAGTAGCCTTAATAATAGTTTGACATTTGACAATTCAGTATTTAAATACATATAAGAAAATGCAAAATAACGTCTTTATTTTAATGTTGAGTCAGAACAAGAAGAAAAATCAAAATATTTCGAGTGCAGATAGTTAAATCTACTGGTATATTCAATTTTCGGGAGGTTATTTAACTGGCCATGTAAATAACTTTTTCTATCGTTAAATTTTAAACCATTTTATAATTTTCATACAGTATAGTACCTGTAGCACCAGTTTTACCTGGATTGCATTTTGCAAAAAGGAACCACTAGCATTGCAATGTTGCTAAGATTGTGCAACTTTTTTTGTCTTGGAGGAAAAACCGATTATCCATTAATAGTTTCTATTTTAATCGCTAAAAACTGTAAATTTAGGACAAAAATTACCATCTAAATTTCATAGTTTTTCACGATTTCTGCAATTTCATTGCAAAAGATGAAGTTGCACAGTCTTAGCATCATTGCAATGCAAGTGGTTCCTTTTTGCAAAATGCAATCCACCTATAGTACCTTTGGTGGTGCTCTTGGGTTTATTTTAGGGATGAATTCATCGGAGGTAAGGGAAATTATATTCATTGAAATGAGATTCAATGAGAATTTTACCTCCAGTACTGGCTGCCTTTGAAGAAGTAAGTTTTGCCGTTTTTGTATGTGAACGCAGCGTCGATGTTTCCCGGGAGTCCAATCCAACTCTTGGAGATGAGTTTGGGGTAGCCTGGTGCGATGCTTTCTTCTGTTAGTTTCCAGTAGTGTTGACCTGAAGATCAAATAAACCATGGTTTATTGTTTGTTCAATCTTCTTAATATTTGGCCTTCAATCACGTGTTCCGCATATTTTAAATAATTCTATTTGCATACAAACGAACATAAACGCACGAACCAGTGCGATAATATCAATGCAAATTGGAAAAGGTATAATCTAATTACTGGTAGAGATAACGAGACAACGAGAATAAGTCACATAAAAAGTATTTAATTTTAATCGTTATTGTTACCGTTCATTATTGAAATAATGATCGGCTCGTTGTACAAGTCACAGAATCCTACTTTGATGCTACTATCCTAGATCAGCCAAAAATAGTAAGATCCCTCAATATCACGTTTCTGATATAAAGGTGACACTTTCTGTCATCTATCGATAGAATTGATGAGTCTAGTACACGTACCCTACCACACTATGGAAGAACGCCGTATAAACATTCGGGAGTTGCCAAATTTCCCATGATAAAACATGTATTTTTAACAAAATTCATGCATATTTTTCCTTGAAATTTTCAGTTATTATGGATTAAATTGGGTACAAAATTGTCTAAAAATCTTGAAAAAAAAATATTCACAAATTTCCCAGTAAATTCGGTTTTTATCGAAGGAAATTTGGCAACGTCTGAAGGCTCATACGGCGTTTTTCCTCAGCTTGGCAGTACAGAACCAGCGACATTTGTAGAAAAATAATATATTGATTATCTCGATCGTAAGTCAGGCAACGTTTCAATTTCATACCCGGGCGTCATTAAAAGATCCCGCGAATGTGTTATTTTTCGTCCTTCGGAGAACACGGCATCATTTACCATGGTACTTTATACTACGATTTCTTTCATCTTCGATTCATCAATCAATGGTCTAAACAGAGTTTTGAACTAGTTTCTGCAGGCTCCTCTAAGTTTTGTTGCATGTTGCCTACCTTTGAAGGCGTACGTGACACCCTCGGCAGAGTTGAAGATGGTGTCGATTCTGGCATCAGTGCAAAGCTCGGCATCTTCACCATCATCCGTTGGTGGTACCTCTGTACTCGGTTTCTTACCACTCCCGGCACTTGTGTTGTCATCTTCTGATCCATGAGCTTCCGAGTCATCCCGTGATCCATATAGCGCCTGCAATATACAAATACGCAACATGCAATACTCAACTTCAATCATATGTGCCGGATCGGAAATATTATAACAAAGAGTATAAAATAGGAGATATCGATGGTGTGTTTTTGGAAGAAAAGTGAACGTCTGATGATATGGATACCTATTTTACAATTTCTCTACTCTTTACCGGCACAAAAAACACATCAAACATCTTTACAATAGAGAATTTGCAGGTGTCTGACACTTGATGAATTACGTGTTTAAGGGGAAACTGCTGAGTGAACTGAACAAGAATACCCTTGGCTCATGAATTGAACAATGATTCTAGAATATATTACAAAATGATCTAATTTTCTAAAATACATGTGTTTACATGGGAAATGCCGTCAGATGACGTCACTAGGCGGTGCATTTGCTCACTTTTACATCGATTTTTATAGTATTTCCCATATCAGAGAAAAAGTATAAAAATGCCTGTGAAATCAGCCCTTTAAGCACTTTCAGGTGAAGTGAAGCCATAAAAAATTTGCGTGCAAATTTTCCATTAGCATTAATTTTAAGATCACTTTATGTGGGGCGCAGGAATTGACATTTTGACAAAAAATGGTAACAGTTTTAACGGAGCTGACAATCCACAGTTTGGCTATCCCAGAAATGCATTCCGCGTGGTTGCGTGCTAAAGAATTGAAGGAGCTCTAAGCTCGCTACGCAGGCCCGATTTCTCATCTACGGAACACAGTTCCAAGGTTTTCCTCTCGATAATATTATCGCCTGTGATATTTTTTATCGTTAAACGCATGGTGATAACAATATTTCTATGGAGGAAGTATTTCCGAGAATTTGAACTAATCAGTGTCAACAATTAAGTCATGCACTCACTGTGCATCACCCAACACAGCTTAAAGATTATGCATAATACGAAGGTGCGGATAAACATTCTCACCGCTTTTACTTACTTCCGCTTGAGAGAAAATGTTGACAATCCTACCTTCCAGACCGCCAAAAAACTTTTTCTCAGTAATTTTACAACAGTAAGTCCTACAACTCGGACCAAAGGTACCCATGAGCATTAGCCTTGAACATGAACATTATCATGAGCTATGAGCATGTCGGTACATGTCTGTACCGATGTTTCGTTCGCATTGACTTTTTATATGTGAAAACCCACTGGCAGTGCTTTCTAGAATTTTCCGTGTCGTCTTTTGAAATTCCTACAGTTTTTGCTACTGCAGCAAAAAGTTCAAACCCTATTTTTCGATGTGCATCATAATGATAACGACATATGAATACGTCCATAAACACAAGTCATGAATAATTTGATTTAAATCAGACTGCAGTCTTTGATGTGTTTTCCTTGTGTTCTTCCTCTATCAGTGGTACCTAGGAGTACATACAAGGACCATACTTGGTACTGGATTAAATATTGAATAACTCAATATTTTTCCCAACTTCGTAAGTGGGATTTTTCCCTGGGACGAATCCCTAGGAACGGCTCGTGGAAACAAGGCCCTACTGTATCTCATTTCGGCTTGGTTGGGAGGATATTTTTTGGTGGGACGTACCTGAATAGCTTCAACATCGTCGCTGTCCAAGTTGAAAGCGGGCTCATAGCCACGGTAGAACGGGGCCATCAAGGCCGAGCGGACGTCCGAGTGGGATAGACCCAACGAGTGCCCGAACTCATGAGCTGCCACCTGGAATAAGTTCGTCCCTGCAATATAGAAAACTCACCATCATTATCTGGATACCGAGCAAATCTCCTGTTTGAATAAAATTCCGTGAAAAAATCTAAGAGATTTCACCAAGGACTTGCAGTTTTTATACAAAATGTAGTCAATAAATTCCGATTTGCCGGCCAGGTTGGCTTAGTGATCAGCGCGTCTGACTCTAAGTCAATAGGTCCCGGGTTCGAATCCCGGGGATTGCGTCTAATTTTCACGGAGTTGACACGTAGATCTGCTGAAACGGATTCTCCTCGGCCCTAATCCCTGAAAATTGGAAAAGCCTGGAGCATGGAGATACCACGATGTCTACGGACACTAAACATTGTCTAAAGTTGGCTAAAGGTGCTAGACACAAAGCCATTAAACCAGCAGAAAAAAAGAAGAAAAATCCGATTTTAAACAACCGGTAGAATGAGTTCCCTGTGTAAAGAGGCTAAACAATCGCAATGCAGAGAAAAATTGCAACATAAGTACACCACTCTTATCGCGACAAACAAGAAAAGGAGCCCCTTCAATTAGTAGATAGGCAACACAGACAACGCTACGATTCAGTAGCAATAGTTGTACCGTGTAATGACAATTCATGATAACATATAGATGACCGAAATGCAAAACCACGTATCTCCGGTTGCGACATTGCAGACTTCCTGCCATACTTTAATTTTTTTTTCGAAAAATATTCATCGTAATTTCTTGATAAATTCCTTGATTCCTCTCCTAAGTTAGCAGCGTATTCTGGGAAAGGCTCAAGCTATAAAGTTGACTTGTTTCTCTCCAAAAAAATGAAATATGATGAGAAAATTTGAAACAGCGAAATGGAGGTAGGATGTTCTGCACTTGGGCATGAATATGCTACTTGGTTGTTAGGCTTACCTCTGTAGGAGTTAACGGTCCACTTTTCGGAGTCGTCGAAATGGGCGTCGCCTCCGTAGACAGGGAAGAAGGCGTGGGCGAGCGTGCCCCCGGGTCCGTCGAAGGGATCGCCGTCCCCGTGTTCTCCGCGTTCGAAACGAATCTCGATATGCACCTAGGAAAAGAAGAATGAAACCCTTGCTTAGATCACTTGTTACTCTGCTAAAAATGGTGAGTACAGATGAGTAGAAAATCTAAGTCATATGAATAGAATTTCAACTTATGTGAATAGAATTCAACTCGTATGAGTAGAATGTCTCTATACCCAGGGTTATATCATACCTCTTTATAATGTTGAATGTTCCTTAAAAACTGTAAGAAATGCTTAACCATGTGTCTGGGACTGAGAATTCTCAACCATTAATTCAATTTGGTATATTCTTTGCAAGCAGATATTTGCTTTTTTTTAGTTTTTGTTTGAAATCAATTGAATGAGCGAAAAAATAGACCAATCGATCAATCAAGGGAATTCAGGATAAAATTGTAGGCAGCGTTTTAAATGATACTTTCATACTAATACAAAACTTGACTGATATAAGTCGGAAAGCACGCGGAGGTCAGGCGCACAATATTGGAGGTAGCAAATCAAGTGGGAGGGGAAGAGGGATACGAAATTCAAGTTATTAGAGTCATGAACAATAATTTTCTTATTTCCGGTAATCCACACGCTTCAACTTTGTTCAACCATGCTCACAACGACCCCGGCGTGGCACTGTTGCATTCCAACTACTCACACACTCTCCTCACTGTGCGCGTCATTGCCGCACAAAAGCACCAATGAGAAAATTGCAAAATTTAGTTAAGTTTTTATTTCTTCCAAATTTCCAAAGGAATTTCGAAATAAAGAATAAAAAATAATGCGAACCACAATTGGACCGCGTTTAACAGAGAGGAACCAAGCCACATCAGCTATTGCCAATTTTAACTGGGCAATTTAATTTTTTACGAAAAAACGTTTGTGTGTATCCCTTTGAAAATGTTCAGGAACTTGCTTCGTACTATGGAGAAAATTCACTGAAATTTTCACGAAAATCCGCACAACAGTTTTTATGTAAAAAATTAAATTAGCCAATTAAATTTGGCAATAGCTGTTGTGGCTTGGTTCCCGTCTGTTTAACGCGGTCCAATAAAACGGTTAAAACACGGAAAAAAACGAGTTTAGGGTTGGAATCTACCGGGAAAGTACCAGCCCTACCCCTGGGGTAGCTAAAATTGCGACAAGATTGAGGATAATTGCTTGGATGTTGACGATTTTATCGCCGAAAAATCGCAAGAAAATTGCAACTTGATTTCAAAATATCGCGATTTTCTCTAATGACATAAGCTACTTGAGACGTGCGTGATAGAACACTTGAGCGGCCCCCAAAATCAAAAGGGTGAGCTTTGAATGATGATTGATGCACGCGTTGGCTTGTTAATTAGGATTAGCAAAGTGCTGAGCGGCGCGGCACTTGAAAGAGGGCGGGGGGGGAGGGGGGGGCACTCGCGTTGGGGGCCAACCTGGAGGCAGCGCGGCGCACGGCGCGGTCTCAAGGGAAATTCTCAGGAATCACAGAAGCGCGGAAGAGGAGGCATGGCGCCGTGCCATTATCAAATTCACAAAACAAGGAAGACTACCACTATCGAGTGGCGGCATGGCTTCTACAAATAGCAACCATTTACACACCACGCCGCTTTGTACACTAGACACGAACACTAACGAGCAAGTATGGGAATATTAAGGACGACACTCTTAATTACCGATTCGTGATATTCTTCTCTCCCATTTCTTCATTGATTTGCTCGGAAATATGAGGTGGATGGGTGTGATTGCACACGCGGTGCAGACTTTGGGTTTTATAGTAAAGTAGTGGCGTAGACAGAGGGGGGGGGGGGGTCCCCCTCAGCCTCGATAATTGTATACCTTTAGTTTGACTGTTGGAGGGCAGACATAAAATATGTATCAAGGACGTACACAAAATAATGTAAATTTACCGGCACGGACCCCCCAACCCCCCTTCCCCCTTGAGGAATTCCTATACCTTCGCCACTAAGGTAATGTTTTCGCGCTTACCTGTCCAACTTTTTTCTGCGTGAAGCTTAAAGGCGTAACGTCCGACCAAACTGAAAATGCTTTGCGAACTTCCTCGTCTGTTTCTGATTTCCCTAGGTTTCGTGGGTACTTGGAGATCTTGTAAGTCAAATCCTTGACTCGCCATCTGCTACCTGCAAAATCAGAGAATTTAATTAAAATGCATTCATCCGTCAATTTCCGAGGTCGAAGCTTCACCTGCAGTAAAGATAGTAAAAATATCGATTTTGAAGCAGAGAATTTACTCATGAAATGGTTTTACTTCTACTGCCTGAAGTCACCACGTTAGGTATACAAGTAAGAATTTTATGTTTTTAGAATGTAAGACTCACAAGCGGATGTTCTACTCTCAAAATTTAAATAAAATCATGAATGAAGGTGTCTTATATGTAAATATATTTAGCTTAGTTCTCTCGCTTGGCCTCTAGTCTTAGTATTAAAGTACATGTATCTGTTACGCTATCACTGATAATTTAATGATTGTTTAAACAGGGAAACAAACCCACTAACCAACGTTGATCCCAAAGGGTACAACCAAAATTTTGAAATTTTTTGCTTCCATTAAGTGAAGGATCTAAATTTTTGTATTTATACTCACCCTTCACATTGTCTATTAAATACATTAATAGCCTAAAATACTGATTGTCTCTGATGAAATTATAAGTAACTAACTAGTGCTTGTGAGTGTAGAGGGTCAGAAAAAGGCTCTGTCTTGAGCTGAGACTTACAATATTTAACTCTCCTTCTGAAAAGCTCCTTTTAGAAAGCGTGAAAAAATCAATACGAGAAAAAAGTAATAAAAGAGGTTCATAAGTATACATTTTTATAAAAAATACCTCGAACAACATGAATCAGGCAGCTGAAAGACATCCACGAATCTGTTTTGCTCTACGATTAAAAATTTACGTAAAATATTGTACCACGTATGCCATTGTGTGATGCACTTTTCTCGGCCAGAATTAGGTTCTGCGTGCCAAAGTTTAGTGTTGAGGCAGCTTAATTTACAGTGGTAAATTAAGCTGTCAGTCAAGACACTCCATATAAAATTTGCGATGCAGGATACCATATGTGAATTCAGCCCTCCAAGTAGCCCTCAAAGCCGCATAGTATTGATTCATGGTGTTTTGCTGCTTAAAATCTGAGTATAGATTTTCCATTAGACCGCATTAAATTTGTATCATGTGATTTTCTATTACAAAAATCTTGAAACAATAATTTTTGAACTATGGAGGAGAGAAAGTGTTGCTGAGATAAAAGATCGGATTAACACCCTCTTCAGGTTCTTTGCATGAAATCGATGGTATTGCTCATACACTGTGTCAAGCTTGTTTCAATATTGTAGATGGTTGCCAAGTTGACAGGTAAAACACTTTTAAGTATTGTGAATATGAATGTTTGTTCTGGCGAGTATATCACTCTCAGACGCGGATGGATGGAAATGAAAAAATCAAGCTAAAAATCTAGATTTTTCTTTCATAGGCAACGTTTTAATACGGTTTTTGTCTCCGGAGTTGAAACATATTTATTTCAGAATTAATATTTTCTCCCAAATCAGTGTAAAGAGTGAATGTTTTCTTGTTTGATGTGTCAACTGCGTACGAGGGACGGTAATGAGCGGTCAGGGAGTTGAGCTTCGAGAGCCGGAAACAGGGTAATGAGCAAGCAATGGTCCATGTTTCCGGCCTGCTCATCTCGTCGGTTCGGCCACCAGGACACTCGCAGAATCACATGACTAAAGCCTGGATACGTGGCAAGTCTCAGTGAAGTTAAATTATTATATGATAGAAAAAAGGACATTTTAAATATCACAGAGAAAAAGTTTTAGATTCCTATCTAAATACTTCGAAGAGCTCTCATTGCAGATATTTTGGATTCGGTAATTTCCAAAGGCCCAAAATCTGATAGTATGTGACATGTGTGTCTTCAGAGAAATTCTGCACCATGATGCGTCTTATAATCCATGATACGTTTACAGCGAGTTAATTGATTACAAATTGAACCGGAATCTTAAATCATACTTTATTATTTTAAAACATAAGAGTAACGCGAGACGCACGCCTGAAGCACTTCTGAGGGGAGAGCATAGGCGGTTTTACGGGGGTGCCAGTGGGTGCCGGGCACCCCCAAGCAAAAATGAAGTGCGGTTACCGGAACCGTGAAAGAGGCCTTCTTCTTCCTTCACCTCTATTTATTGCTTTTTTAATCAGTATAGAATTTAATATAAAAAAGACCAAACTATACTGATTTTAAAGATTCTGTATTCGTTCACACTGAGTAAAAATCCCAGCAATTAATTGAAACTTTTTTAAACAGAATTAATATTGATAGCCGTGTTTTACAAAGATTCTACTGTTTTTTTATGGTAAGAATGTAGTTTTGATGGAAAGTTTTGCTAAAAATTTTCTACGTAGAATTCATAGGTATTTAAGTAGAAAGGAAGGAGAGAAAAAGAGAAAGGATGGGAGGAAAGGGATAAAATTTGAGGGCCGAAACTTAGTCCTCCCCGTCCTCCCCTAAGCGACCTTCCCCTTCGGGACCAGTCTCCGACATTTTTCACCTCCGGGCACCCCCAAACATGAGAGTCTAGAACCGCCTATGGGGGAGAGGGGTTGGATCGCTAAGCGGTCAAGGGGTGCACCCCCTGGTATACATTTAAAACATAGATGTTGTTACGTGATAGGAAAATGGATACAAGCTACCCCTCTTAAAAATATAAAAATGCGAGAGTGTAATCCTGTTATTACTGAGCACATAAAAGCAAAATTGTTAACGATGTTCAATTCCTGCTTGCAACAAAAATATTGCTTAAAAATATTACAGATTAAATTTTATTAAAATTCAACCCTTAGAATGTGATGACATACAAAAATAAAAAAATAAATCACAGGATAGACGGTACAGTTCGCTCATTGCTCTGTGTTGTGAGATAGCATCGATTGAAAGCAGGTTCCCAGCGATGCTTGCTGGATTAATAAAGAGAGCAGGGACACCATGAGCCATGCTAAAAGTGCTTTTAACAGGGGACCTTGAGGCGTTTATTGTCCGTTGGGAAATTCGATCCCGCGCCAAGGTATTGAGGTGAAAATTCAATTCCCTGGTCACTGCACGAGCTATTAGCGGCCTGTCCAATCAAATCACTGGTCAAGCATCAGCTTAATTTTGATCCGGCACTTATGCGCTTATCAGTGATCTACACTGAAAAAAAATCTCGGTGTATTTTCTAAGAAAAGGGTAAACTTACCAAGAATTCAGGGTTCTATTTGATCCCAGTTTTTTCTTGGTAAAATTACCAATTATGGAATTGGTAATTTTACCGAGAAATCTCGGTAATTTTACTGGACCCCGGTAAAAACGCCAATATTTTTTATCGACTTTGGTAGAATTACCGAGATAAAATGGCAAAGTTACCGGGAATTGATTACCAATAAAAGTGGGAATCTTACCTGAGAAAAACAGTAAAAATACCTGTTTTTAGGTAAGCTTACCAGTCTGTCTTGGTAAAATTACCAATAATTGGTAAAAAAAGTGAGATGGTAAAGGTACCAACGGACCTTGACCTTGGTAAAAACGGCGAGAATTTTTTTTCAGTGTACCACTCTTTGGTCTCATCGTTACACCTGACAAATCCCACAGGAAATGTCAAAAATCATATTTCATTGTTTTTGACACATTCTTATAAACCAATTAAATTAAGTTCCCTGGTTAAAATGAGCCGAGAAAAGTTTGAGGTTGAAATTTAATGCATGGAACATTAATAAAGTCTCCCTTGAACTATCAACCTCATAAGCTCATGTTGAAATTTACTTTAATGTGCCACGAAATTCTAAGTACATGTAATTGTAATTGTACAAGTAATGTAATTATCAAACTAAAAAGCTTCAGGTACACTTTATAATTTTTATACCCGATTTGGAGATTGGTTATCGGTTGCACTTAATTCATCCACCATGATTTCATTCTTCAACTAGCAAATCTCTAAAACCGAGATATAGTGTTTCTCAGTTTGGATAATTACCGCTCCTTGACTTCAGCTGTTTTATGATGAATAACGGAAAAGCGAGGTAAAAAACTTTGATGTATGGGAAACAGGTAATATTTTCAATTTTGATGAAGTAATCCTCCAGTATTGTATGGTCTAAGAAAAAGAATCATCAGTAATCAAATATCAGACATGAACCCTCCTCGTAGATACGGAGGGAATTTGTCTTTAAAAAACGCGTCTACTAAAAACCATAAAATGTAGACTCTTTTTGAAATTTCCTCTGTGGATACATCTCTTTTGCTTCCTTCCAATTATTTTTTTAAACCTTTTCCGTTTTGGTATTTTTTATTTTTAACCTGTGTATTTTGTTACTCATTGTATTTTTGTTTTGTGTGTTAATGTGATACCTACTATGAAATAAGCATTTCAGTGGATAAATGTTCTATAATATTCAAAACTTTGCTATTTACTTGTATATTTTTTAAAAATTTTATTTTTGTATAATTTTTTCAGGAAGCTACGAAGAAAGGACAATATAACTAATCACATGGACAAAAATTTTGCAATAATTTACCTTGGAGAGCATATCGTTTACTCCTGGAAGAGGTTGCAAATCCAACACGGTCCCGAACGCCACATCGGGGCAAGCTCATCATCTCAAGAGTGTCGCCATCCAGATGACCTTCAACAAACGACACAAGTATTACGTTAGTTAATAGGCATACTTACATGAAAATATTCATTCAAATGTCAAATTTTTCGCGAAGCTTCTCGATGATGATCTGTGCGAATGACTTTCATTACATATAGGTAATGAAAGTCATACGAGCGAGTCATACGTCTAACGAGCCACGGTTAGTATCATCGTATGAGTCATTAGAGGCTATTGGAACCGGAAAAGGAGAGTACAGGGAGTGGTGGTATCGATTTGAATTTAAAAAAAGTGGTAAAATAAGGTTGGATCCACACTATTTTGCGAGGGTGGCACGTCTAAAAAAATTCCTACCTATTCAGCACTATCTTATACCACCTTGTTACATATAGTTCGGGTCACATTTTTTAGTGTTTTTTTCGTTCTTTAATTTAAATCTAATTTAATGTGTGTGGGTGAGATAAACATAATCATTCAACAATTGTAGAATGAACGGAAAAATATGCCTTCAATTTTTAAATTCGTTATTTGAATCAGCAAACCTAGAGAGACACTGACGGCTTACGGTATGCCATATGCCATTTTACTAGACCGAAACCCTCGATGAGACAAAATAAAAAATCTTTACAAATCATTCACATTTCTTTTAAAATTTTCCTCAAGGATTCTTAACTTAGAAAATTCAACAATATTATATGGAGCAATTGAAATGAGCTGCCAATGTCAATTTTTCTATTTGCTGATGCAAAAAAAGTACCTTATTTCTTGATTTCAAACATTATTGAAGAAATCAGATAGTAGTAAGAATTAGAACTTTTGGAGCTTTAATAAGTATTCGAATGCGCAAGTATATGTTGTTCAATACTCCTACTTATTTTTCTATACGCATATCGAAACTTCCCAATTCTTGAGTACCGCATCGTACGAGGAGTAATGTTATTTCATTCCATCTAAACGCGACCATTCATCACAGACCAGTAAATATTTTTATCGACATAGTATAGATTCTTTTTCCGCGTGATCGGAAGGTTCTCATATTCTCCACAATTTATTGATATCATATTTCCGCAGCAATTAATAATTTCTTCAGATGAATTCAATTGCTGGAAGTGAAGCAAGCGCCGCGCTCCCTGAGTTTTTATTTCCCATTCACATGTCTTGCGCGCTCTTGCTCTTAGGAAATCCTGCATTCAGGCATAACTTCCATGCGGCATATTTTCATCGACGCTCAGTGAATTATTGCAACCTGCCGTGATGATACCTGATCGTACCATTTCCGACACCTGAATATTTTTAGTAAAATGCTGCACGTTGATAATTGCTAATACCTTGAGTGACGCCTTACAGAATTTAATGACCAAATATAACGGTGGCGTAGCGTGACGAAAAATATAGGTGTGGCTGTGGTCTAAATCAGGATTAAGTCGACTTAAGAGAAATACCAGAGAAGAGGAACAAGCAAGGCACCCTCAGTTAATATTGTATGCAACAAACACTAAGCGAATTCCATTATAATTTCATCATAACGACGGGATGCAACTATTCGAGCTCCTAGGTTGTCCGTGTTGCATTCGCACGGGAGCGAAGGCGTTTCGTCTCTCCATGCACTCACCACTTTACTAGTGTATCTTTATAGGGAGAGTATGAGCGACTCGAAAATTTGGAGGTTAGGTCTGATCAGGTCATGCAGCTCTTGGGGCCCAACAATTATCCAGTTGTACTAATTTTCACATTTCAACTATGTACATTGATCAAAAATTATAAAAACACGTATAAAACTTTGATTTCGCTGACATTTTATTAGTGTCAAAGTTTTAATCCTTAAAGAAGCTTGTTTGTAATGCGCTGCACTGGGAAAAAAACACATTGGATCTAGAGTCCAGACTCTTGAAAACATGGACAAGAAAAAATACTCTTGATTCAATCGGATTTTTGCTTGGGACCAAAACGAAATCCGCTTAAATTAAGAGGCTTGGTTCTTGATTTAAGCTAGATTCTGATTGAATCAAGAGTACTTTTTCTTATGTCGATGTTTTTAAGAGTCTGGACTCTAGATCCAATGTGTTTTTTTCCAGTGTGTCGGCCATATTGAGTGATCCTCCAAATGCTTGGATTGGCAGCGGCACTTTTCTAGTGATTTTCGTTTTTCATGTTGTCGCCCTCTTGGGCCCTAAGAGCTACATAAATCGAGTTGTCAATACTCTCTTTACCTGCCCGCGGCTCGGCAATGGGTTGCACTGACAATTAGAGGACCTAAAATGACAGATTGCCCGAAATTCTTCGTTTACACTACGAAGACATCTACTGCACACGAATATTTACACACATTCATGCTCTGCAAATGGATGTTACATTTGTAATCTAAATCCTCCATCAGGATGAAAAAACGTCCAGTACAGCATCCAACATCAGTTGGACGATTTCGATTAGGTACAACTACTTCTTAGAAAATCGTCCGGTGTTTAATATTTTACAGTGTAGGATGTGAATATATCTTTTGTGCTTAAGTTTTGATGTATCGATGTAATGAACATGATTTGTGGAGCAACTATTCGTGCCTCGGAAATATTTTCGCGGTAAAAAAAGAATTATAGTCTGTCACTTTAGATCTTCTCAATACAGCTGCCGCCGCGCCGGCCACGCAGGGTGAAGCGATGAGTGCCTGGAGAGTCAAAACGCCTTCACTCCCGTGCGTATGCAACACGGTCATCCGTAGAGCTCGAATAGTTGCATCCAAGCGTTACGATAGATTCGCTCAGTGTTCGTTGCATGAGATACTTGATGCGAGGGTGCTTTGCCTATCGCTCGTTGCAAAATTGGGGTAAATTATCACTGATTTTTATCGTAACATTGTTAATATTTCGAAAAATGCTTTCATTATTTCAAATATATTACAATGTTCAAGAAAAAGTGAGGTTCAGAGCTCATTTTTTTCACATGGTATCCTAGGAGTTGAAATTTTATCTATGGTGAAAATGGCAAGGAGCTCTTTTTTTCAAACAGATTTGATTCATTACAACACGAAAAAAACGAGATCAGTCAAAATTACGCTGATGTCACGATTCAATGTCGGCTCAGTAATCATTAAGACTGATTTTAGAGCAAACAAATACTTGGTATTGGACTGAATCTCACATTTTAACCATGATATTCAGCTCAATTTTTTTGATTAACTCTTTTTATTTTTTATTTACTATAATTATTTTATTTTGGGCTATAATTTTTTTATCTCAACTCTATCTGCTGATTTTGTCGGGTGTTATTTGGCCCTCCCGTATTCCTAGTGTGTCAATTCTGTTCTGCTCGACAGTGCTTGTAAATAAATGTATTAATTTCAGAGGAGCAGTTGATTTGATGAGAAGTTTGTTGTTATAGTCGCTGCTTTCTCCCATTCTATTGTGAAGAAAATACAAGCACGGGACTGCAGGTCGCGAAGTCGTGTCTCAGGCGGACTTGTGGACCGCAGTTACGGTAACGCTGTCCGGCAGAGTGGAACACCACACCGATAGTTTAAATCCCGGAACGATGGTTATTAAACTAAACGTTTGCTAAACGTTCAAAAATACATTTTAACTGATACTCGCCCATTCTGGAAGTCTGAAATGACATCTGAATCACGAGCACCTAGGAAACAATAGAATGGTGGTGGGTGCCAGGTACTCAATTATACATACTTTCCAGAAAATCTAGTAACCAGTACTAGATCCCAATTCCTGGCAATCTTAACCTAGTGGTCCACTAGACGTATATATACTTGACGTACAATGTACACGTCTTAACACTACACAGGATCTAGTGAGGGCAATTACAAGATTTTCTGGAGAACATTTGAGTCATTAGGCAGTTTAACACACACCAAACCATTCTTTTTTATCGGTGAAGGATTTTTTTTTCCTTTATGTGCAAAAGAGAGGGGGGAGGACTCTAAAGAATATCAAAAAATCTATTGCAATTGTCCCGAAAATTGAAAAAGTCCGTTTTCTTGGAGTAGAAAACCACTCAAGCCATTGAATGCATTCAAGACTGGCACCGCAATTGTTTCCGATTTCTTTAGAAAAATCTATAAAACAAAGCAGTAAGTTAAAGGCAGTTCTAAATATTTCTAGCGGAAGTTCCAAAATGCTGATGTGAGCAGCATTTCGCTGTAAATAAATTTGTGCAAGTGATTACGACGTGATTACTTTTAATCTCGTTTAAGTGTTAACTCCAATGGTACTCAGCCGCAAATGGTGAATTCCCTCAGTTCTACAGGCTTCAAAAATAAAAAAGTGGAATATTTTTTTTAATCCTTTGAATTCATTAGATTATGATTCCTTAATTATAAGAATGGTTTTTCTGATGTTTCACCCTCGCTGGAAAAGTACAATAATTCATTACTAATTATATATCAATTAAGGAGTCAATAATTGAGTTTACATTACGTTAGCATGCCATACAGCAATCCATTTAACTCAAATTGCGGAACGCTTTGAGTCGATGCCGCAAGAATCGGAGTGCGAACCGATTGGCTGAATCAATCGCATGTAAAAAATCATAACTTCATAACCTGCCACCAGGGACGCCATGTTTACCAAGTTTTCCCGAGAGGTATCGTGTGAAAAGTGGATCCGCTCTCACAGCGCCATCTGGCAACTGCTAGCCCGCAATCAAACTCGACTAACAAGGGCTAAAGCGAGCGGCGCAGCGCGTTTCCGATAAACGGAATTCGCACGCAACGTTGGAGGCGCCAGGCGCCGGCGCCTCTGTACCTGCGCCGAACAATGGTCGTAAATTCATATTTTGATCTCTTTACCAATCGAGCAGTTGGAAAAAAGAGATTATTTTCAGCGATCTGGCAAAACGCAGTCACTGCACCGAGATACGGAAATTTTCCGGTTATGCACATTCATACGGTGAGGTGCGTGACGTAAAGTAGAGTACCTATGTAGCGAGAGTATGGACAGATCGCTTCATGGAGGGCTTAGGGCCCAAAAGTGCAGCGACCCTTCTAACCAACTTCTAACGCACAAAATTTCACTGCCAGTCTGCAG